AACGTTAATGTTAGTGCTAGTGTAATAAATCGTCACGCCAACTTGTGATACTTTCCTATAGAAACAATTAAGACAGCCCAATGGGGACTTCTTAGATAAGTAATTAGTTATAAGATTTTTAGATTAAAATTGTAGGTTAGTCAATATAATGACTAGTAACAATACTCTACAAAAAAAAATCATACACTTTTGGACTGAGGTAAGTTGAGTTGGATAGTCATATTTAAGTCTCAGTAACATTCGGTAGCATTTTTCCGCACCTTCTAAGGATACCCTACCCTGTATATCATACTTAAGAAAATCTACCTCACGACCATGTTCCTCTTGATAAAAAATTGAAGGGTCTGAGCTTTTATAAAATATTGACGCAGTTTCTAAATACAAAAAAAAAAAAACAAGGTCGGATATTTTAGAACGGAACATTTTAATTGTAAAAGCAGTATTGTTTCCAATAAAGTACAAAAATAAGAGTTAGTACGATTTTAATTGCATGGAAAAGCTATTTGAACCTAAGTATACATACCTATCGAAAATGGCTAATATTTATCCAATTCATAGAATAAAATCTGCTTAAAAATGCATTTTCTACTAGATATTGTGCTACATGTTTGAAAGATCCTCCTATCGAACAAAAATTTTGAACGCAGCACTATCTATAAGCTGGACTTTAAAATCAACTTATATCTAAAACTGAAACTCTCTTAATGCTCTGTAAATTGGCTTTTACAGAATAAAAATATCTCTCGTCCTTTCCAAAATATCCTGCCTGGGAGTCTTGGTACACCCTGTATACTATAACCTACTAGTCAACGTTAATTCATAGAAAAAATTACTTACGCGATAATCTTGATTTTTTTTAAAACAAACTGTGATAAGTCAAATTCAAATAAATGATGTTGTTTCCTCAAATCATTAACAAATTAACTATTAATAATAATATTAATAATAATATATCTTTATTTTTATATGAATAATACATAAAAAACAAGTCAAGGTACGTGAGTAGATAAATAAAATAAGCGACAGATATAATAGTAATAAAAAAAAAATACGAATTAAATAATAATAATAATGAAAATTAAGATTAGCGACAGTTATGATAATAGTAAAAACAAATAGTACACAAATGCAAAATAATAATTAACATTAGCGACACTTATAATGATATAGATAATAATAAAATTAAACACAAATGTAAATTGTAATTAAAATTGGACTTAGTGAAATGATAAAAACTCTTCAAGGGTATATGGATTAACATGGTTTATGTATTTTTTAAGACTTTTTTTAAAACTGTTGATGTTTGAGCATTTTTTAACATAATCTGGAATTAAATTGTACAACATACATCCATTAAAAAATGCCCCTTTTTGATATAGAGCAGTATTGTGTTGATTAGACTGTAGTGAATTTTTATATCGAGTAGAGTATGAATGATCTGCATTGTGTAAAGTGAAAGAGGAAAAATTGCATCTAACATAACATAAAAGCTTATAGATGTAAACTCCGATGGCGGGTAAAATATTGAGCTCTTTGAAGGCACTTCTGCAGGTTTCTCCAGGTTAAAGGTTAGCTAAAATACGTATGGCATATTTTTGGATGGTAAAAATTCTATTGAAATCCTTACAGAGACCCCAGTGTATAATACCATACCTCAAATGGCTATGAAAATTAGCAAAATATAGAGTTCTTGTTATATGGCTACTACATTAGTCATGACACTAAGTGCAAAACAAGACGACGATAATCTTTTGCTAAGCCGTTCGACATGTTCTTCCCAAGTTCAATATTAATTCATGTATTTCGGAAAAACATTTATGAAATCAATAGAACGTGTAAAAAATGTCGGCTTACCAAAATTATTACATATCGGTAACTAAATAACAGAGTGTGAAATATCGCCCAACTCTATTAAAGCTCGTTTGTGAATTAGGCGAGTAAACCATAAGATAATGTACCTTTTTTTTCCAAATATTTTAAATAATTCTGCGTATTTGTTTAGTACAGTATTTCTGATTACTTACTTCTAGGTAATAAATCATTATTTGGATACACAGAATCCCAATTAATTACATTTTTATTCGAATGACAGAAACCATAATAGAAAGGTAGGTTACCTATAGAACCCTTCCCCGTGGCTAGAACTTTCCAATACCTACTTCAAATTTAAAATGCAAAATATGTTTTCCGACACAAAATTCAAGGATGAAAAAGATTTCTGCACATTTGTTTATGTTCAATTTGCTTTTAAACACTTTTCTATTGTAATATTCTATTTGGAAATAACTTCCTTTGGGTAGTAATTTGAATGCAATTTTAACTAGATATGTATGTACATCATGCTTAATAGGTAAGCTGTGCCAATGCGTAGTACTTTTTGGGAATTAGTTTTTTAAATTGAAACTTCAAAAGGCTGTTTGTGATTTCGGAGCTTTCGGCCCCAAATTGGATGGCATTCGTTTTATTTTCGGTTAAGTTTTTAACAATTTTTTCTATAAAATAGTGGTCGATAATTCAGATCCACATCGAATTTCAATACAAGCATTTTCAATTAAATAAGAGAAAAAACTAAAAATATTTTCACTTACCACTTGTTAATTTATTCCTAAATTAATTCTTCGTCACTTATTACTAATTTTTTGTTAAAAATTACAGTTTTTTATGCAAATTCGAATAAATAATTAAATTGATTTGACACGACACACGCCGACTGACAGATGACAGCAAATGTTATTCAATTGTTATCAAGAACTATTCTTATAGATCACAGCCATCTCAGTTATTTCAGATTTAATTTTGTTAGAAAGGGGGTTGCTCAGGACCGGTCCCATATAAATTTAGTCGAGATCTAATTCATAAGAAAATCATCAAACTCTTCATTTTTGGATTCGGTTTTTTAAAATCACTGTTATAACTTATTACTTATTTATTAACAGACTTCAAAAAAGGAAGAGGTTCTCATTTCGTGGGTTTTTTTATGTATGTTCAACGATATAATTATTCACTACGCTGTCCGATTTCTAAGATTCTTTTTTTGTTAGAAAGAGGGATACCTCAGGGGTGGTCTCGTATAAAATTGGTCAAGATCTGATTATGGGATATCTATAAGAATATCATCAAACTTTTCATCACCAGAGCACTGGCGAAAGCAAAAATGTTTTAAGAAGTTTCTAATTTAAAATTGTATTTATAAAAAGGCCACTGGAAATACTTCGCGATATTGTTTCTCGAGAATATAGAGAGAAATCTACAATAACTCTAACACAAACGGAGATATCCACGCCAAATTTCACAGATTTACTGAAAAAGGTTCGGACTACATATATATATTTCGGTAATTTCACTTGGCTCTTTCGTTTGGATTGGTTTATGGCTTCTTTAAGGCATTCGACTGTGTACTTATTCCGTGGTTTCCCATTGAAAAACTGATTTTTAAAGGGTGTTAAGGGTTTGCCTACAAATATTTTAATACAAAAAAATTTGAAGTATACAGAGTTGTCGATTGAAAGTGTACCTAATAAAATAAGGGTGTTTTTCTGCTTATTTTAAATAGAAAATCAAAATAATTTATACATATTTGAAAATTGTCATGTAATAAACTGCACTTTCTAAAAATAATGCTCTATGCTGCGAATTAAAACTAAAGAAAAATCATGTTTATCCAGTGCTTCTGGTATATCTCTGTATCTGTAATATGTGGAGGGTGGGTTAACCCACGGCACTTAGGCCTCACTAGGCACATTGTGCAACCTCCTAAGTAGATAGGCACCTCCTAGCTCGTGATCCAACTCACAGATTTAGAAGTTGGCAACGTCGCCAAGACGTGCTTCTCTTATATCGGCTGGTGTTATCTAATTCTCGCTAAAAATTAGAGAGTCGAGCAATCGTAGAGGATATGCTTGATGGTATCTTCCTGTTCGCACCCCCTGTAGAGTGCTGATTGTAACAGTCTCATAATATGGAGATGCTTTCTTACTTGGAAATGACTAGTCAGAATGCCTGTGATCAGGCGCAAATTCTGTCTAGTCATAGTCACTTATTTGTTTGCTGTAGTGTTGTCAGGATAACTCAAAAACTACCTAGCAAGTATGCAGCTTCTTATTTCATCCCATCTTTCCTTAAATTTCACAAAGACATGTTCTTTAATTAAGTTTGTCACTACCGATGTTGTAAGTCCGAAGAAAGGCAAGGTTCAAAAAATATTTGATTGGTTGCCTTTTTGGCTAGTGAATTAGCAAGACGGTTACCTTTTGATGTGGCATGACCTTTTATCCACCTTAAGTTGACCACATTGTTGATGGATACTTCGGCCAAAGCTTTGCGACATTCTAGTACTCATCCTGAATAAATTCGTCCAGGATGAGTAGTGCTTGTCTGCTATCTGTATAGATGAGCATATTCCTTCCAGTAATATTATTTCTGGCACTATTGTTCACAGCCCATTTTATGTTTAGGTTTAAGGATCTGGAGTATATTACACATCCTGAGCCTGTTTTGTTAAAAAAAAAACCTCTGAATCATTTGTAAATCCATAATCAAGCAATAAATTTATAAAATGTTAGGTGTACTTACCAATATTGAAATGTTCCAAAAGATTTACAGTTTTTTGAGTTTTCTTGCAGTACATTTCTTAACGTCAACCTATTTTTAAATACAGGGTTAAATTACCGACGTTGGTAAGTACGCTACATTCTTACCGGTAATTTTGACGAACCCTCTGATGTACTTCCAGTGAAAGGTATCAAAATTTGCTGAATTAATAGTAATCTACATTGAAAAAGACTGAATATGCATAAACAAGTCTTGAAAAATCCACGAGGGTTTGAAACATTAAAATCTTGGTGAAAAACACTTTACAAAACTGCAAAGTATCATGGAATATTTAATAAACCTATATCTGTTTAGGTAATAAATTTTATTAAATTATTATATTTAGGATGTAAATATACTTACTACCTTAAAAACATTCCAATTCAGACATTAAAATATAACAAAAGTCATAAATTCTTATTGAAACCAAAAATAAAAAATTTTATTGTAAATATATATAAAGATATATTATGTTTTAAAATAAAAAAAAAAAAACTTTCTGATAACCCGACTGCAGAATAAACACTATAAAAACGTACGAATCGCACTAATAAAACCGCAAAAAAAATAAGATTGTTAAAAAGTGTATACTGTTTTTTTTATATATATTCATCATTTATTCTGATTTCTTCTCATCATCATTTGATTTATCATTCGTTACATTACTATCAGATTGAGACTGGCTCTGTCCAGAAAGGTTTTGTGGATCCAGAGATCGCCTCAAATTCTCCACGAAATTTGGATCTGCCGAGTGCATTCTACTAGCCAATGTTTGACCTCTAAAACACAACAAATAAATTATTATCAATTGACAATACATAAAGATGATAAATATAAAACTAACAAGTCCAAAGGAGATCAAAGAAACAACGTATCTGAGGAACAATAAGAAAGCACCAGGCATCGATATATTATCCTAAAAAAGGGCTTGTGATGCTATCTTACATATTTAATGTCATTATAAAGCTGCAATATTGGCCGAAATTTTAAAAAGAATCTGAAATAATATTTATCCCAAATTTCATACTCAAACCCCTTTTTTGCCATTGGCGTAGAATTTTTAAAGGTGCAATTATTTAACAAATCAAGTTCTACGCCTATGTATTATTATCGGACAAAATTTTATACGATGAAAAACTTAAAAATATACTTTTTTCATATCTTCTTCAACACCTCTAATCGACACTTTTAACAAAAATATTCGATTCTTGCCATGTACGATTTTTTGAGGAATATTAATTATTTGCCTGCAATACGTATACAAAAACATTTATTGTTGGTTTCCATAGTTTCATCTAAATAAAAATATTGTCAAGTTTTAACACCTAATCTCTTGTTAACGATTGAAAGTGTTCTATCTGACTCAATAATTAAAAAACAAATGCGTGGTTTATTAATATGGCTGTACAATATACCAATGCAGAATATACCGATATGTTACTGACATTAGGATTTTGTGAAGGAAATGCTCGAGAGAGTGTCAGGGTGTACTCTGAAAGGTTTCCAAATCGTCGTGTACCTAGCCACCCAACTTTTGCTGCTGTTGAGAGACGTCTTCGGGAGACCGGTTCCTTTGCTCTCAACACTGTTGATAATGGAAGAGAACGTTTTGTAAGGATTCCTGAAGTTGAAGAAGACATTTTAGAACGTGTTGAAGAAGATCCAGAATTAAGCACCAGACGAATTGGAAGGGAACTAGGAGTAAGTAAAGATGTCGTTCATAAAGTGCTTAGAGAACAATTGCTATATCGATACCTAAAGAAGCCAGTACAAGAATTATTAGTCCATGATCCTCAAATTCGTTTGGGTTTTTGTCGATTTGTTAATATGCAAAGAGAAAGAGATCCAAACTTTGTCAAGAAGGTTCTCTTTACCGATGAAGCGGGTTTTACAAGAAGAGGTATAACTAATACCCATAATGAACATGTTTATGCCGTTGAAAATCCGCATGCAATAAAGGTAAACCTTTTTCAGCACGAATTCAAAATTAATGTGTGGGCTGGAATAATTGGTAATTTCATTGTTGGTCCTGTCATACTTCCACGAAGATTAACTGGAGAAAATTATTTGGATTTTCTACAAAATACGTTGCCAGAATTGTTAGAAGATTTACCTCTCCAACTTCGGAGAGATATGTGGTTTATGCAAGATGGAGCTCCACCACATTTTTCTTTAAACGTTACAAACCACTTGAATGAACAATATCCACACAAATGGATAGGCAGAGGTAATGACGCACACGTTCCCCAGACCTAACACCGATGGATTACTTTTTATGGGGACATCTGAAATCCACAGTATACAGGGAACCTGTAGAAAATGAGGAACAACTCTGGCAACGTATTCAAGATGCAATCAACAATCTTAGAGGTGATGAAGAAGTTATGGAAAGGATACATTTTAATTTTCTTCGACGTATAAATCTTTGTATGCGTGAAAATGGTGAACATTTTAAACAATTTATGTAAAATCTCTATTTTGATTTTGTTGTAAATAAATATTTTTGTGAAACCTATACACTCTAAATTATTAAAACAAGAGTACCTGTTTTAAAGTAAATGAGTTGCGCAATCTAAATTTCATACTCAAACATCTTTTCTTCCATTGGCGTAGAATTTTTAAAGGTGCAATTATTTAAAAAATCAAGTTCTACGCCTATGTATTATTATCGGACAAAATTTTAATACCATTTAAATAAATTAATAAAATCAATGACAGATGAGAACATACAACAAAATGAATCGCGGCAGTGAATGATATCACAAAAAGAATCTAAAATCAAGGAACTATATTTGTAAGCAGATAGAAGAAAAAACACTGTATATGGAAATCAATCTGCTCCAGCTGCTCACAACACTTAAGATTATTTTATTTGATATTGTAATCTGGTTAAAACCCATTTATGATTAAATTTAGATTCTATTTTTGCTAAAATTTAAACGTTTACAAATAATGCACAACTTACGCTTGTATTAACGCATCTAGATTTGGATCTCCAGACTGAACTGACATAAATCTTGACATCCTAGAAAGAAAAGTTATTATGAACGTGAAATATCAAATAAAATCAATCGTTTATAATTTACAGTGTCTACGTACACGCTAACTTGTACGCAATTCAAAAAATTATATACACGCGAAACGTCTTGTCAGAGTAGGTGAGCTGTGTGCATGCCGTTGGTGTTAATGCCGGTCGGCGTAGCTAGGTATGGATTAAAATTTTTTGGTGGCGGCAAAGCCGCCACCCTACGAACAGTCGTTGCTTCGTTTTCTTGTTGTAACGGCATTATTATTATTTATTCATGTATGTAAAATTTGCTTCTAAGGTTTATAAAATACTACTGCTAGTCACGGCGTAAATGAAAACAAATAAGACGCATTCACACAAACACCTCCCACCACAGCAATATGACGTTTCGCGTGTAAATAATTTTTTTTATTTTTGCACACTTTAGCGTGTACCAAGCAACAGCGTATAATTTAACAAGCATACCAAATAAGATATGACAAAAAAAAACACTTACAAGTTCCTAAAGTTTGAATCACTGAGCATTTGCGTGGCCATATTGATTAAATTTGGATTATTAATAAACTGAGATATATCTAACGGCCTATGTTCGGGCGGTGCAGCACTTTCTGTAAGTAATTAATAAAAATATTTTAAAAAATGAAATCAAGCACTATAAATATTTATTTACCCATATTACAAAACATCTTTTCTTCCGCCAATTTTAAGTTAGTTTCATACATTGCATTTCCAGGATCGTGTTTCAGTGCATTTTTATAAGCCTGGCATGCTTCATCAAATTGGTTAAGATTTGAATAAGCTATTCCAAGTCTGCCATATGCTTTGCCATATGTGGGATCCAATTTTATTGCTTGTTTGCAATCGTTTATTGCTTCCAAATGTTTTTCTAATCTACTATATGCTGCAGCTCTGTTACAATAATACACTGCATTGTTCGGATTTAAACTGATTGCTCTGAAAATTCGAAAATACGAATTCATTTTTAACTGTGTATAGAAGATATTAAAATAAACATTTTCAAAACAAAAACTTAAAAACAAGAAACTTACAGAAAGCAACCAAAGTCATATGCATTGTGAATAAAAGAGCCAAGATGATCACTTGGATCTTAATACATTATAGTCGAAGTTGTGCCTAGAAATACTATATGGTTAGGTATAAATGAACAAGAACATCAATGAAGATATAAATATATTAGTATCTATTAAATTTTATTAAACATCTAATGATTCTGAGCTGAGTTAAAACAATTATAAGTTGAAAAGACAATAATTACCAAAAAAACGTCACCACTCCGATTACAGTAATTTTTTATTGGCAGGTGGATTTAAATAGTTTATCAAAAGTTGTTCTAATATTTAGAAACGTTGAGGCTAGCATAATCAATGACCCAAAAGATATTATGGTAAAATTTCAATAAAAAAATCTAACATTCTTAACTATATCACGACAAATAATAGTAATAGCCGTCCCTTCCCTTATGAAATTGTAGGGTGATGAATGGGACCGTATTTTGCATTTTTTAAAGGACATGCCAAATTTATGTGACGTCAGTGTTTAGCTTACAGCCGTCTTGAATTTGTTTAAATGGCAACGTAGGTCGTGATATATCAGAGAAAGGCTTATTTTTTCCTCTTTTCAAGAACACTAAAAAAGTACCACGTTACTAATGAAAAACCCCAAAACATTGCAGTTCTATTAATCTACTTTTAGTAAGTATGCCACATGTTCATTTAAATCCACAAAGACCTCCTATAAGGACATCTACGGTTTCGAGAAAAACAAATAAATTGAATAAAACGTACAAGATTGCCTAAACTGCAACTAATGAATATAAGACTTTATATCTCCTATTAGATGTTCAAGAAAATACTGTTCGTACACTCAGATATGTTTCTTATTCTTTTGTTGTCAAATCAGGGATACTGCAAGGTTCACACTGTGGACCGATATTATTTTGTCTATTTGTTAATAACATTTATCAGAACATAGTAAACACAAAGTTTTTTACTTTTTGCTGACGATTTAAAATAATACTGATCCGATTATGCTTCAAAATTGCTCAATTGCGTGAAATTATATTTAAATACATGCAAACGCTTCATAAATATCGTACTTGCTAAAAAACAGAGGGTAAGAACTTAGGCGTAATTTTTTATACAAAACTCAGTTTTGAGTCGTATTGATGCAATTCTTTAAAAGTCCATAAAATGCTTGAAATTATATTAAGATCATCAACAGATTTTACTATAATTTCTTTAAACATTTTTTAATGATCATTAGATCGCTCAATACTGGAGTACTTAACTGCATGATGGACTCGATATTAAATAAAATATGTTGACGATCTTAAAGATACAAAACAAATGTTTGAGAGTAGTTGTTTGTAGATTAGAAATTAGAAGATAAGAAAATATCATTATTGCCTCTCGAAGATAGACGAATTGTTGCATCATTGATGTAATTACGTAAAACTTCTATCAAATCACTCCTGAAATTGGTCATATATCTTTTTTAACATTCCTATTATAACTACAAGACAATGTTCTCTGTTTTATATCCCTTACCACTCTACAAATTAAGGATACAATTCACCAATTACTCAGAATGTTGCGAGAAGAAAATAAATATTCTGATAAAATTGATTTTACTTTTCTAATTTTAATTTTAAGTATCAAATTTTGTTTAAAAATTATATCTGAATGTGTTTTGTTCTACTTTGACTGATTTTATAATAAGTACTGAATTTATATTAATAAAAAACATTGTTAATTTAATTTAGTTCCAGTTTTAGCTTAAGACATTTTTATTACCTGTTTTATTTCTAATTTTTATTGAGGGTAACCCCGTTAAATAAATAATTTAAACCAAATAAAGGATTTGATTAATTAAGTCTAACACTTCAACTTCAATATGGTTAGTACACCCATAATAAATATAAAATCATCAATTTTTCACTAACTGTTGCTACGGCCTGGTCTGTTCTTTCAATTTATTCTACCCTTGGTTTACAGGTGTTTTGTAAACTAAACATATAAAACTCCACAAAAAATCACAAAGATTTAGGTCTAGTAATATCGGTGGCCACAAATTGACAGATACACTGCATGATTCATAAGAAAAAACAGTTAAACATATTATCAGTGGCAGCTCGTGCCCTTGAGGTTGGGAAAGGAGACCAATATTTTTTTCTGGGGTTGAACTGGGACAGGAGTCCTTGGCACTGCTTATCAGCCTACGATATTTGTGAAGTGTTTGCCTGTATTTAAATATAATTTCACGCAATTAAGCAATTTTGAAACATAATCGGATCAGTATTATTTTAAATCGTCAGCAAAAAGTAAAAAACTTTAGAGTTTACTAGGTTCTGATAAATGTCATTAACAAATAGACAAAATAATATCGGTCCACAGTGTGAACCTTGTAGTATCCCTGATTTGACAACAAAAGAATATGAAACATATCTGAGTGTACGAACAGTATACAACAGTTAATGTTTTAGCATTTTCTTGAACATCTAATAGGACATATAAAGTCTTATATTCATTAGTTGCAGTTTGGGCAATCTTGTACATTTCATTTATTTATTTATTTTTCTTGAAATCGTAGATCTCCTTATAGGAGGTTTTTCTCTAATTGTTACTACAGCCTGCTCTGTTCTTTCAATTTATTCTACCATGGGTTTACAGGTGTCTTGTAAATTAAACATATAAAACCCCACAAAAAATCATAAGTATTTAGGTCTGGTAATATCGGTGGCCACAAACTGACAGATACACTGCATGATTCACAAGAAAAAAACTGTTAAATATATCAGCAGACCACTATTTTTTTCTGGGGTTGAACTGGGAGAGGAGTCTGATTTTTTAATTCTGTATCTTTCTTATTTTTGAGTTTTTTAAAACGTTAATTAAAAATATTTATTTTAATGACTTCTATTATACACTTAAAAAAATAATATCATCTTAGGAATCACCTTTATATACCATAGATAAGGTATTGCTTAGTGTTGGATAGCAGCATTTTGAATTTTTCTTTAAAACACTCTTAATATAATACAAGATGGCCTTTGTAGATTTGAAAAGTAAAACTTCTCTCACTTTGCAGTTGGCAATTTTCCTAGCTACAAGTAAAATTGCTGCAATTTTTATTGAGCACAAGAAAAATTGCTATTTAGAGTTCCCCAACTTTAAAATACTAAATAGGTTTGCCAATATACCAAGCAAACATACATGATAACACGACACAAAATATGTCAAATACCAGAAATATATACTTTAAACTCTCATTTACTTGCAAGCACAGAAAATTGCAAACTGTAAAGTGACTCTAAAAATCTTTTGAAATATTTAAAAAAGTGTTTGGTCCATTATCTATTGCTCCAGGCTGTACAGGTTATGTGATTAGGTTAAGTTTGTTTTAATTGTTTTCAGTATATGTATAATTGTAATGATAAATTAATAATAAGCGGTGTTTTATTTTACTCTGCTTACACACTCATGCCCATAGCATCTGCCGTAAGCCATAAGCCTATAAAAATCTATTTAAGATAAATTTAGAAACAAATAATTTTCCAAAACATACACAAATCCTTGATTTTTACTTCTAAGGTTTTGCTTACTTAGAATATTCTGCTAAGGCTTCAAGATACAAAGAATTTTTCATATGAGAATTACCATTATTCTTACAAATTTCAGCTTCTTTCATCTGTTCTTCAGTCACTACCACCTGAAAATTATGATAGCGTTGTTATGTGCTCTCTATACAATACTTAGCACTTGAAATTGTATAAAAACAAAACCACAATGCAAACCTTACCATTTTTCTCTGTTAACAAGAAAATACTTGCAGGGATATTCAAAACTGAACTTGATGTTAACACTATTATTCTCTACTATATGAAGGTTATTTGTCAATCGAATTATATATTGTTAGTTTTTTTATTTTCATATTCAAAATAATCAAATTATGAATGTGCAGATATAATTAAATATACCAAGATATCTTTATTGTGCAGTTTAGATATGATAGATGACTAATAATCAAAATAATGCATTCAGACAAGATATATTTATGATTTCATTTTTATTCACAAATACAAATTAAATTCTTTTAGAGGATGACAATTTATTTTTTTTAATGTTAAATCGGTGACATCATTGACATTTTTGTGGTCTTACAAAATGATTATGATTACAAAGACTAAAAATTAAAAGGTACTTGAAGTATAACAGTTATTTAAACAAAGGCAGTTGGATATTATGTAGTTACCTTACTAAAAGATGGCATCAGAGAAACTAAGTCCAATTTATCATTTTCCAAGTTATTCCTAACTTCAGAGTCAACCTCAAATGCAGTTTCTAAGCATTGAATTGCTACTTCCACAGATTCTTTTCTTTCATCATTGAGATTGCCATTGATTAACTCATCTTGTAAAAAATGTATTACATTTACAATGAGACATTGCTTTTTTGCATCTAAACTAGAATCCATTATCTGAAAAATTCGTATAAACCCAAACTAACACATTGTACCATTATTTGGATGAATACAATATGTAGTTTATTTTTCAATAATTAGAAAATGTTATTCAGTTATATTCTTTTCTTCTGTTGCAATTGTAAACAATGCAAATCATTCAAATAGTATACATACAGACTTATAAGACGGACAAAACTGATAATATGTTTGAATTAAGTAAATATGATATATGTATTATTAATTATAAAGTTTCATTATTAATGTTTTTTATCTAAAATGGTCAGATATGCTATAATAAGAGCATTAAAACCATTCTGTACACAATAACGAAATGTCATGCTTGTTTTTGATTAAATTATGAAAAAGATGTATTATAAATGTAAGTTTTAGACAAAATACAAACCATTTTAACAAGAAATACAGTTTTGTTCGTTTATTACTCAGCAATGTCACAGATTGAATGATATCTTTTAAAATTTACTATGAAATTTTAATTTTTGTAAAAATATAAAAGTAATAGTACTAACCTGATTTATTTGGGTAATATAAATACTCTAAATTTGGCTAGAATTCAGTTATAAAGTTAATTTCCTTAATTTTAGCTCATTCATTTGTGGCACCAGCACAACTTCCAAATTTTCGATAGAGGTTATATTTTAATATTTCTTCTTATTTATAAAATGACAAAGCAGTTTGTCAAAATGTGGCCTCTATTGAAGCTATAAACTAAGTACAGATTCCTTGTCGCACCTTTAATACAGGGTGGGCAAAAAGTCGCTTTTTCCAAAACAATACAATTAAAAAAAATTAAGTTTCAAAAATATTTATAACTTGATTAAAAATGTTCCTGTTCGGTCGGTGTAGGCCACGATTACACCATTATTCATTTAGTATTCAACGTTCATGGCGCAAGGATATGATTACTAGAAACGAACGGCAAATTGTATTTTTTTTAAATTGTATTGTTTTCGGTAAATCGACTTTTCGACCACCCAGTGTAGACAACGGTTCAAGCATTTACCGTAAACCCAAAGAAAGAAGTACACCTCACGAAGCTGGGAATTTAGATCTTTTGGTTTTATTTTATACTAGGACACAGCTATCCTTCCTCCATGGGACACACACCACGGCTAAAGAGAGTAAAAATTTGCTCCACTAACGTTATGCAGACAACGACAGCATCATCAGACGATTTATAAACTATTTACAATCGTCTGATGATGCTGTAGTCAGCGAAACGCCCGTCGATCAGTTAATATATAACAGCTTTGGTGCATTGTTTTGTTATATATCATGCATCAGAAATGTTCCATGGTGAAACAATAAACTTGCGAAGCTAAGGAAACAAGTAAGGAAAAAATTCAACAAGGCTAACGAAACAGGCTAACGAAACCATACGGATCAGTTAGAACAAAGCCTTATGCAAAGTCAAGAAAGATTGCTGGAAGAGGCACTGTGAAGAGAAAGAAAACACTCAAAAATGTGCCAGACTCCTTTTAAAAAGACAAAACACAATAAACTCTTAAGTACGAATTAGGAGAGTAAAGAAGAACGGGGAATGAAACAATAAGATATGTACATCGCTTTAGGGTTTATTTACCTGGGTCAGAAACCATAGAACACACACCGGCAATATGGAGTCCAATTGGACTAGAAGCTCGTAAAGGAGCCAACAGTGAGGAGTGGCAGATTATCAAAGAAAGTGGTGGATTACGAAAAAACTAAAATTGATAATCAACTCATTTGAACCATATAAATCACCAGGAATTTCCGGGATTTATCCGATAATGCTACAATGAGGACCTGATATTTTATATAGAAAACTCAGCAGTATACCCAGAAGTAGCCTGACATTTGGATACATACCAACAGCATGGCGAAACATTAGAGTCAGCTTTATACAAGGTCCTTAAGACCAAGAAGTCTAATGTCTTTCGTACTCAAGACTTTAAAGAAACTGCTAGATAGACATATTAGAGATGGGATATTCGTTCAAATACCAGAAGCAATACGCCTATAGTGCAAAAAAATCAACAAAAATAGCTCTCCATCAATTAGTAAAAAGGACACTGGAAAACAAGCAGGTAATGTTAGGAGCTTTCGTGTACATCGAGGGAGCATTAGACAATACCTTCGTCATTATATGGAAACCCAGTGCCCAACGACAGGAACATGCCTGGTACACAAACGGGTCAAAGACTACGGAAGCCACTGGATCTTAGTGATGCCGCGAGACGAGAGATTCTCGTCTCTCGTCTCGACTTGTCTCGTCTCGAACGAGACGAGAGAGCCATTTTCTCTCGAAAACAGATTCGAGACGAGACGAGAGAGTGTCATCTCTCGACGATCGAACTCTCTCAGGCACTCTCGAACAATTTTCTATTTGCTTATTTGAAATTTTCAATTGCTTATCGTAACTTAAAATTTTAACATATTCGATTTCGAGATTGTCAAAAAGTTAACTATAACACACCTATTCTATATATATTAAATGGTAACAAATGATACATGTGTTATTAGGATTTTATAAATAGTGATTTATAAGAAAACATATTTCTCATTTCATTTATTTAAAATTTATACAATAATTTCTTATATTTAATTCATTCTGCTTTTCTGAAGTTACTTTTAAAGATAAGTTGAAAATTTTTAAGCGTTTTTTTTGAAAAACTGTCAAAGAAAAGTTAATAGAAACGAATGTATTATATACAGTGAGGACGAAAATTGTACCCTCCTCTATTTTAACTTCTAAAAACCGAGGTAAAACTCAAGAGATATTGTATTTTTGTTATAAAGAGATGCACTTTACTTGAGACACGTAAGATAGAGGGAGTTACTAGCTTTAAATTTTTTAATGGAAAGAAGGGTCATGTGGTACCTCATTTGAAAAATATAGTTCTATATTTTTACGTTCATTAAACAGATTTAGGTTTTCATATTTTTACAGAAATTATATTAAATAAATTCATAAAGTAGGTAAAAATCTTTTTTTTTATTTACCGCTTCAACCTCAAAGGATCATTACCGAAGGTATAATACCTTATAAATACTGTTTTTTCTAATAGTATACAATGGATAATTAACATTTTGGCTAGTACAAAGTAAATGTCAGTATCTTTTATAAATTTAAGTAATTTTTTACTGTTAAAGGGGTTTAATACCGCACAAATAGCAATTTTTTGTAGCTGGTACTTTGTTCTTATACCAACATGTTTTGGGCCTTTACTCATAAGTTACATTCTTGATAACTCTCGTATTAACAATTATTGTTTATTACTAAGAAAACGCTTCTCGTATTTACTGAAATAAATAAATTAAGAATATTAAAGGTGATTCAAAAACCACTTGACGTATTAAATTTTTCATAACTTCTTAGCAAAAAAAAGCTTATTAAAAAATTCTCTTCTAACATTATCTAATATTTCTAGGATTAATGCGACACACGAGGATTATCAAGAATGTAATTTTTATAAAAACAAAAAAAAATTGTTTGCTTGGACGTAAATATAATCAAAATATCTTTTAAATGAGGTATTACATGACTTTACTTTCCATTAGAAAATTTAAAGATAGTAATGCCCTCTATTTTACGTCTCAAGTAAAGTGCATCTCATTATAACAAAAATATCATAATGTTTCTCTAATTTCACATCGTTTTTGTTTTATGTTTCTATCTTCTTGCATTTTGAAAACAAACTACAAAATGCTTTCATTTGACATCGCAGGATTGCATTAGAAACATTCTAACTTCCAATTTAACCTCTTCTCCCTCTCCCCAACTGACTTACAAGACAAATTATTTTCGTTTTTAATTAACGCCTAATCTCGGCCACTTATCACTTCAAATTTCAATTGTAAAACGACTGTGACAGACAGAGAGACATAAGTGTTTCTTATTGCCAAATTTCGTCTTTTTCAAATTTAAATTTGATATTTTTTTATCACGAGAGAAACGAGACGAGACGAGACAAGACGAGAAAAGGGCTCTCTCAAGCGAGAGAAGCGCCTTCTCGTCGAGACGAGAGAACAGTTTTCTCTCGCCAGACGAGACAAGGGAGGCCACTCTCTCATCTCGTCTCGCGGCATCACTACTGGAGCTGGAGTATTCTCAAAAAACCCCAACATTAACCATAGCTATGCAATAGGAAGATTCGCTTCAGTATTTCAAGATGAGGTTTATGCAATGTGCAAGAACAAACAATAAGCAGATCCAAATAATGTCAGACAGCCAGGTGACCTTAAGGCCATATTAAGTCAGAAAGTGACGTCGAGGCTGGGATTGCATCGAACAACTGAGAACACTGGCAGACCGAAATAGTGTAAAACTAGTTTGGGTACCAGGTCATCAAGGGATCGAAGGCAATGACAAGGCTGACGAACTCGCAAAGATAGGGTCAGAAGATATACCGGAACCTTGAAGTACCAAAAGGTAGAGTTCGAGGTTTTATAAATGACTGGGTTCGGAGAAAACACATCAACTATTGGGAAAATGTCCCAAAATAAGCACATGGGAAGACCTCTATAGGAAGACCATGTTTAAAAGAGCAGGAGAAGTACTCTCCTTGAATAGGAACCAGTTGAAAACAATAAGAGAATTCATGACCTATTATGTTGACTCTGTCACAAGGAACCAGAAACAGCCAAACACATATTGTGCAACTGAGAGGCATTGGATCGCAAAAGACAGGCACTGTTTGGACAACGACTGGTTGATCCAAGAAACTGTAAAACACACCCTCAAAGACTTGCCAAACTTGTACAAGTGACTAAGGTGACAGAGTAGGTACTATCAATTAATATGGGTCAAATACAATTGGCTATTAGGCTTCAGTTTGGTCGGAGATTAAGTCAGACGAGCCCAGGGAAAAAGTAAGTAAGCAGTAATTTATATACCACCCAACATATACTATTAAATATCTCAAAAACTAATAAAGATAGAGAAGTACGGTTTTCATTTTTGAAAAGAACGGAATATTTTCCTTTGTTTGGGATATCTAAGCGCGACAATAAAACATAGTAAACATGTTTGATATTGAAAGTTACCTATATGATGTTTTAGTTATTACTCAAGATATGTACTACCGTGGAGGAAGGATTACGCCCGTATTACAACACTAAATTACTACTTATATAACTATTTATTTATATTTCTTCGGATAAGCATAATAATCTATCTAGGTCGCAGTGGAAGATCATCCCACTCATTTTCAACCTTACTCCTCCGGATATTGAGTTTATAGTTTCTGGTGAGATAATTGCCTTTATATGGCTCTCAGAATGTACATATAGCTAGTAGTAGTTTTGCCCGATACTTTTTAATTTATTATTTCTCTTGATTATTACCTACCTTGTAAAACACTGTTGCACGATGGTTCAAATAGAGGGAGGTAGATGACAATATCACCCTGTATATTTCTATTTTTATACTCAATTGTATTTTGTATTAAGTAGTATATCCTTATATTTCATTCTTTTATAGTAAGGTGCATACACATAAAAAACAGTTTACAAATAAAATGGGATTAATCAAGTTCATGTACAATTAACATTAATTGAAGGGGTCAAAGAGCCAACCAACTTTGAGACACTGTGGCGGGAAGTAGCTAATTTTTTTCAAATTAGTCATCGCCAGGCATGCGTTTCTTCTTAAAATGTCTAAGCAAAAACGGTTTTTACATTTTTTTATGCATAGTACCCGAAGATAGAACCTAAATATACGTGGACACGTCGAAGTGTGTCTCAGGTAAAGAATTTATAAAGTGAGTAGGTAAACATGTTTCACTACATCATAATATGATATAGTAGACTCACCTTATGTTGATATCATATCGTCTTGCCTTTTTTTCTAAACTATTTTATTATCTCCTGTTCCTGATGCTTCAAACATTTTGCCAATTTCAAGTCGCCAGCAAAGAACTTAGAAAAATCAAAAAGAGATCTTTAATGAATATAAAGAATAATAGTGGACGTAATTTGGAACCTTGTGGTACACATGAAGTTGTTACTTTGACCAAAGCTTTGTGACATTCTAGTACTAGCTCTAAATAAATTCGTGATCTGTCCAGGGTGAGTAGTACTTGTCTGAGATCTGTTTAAATGTTTAATAGCTATTTTGTGGCATTTCCCGTAAAGATATATAAAAAGCAACACATTTAAAAACAAAAAACAGGCCTTAAAAACTATGCCATAAAAAAACAACTCCTATCGATTTTTTGTGATTTAAATTCTCATGTCTAGGCTATTGTTGAAGTTAGCTCAACAAACCCATAATGATCCGGAGTCTATTTAATGAGACCTATAATAGTATAATCTGTAACAAGGTTGGAATGAATATTCGATATATGTGGAAGATTCTGATGGCGAGAGTACGCGAGCGTGAAGAACCACGAGTATCGGATTTTCATTCCAACAGAGTAACAGACTGTACTTTTTCCACGACCACAGATACAGTAAGTGTTAAATTAAACATTGAACAAAATGAAATATTTAATCTAACTTATGTTAGGCTAGTTTTTAATTAAATCATTTGCATAATTTGTCAGTTCAGGAGAATTATTATCAAATTCTATATCAGATTTATTATATTTACCCATTTTAAATTTAAATACTCAACAAATGCCGCTTACCTTTATTCAGGCAAAGTTAATCTAAATAATAATACGTCACGTAGAACTGTCAATTATGAAATTCATGACTATCTAAGATGCGGGCGTGATTTCGCAGTCATTGACCAGAATCTATTACAGAATAAACATTCTGTCACTAGAGTTAGAATGAAATACGTGTAAAATACATTTTTTTTTTCAATCTGAGAAGCAAGAATGTTTTTTTTTGTTATTATAAGTGGTTTCGAAAGTAGGTATACATTCAGTACTGACTGGAGAAAATGATATATTACACATTGGTTAGAACAAAGCGAGATACAGCGGTATAAAAATTACAATTTTGTTCAAAAAAACTTTTCCTAGTTCACCAAATACCGACACGATATGCATTCTATGCAAGCCGTCGAATTAGTACGCTCATGTATAACGTTGGTGCATAGGGGAGAGTGCGGCACAAGGACCACTTAAGGCCAAAAGTCGTCATAGTCCTTTATCACTATTTCTAAAAATTTCACTATATAAGATACTGGAGCTACACCTATGCGGTATCGACTGATGCATATACCTGTACAAAATCTTACTTGGCATTGATTCTATTTTGAAAAGTTTGACTGTATGTATTCGGTCCGCTCTGTCCCATACATTGGGGCACAAAGGACCGCTGTGTTACTTGTATATGTAAAAAAACTAATTCCGAATTTAATGATGATAAAAAACAGGTTTTATTGAAAAACGAACCACAAAACACAACAATAATGGTTTATATTTAAAATAAAACATTAATGCTCATTTTTGACAAAAATAAACGCTAGGTTCTTATCTTAATCACACTTTGCGCATAGGAACTGATTGTCATCTTCTGATGCACCTGCACACATTTGGTGGGCCCAATTTCGGCACAACTGGCATTGAATCCACCCTTCGTCAGGTTTGGACTTTAAAAATTTTCCAACACAATATATGCATTTTGGATTAATTTCATCGTCTGATTAGCTAGAATCGTCATCCAGTCTCCGTTGTGTTTGAAGTTTCTTTCTCTTTTTTGGTAAACCGTGGCTATTTTGCAGACTTTTTCCTTTTCCAGAAGCCGAGAAGCATTTTCTAATAACCTGCTTACCTTTTTCAGAATTCTTTTTCAGTGATGCATTTCTCTTTTTTTCTTGAATTTCGGCTTCTAGAGAGTCTTTAAACGGCGTTGCTGTTAATTCTTCTGCTGTTTGAGCTTTCCGTTTGGTATTTGTTGCACTTTGGCTTGGGTGAAATTGTAGCCAATATTTTTTCAAAATCATCTCCTGATGGATCCTTGGCAGTCGACGGACCTGGTGTTGGTTCAGAAGTGTCCATTTTTCGTGAGGTTGAGGGTACTGGTAATATTAGTCCTGATTGAACAGCATCGTCCTCTGGGACCAACTCTGGGTTATTATTGAAGATGTTACTATGCTAAAGCAGTGGTTCTGCATTAAGTTGATCATTCTTTCTATTATCAAGATCTGCTGTCACTTGTGGATTCTCAGTGACCGACGAAGGAAGGAAGTCAGTATCTGAAAATACATCAAGATTTAGCGGACAAATACCTGTTACATAAAAACCCTTGACGGCCTTTTCTGGCACTTTTAAAAATGCTTTGCCAAAAATCTCCATAACATGATAGATTGATATTCTTTGAGCTGGGTGATTGGAAAGCCATTTATCACATTCTCGCGCATATTGTCCTTTTAACGGTCCATAAAAAGAACAGTCAAGCGGCTGCATACGATGGCTTGTAAGAGGTGGAAGAGAGATCTTCACAATATTCAAACTACGGGCCTTTAAAATGGCATCCAGGTTGCGATGGCTGGAGTGATTATCGATTATTAACAACACTTTTCTATTTTCGGATGCACGTGCGTGTTTAGCAAAGTGTTCTAAATATTTAAGAAAGTGCTCACTATCCATACATCCGCTACTATTTGAATATCCCACAGTTCCAGCAGGGCAACCCTTCATCAATAATTCAGACATTCTTTTTCTAGGGAAAAGCACAAACGGAGGAATGTAAGAACCTGAAGCTGATATTGCACATGTTACTGTAACATTGAAACCCCTTTCTGTGCTGACTATGCTGCCTACTTTCTTGCGTCCCTTTTGTGCAACAATTTTTCGTGGCTTAGGTACGGTATTCATGCCAGTTTCGTCAGCATTATATATTTGGTCAGCTTGAAATTTGTACTTCTTCATCACCGAGGACAACAAATTATAAAATTTAGTAACCTGCACTTTATTAAAACCAGCCGCTCTCGCAATACTGGTTGGTTCAGGAGATAAATTCGGATGCCTTTTTCTAAAATGATATAGCCAGTCCACACCTGCCATTTTTTTTTCTTTGCTGAAGGGATGAGCAATATTCATCTTCTCTGCTACTTGAAAAACAAGTTTTCTTATATCAGTGGGCCCCAGACCATAAAATGTTGTTTCTAAGTCAAGAACATGTTTAACAATTTGTTCTTCTTGAATTTTAGTGAATACTTGTTTAAAGTGATCATTTCGCGGAGGCGTAACATTATTACTTTTAATACGCCTTAGAAGACTCGTTTTCTGGACACTATATTGCTTGGCTGCCTTTGTGATGGATAATTCACTCCTGTTTACAGCACTGATGGCAGCTTCAACATCTTGGATAGTCCACGCTGGGACAGGCTCCTTTCTATTATACGTACGTACTACGTACCATCTGAAATAGAAGATATAAGAATTATCTTTAGCGGGGTAAGCAGGACCAAGAGGGAGCACAAAGGACCAGATGTTGGTCCGCTATGCCCCGAATACACACTTCAGACGAAGTTATAGGTTATGAAATCTACAGGTAGAATTATTGTAAAATATCATGTCCTTATAAGATCTTATTAATGGGAGTTTCAAATGCATGCAACACGTAAACACATCATTACAATTTTAAATTATTTACGAGGCAATAAAAATAAATAAATATTACATCACATACCTTGAAAATCACTCTTTTGGCCACAAAAATGTACGAGTTGTCGAATCGGCGATTATAGACTAATAGACATAGAAAGATGTGCGGACTTTAATATAGTGTAAAGCCGACCAGGTGGCAGCACGTATAGTAGAAATATAAACAAAGTCCTTTGTGCCCCGCCGGTCCTCTGTGCCCCACTCTCCCCTAGTGAAATCACGGTGACATTATTAGTAAGGTCAAAATGGCATTTTGGCTCCTATTTTTTTAAATTTTGTCTTTATCCCAATCCATTTTGCAAATCATATTCACACCCCGACAAAATAGGTTATGTTAATCGAGTTAAATTTTTAAACGCTCACTATTGAGGGATAATTTTAAAATGTATTTTAAATATTATTTAAATCTGAGACAATAAATTTTAATTTCGTTTAACACAACGGTGGAATCGGCCCTAACGTGCATTATATTGTCTCCCAGTTAATGTCTAGACCCCCCTTGTTACACTACACGCCGTTGAATTTACATAATTTAAAATAAAATAGAAATAAGAAATAATCGATATTAAATGGCGTTCGTAAATATAATTATAATGTGTAATTAACGATAAGTAATGATAAGAAACAAAGCTATATTTTTATATTCTTCGTTTCTTGAGCAGTACATTCTAAGCTACTTTATCACTTTAACCTTATGATCTTACGAAAAGGTTTTTTTTTTTCAATTTATATTTCCAATGATGGGATCGGCTTTGAAACGGACATAGTTTAGGGCTTAAAATTTAAAATGCACTACACATTCGGTATCTGAGTATTCAATTTATCTCTATGTGATCCAGTTAAGCGCTCCGCAATTTAGCTTATTAACTTTTATTAAGTACTCTCTGGACCACGGTGTGGGTGATTGGATTTTGAAGTGAAGTTCCATGCGCGCGAGTGTGATTTTTTCTTTCGTTAAGTTCATTTTTCTTTCGGATTAACATGGTAAGTAGTAATAATAATTTTAATTTAAAAATTTAATTATTTGAAGGTTCACACAGTCGAGTAGGAAAAACACAACGATTTTGCCGCACTAAAAATATATTTCTTACTGGTTACTACCGGATTCAGTACAGTGACCATCTTCAGTTATAAAAATTAGGCAATACATTGCAAAAATGGGTGTGTTGGATAAATATTATATAATTCATGTTATGAGCCGCTTCTTGGGTTTCAATATCTCTTTTTTTTAAGAATAAAGTAGTCCCCCATCCTATTTTCTTTCTTATTTATTTTCTTTTTATTCGGTACTTCGCTTATTTCTCGAATTTCTTATGTTTCTTTTTTTGATTTTGCTATTTTTCGTCTTCTCTGACTGTTGATTCACATCCTTTCAAAATTTCTTCTCCCTCTATGTTTCCTTTTGTTATGTGCTTAAAATATGCCCCCAGCTACTTTAATATCTGCAATATTTCTTGTTTTTTTATAATACTTCATTTTAGATTAAACAAAGACAAGGGAGATTCAAACTGTTTTTCTAGAATAAATCCATGAAGCAAAGTATGTCATGATTTCTAAGAATAGCCAACTAATCATATTTGAGCTTCTTTTGAGTATTATTAGTCCTTTTTTTCATTTCATCCTATTTCTGATTCGTTTCTGTGCCAAGTTTATCTCAATCTTCATTATTTTATGTTTTTTTTTTATTCATTTTGTCACATTCTTCTAATATCTTATTTTTTGCAGGTGTGGATTGAATTTTTAATTAGCTTCGTGTTTTCTTGTTTCTTAATTTTAATCAGTAGCTTTCCTATTGTTTGTTCTTGCGTACATTTCAAAATTGCAGGACACAAACCTTTTACTATTTTCCTTACAACCTCGATCTTTTCTTTTTATTGAATCTGGTAATCATTTTATTTGTTAATGGCCTAAAATTGTTTGCCAGTGTAAGAAATATTAAGGAGTGTCGAAATATACAGCATGTCTCCAAAAGCTTAACTGTAGAATCCTGGGATAAAAACAAGGTGATTTATTCCAACTTACAATCACTTTTTATAGAGCCTATACGCTGAAAACTTTTATTTTTTTCAGAGCGACATTTTTTAAAAATATTTTTGTATCTTTACTACTTTTAATCTCTTTAAGTCTATCCACAAAAAACTAAATCTGATCTCATGACTAATGCATTTTTGATAGGAATGATCTAGTTAACCAGAATACTATCTCTAAACCTAAAATCAGTAATATGCCGTTAGTTATGTGTCAAAATCACAGAAGTTGGGTGTGAATCTTAACTTTTTTGTTAGTGTTACTTGTTTTTTCTAAAGTTTATCAACAATAATGGCCGAGTCTTGGATTTTGAGAAGGAAATTTTCAGAAAAGCGTGAGAGTAGGAATAACAAAAAATATTTCCTAATCGTTATGTGCCGAATCATAAGACAATAAGACAGTGGCAATAAGTTTGATACGTTTTCTTGAAAATAGAAGATGGACGATATAAAACTAAAGCCTTGTTTAGAGTAGGAGCGGCGCGCAACGTGCGTCGTGCGTCGGGATGCGATAGCGTTGCGTCGAGGGACGCAATTGATATTTCTGATATCGCATCGCTCGTCGCTCTCACTCTGAACCTTTGCGTTTGGTAACACTACCTAGAGCCTTGTTTAGAGTAGGAGCGGCGATCGTTGCGATGAGCTAGCGTTGCGTAGAGCGACGCGTGGTCGGTAAAACAATAAACGTTGAGTGAGAGCGACCAGCGATGCGATATTTAAAATATAAATTGCGTCGCTCGACGCAACGCTAACGCATCGCAACACGCGACGTTCCTACTCTGAACAAGGCTTTATTCTGTTACAATAACAAATGTTTTATTGCTATACCGACATTACCGACAAAATACTTTTTTGTTATTTCAATAAAAAATAATTCTGTCTACAATTAGAACATTCCTTTATTCTTTCTTGCCAAAGAATTTTCTGAACTGTATTTTTCACAGAAAATGTTGTTAAATAATTATCTATTAAACTTTTGTATGTATAACAGAAATTAAACTTCTTTTGTTGCATTAACAATTTTTTTGCGGTACTGTAACGTTTCTTTTTATTTATTTTTCTACACTTCTTAATTTTTTTTGTGATATTTAAATTTTGACCTTTATAATTTGGATTCCACAGTGACTTGAATAAATGTATTTTTCATACCAAAATAATATGGTGGATAGATGATTGAATTGTTCTGTTACCTGAAAAAAACAAAAATATCTTTATAAAATCACACTAGCCATATCTTATCTAAAAAAAATTGAAATCTCTTTATTTCAAGATACTGATTTGAGGACTTCAAAAAAAATACTGATGTGAAATCAATGATTTATTATATAAAACATATAGGTACATAATTAAATTAGGTAGGCATAAGACATAAACAAACTAAACTAATTAAAAATACAAACATAAAAAAAATATAAATTAATTTAAGACAATATTAAAGTTAGCATTACATGCCATGCAAATATTTTGTTGTGGATAGACCTTAAGAGTTTACAAACATTACAAAACATTTATAGAAAAAATATATAGGTTTCAAAAATCAATGAAGGTTTATAATTCGCAACCCTTAAGAACAGAACATACAGATGTGTTTCTAATATTTTTTCGTAATTCATAATTCATTATTTGTTGAAAAATGACAATTTATTTTTATTAATCTTTTACTGAGAATATTTTTAACGAAAAAGCAATGTAATCAAATTAGTATATCACAGTGGTAATCAGATATGGACGTGATAATTGTTACAGATGTTTCAAGTAAAACAAAAATATTATCAGATCTAAAAACACTTTTAAAATATAAGAAAATGACGAAATTCAAATGAGTTTTAATCTTAACTTGGTTTATGATCTCGATCTAACAGAATATTACCCAGAGATAAGTTTATGGTTGTTAATTAATTTTATTGACAATGGAATTATTGGTGAGACAATGGAATATAAGATTAACACAAATTACAAAAATGTAGTTACGGTATTTGTTTAAAAATTACTTTTCAAATTCTGTTAATTAGATTATTTTTTTTTTAATACGCACCCAAATTGAGACGAATATCAACAGTATTCCATTTATTTAAACTTCAATTTTTCCATACAAACAATTTTTAAGAAGTCGTTTACCGTAGGTCGAATCTTAAATCTGTGTGTTACATTATTGAAAAAGAAAACTAAGAAAAGTAAGAGAAAACACCCTTAAGAGGGTAAAAATCAATGGAAGGAGAGTGGAAGAGAATAATAAACTATACAATCCATCCATAACCTAATTTGTAAGAGCACTATCAACAATGGACCTAAAAAGGTCTAGATAGGGTGGATTTTTCTGGCTCACCGGAATGTTCGCAAGTATTTTTAGTAGAATTTTCCACCAAAAACGCAATAATTATTTAAGCTCTTGAATTTTTTATAACATAGATTTCTACTTATCTCGAGATTTAAATGGATTAGATCATATTGCAATTAAAAATCTTACGAAATGGATTAAGTGAAATCCAAATTGCTAATATTTATCATCATCATTGTCACGTATTGTTTTAATCCATTAATTCTAAGTCATTTTTGGTGTTAAAATTTAATCAAACACAGATATCACATCTGACTCATTTTGGTATATTTTGCCAATACAAAATACAGAAAGGAGTGATCTTTTAAAAGTTCAAATTTCACAATAACTTTTATTGAATTTAATTTCCTTATCTAGCGTGCCCATTGTTCTTAATAAAAAATGTATTGCCTTATTAATCTGAAAGCGATGACTTATAATAAATAATTGGTATAAATAGTTTTGTAAATAATACATAAAATTGATAACATATGAATAATGTTTTAACTAGTTCATAATAATAAATAATTTTCTTAGCGCTGATGTTCTACAGTTAACTCTAGCCGATTAATAATAATAATAATAATAATAATGATATGAAGGCGCAGATTAGCCTACATGAGAAATGAATTAAGGTTTCATTCTTAGTAATATAATATGGTGGTCAAAACCCTAATGGGACTAAGTTGCTGTTCGCTCTCTAGATCCATATTTTGGGTGGATCAATTCCACTCTTTACAATGTCCATTTTCCTCTAACCTCTACATTTTCTTGCCAAATATTCAAACGCGCCCTGCGTAGATCTTCTTTCACTTCCTTCAGCCATCCTGATCTGGGTCTTCCATGGATTTCTCAGTAATTTTAATATATTTGTTAGTGACCTTTTGATAAATATTTCTTACAATAATTATAACAGCTTTATTATCCAACAGGGTCCACTGATCTAACATATTATTTAAGTATATACATACCCTTGATGAGGACTGTGTGGACCTATCTAAGAAGAGATGGTCACGAGACAAATATTTATATTTTTGTAATTCACAACCACCTTCAACTTAAATATAAATAATAATGTAGAAACGCTGTTTATCATAAATAGATGATCTTATCAGATTTGTTGAACAATGGAAATGTTTATACTACCTAGTTCGTTTGTTATTTTTTCTTTGTTTACTCAATACTACAAATATATTATATATAATTAATCAACTAGAATATTGTTGACATAGTTCTTGTCCACCTGTATCTAATTAATTTCAAACTATCACATTCATTCAAATAAAAATCGAGGGAAGAAAAAATTATAATGATGACATTTATGACAATCTAAATAGAATATAGGGCCCAAAATAGAGCATTTTGAAACAAAATGTTACTCTACCTTAGTTATTGTATTATTTCAATATAATTCCTGCACGTATTTTGTTTTCAGCGCTAACCATCTTCAGTTATGAAAATCAATATTTTCTGGCTACTGAACCTACAATTATTTTTTTGCTACACACATGGAACCGACTGCAGAAAAGAACCAAAATGCGAAGTCACTCGAGTACATAAAATGAAAGCGGCAAATTGCTATGACAGGCAGTTCAAGAGCTTTCCAAAATGTTTAACTGGAGATGTAGAAGTAAGTAGACTTTTGAATCAATATATGTATACCGATTTGATCGAGTGAAACATTGGTGACGGGAGACACCAATACCGAACGGCACATAAATTCAACAAAAATGAATCTCTGTATTCAAAGTTTCCGTGGTGTTATTAATATGAATTAAAACAGAATGGGACCTACATTGGGACCTTGGGGTGGTCTAAAAGTTACATTTAACGATTCTAAACAAAGACCATTATTTTATTAAATATTATCCTCTATATTTTGTAAAGGTACCTAATCAAGGACTAGGATCTGAAGCAGTGTGTTGTTAAACCACTAAAAGGGCCGTAAATGAAAACCAGCTGCTTCGACACACAGCGCACCGAGTCGTTTGCTATTCAAAATAAGTCTTACGCTACTGATCGCATTCCATATTTTTCTAATTTTCACACACTTTATCGTTTCAGATCTACAAAAACTACCAGACTATCATTATAAATTTATTTTCTTCATTTTAAGCACACTAATTGAAAGGCATAAATATTTTCCACAAAAATCTTCAATAAGTTGCTTCCTGATGATAATTTAATCGTGTCGGTACCGCAGTTGTTTTGGGTTTAGTGGTTGGGCGACACACAGCTTCACATCCTAGACCGAACCATGTGAATTTTTAAATAATTTGCATGATTAGTTATTGAAGGATTTTATGGGTTCCGTATTAGAAATTTCTACTGCTGATTAGTTGAAGGATTTGATGGGTTCTGTATTATTAATGACATCATTTCTGCTGCTATGACAGATTATAAATCGTCGTGCGTTACCTACCGTTTCGATGAGGGTGGGTTGAGTTTTCCGGGTTTTCCTTACCTGTAAGCCAAATGGCACCATTAATTATTGGTAAGTCGCCCTGGAGCGCTCTTCCCCGAACAAACTCAGTCAGATTTTGGGATTAAACTTTACTGCTAAGGGGTTCAATTATAGTAAGAGTATTATTATATTAATATTATTATAAGTATTATTACTACTTTATCTATAACTGGTAGGAGGTTAAGGTCGATAGTCTTCGGGGCGAGTTGAAGTTACCACTTTAGCAATTGATATAATGATTATGCTTACTGAGAAACAAACTTCTGTAATGACCAAATTTAATAGATGATGACACAAAAAGAACTAGAAATATTTAATACAGATTAACTGCATGAATTTTAGAAAATCGCAAAAAAAATTATATATTGAGGGTAGCTGATCTGACCCTACTTTTAAACAGGGAAAATTGTTTAAAAAATCCTGATTACATTTTTGTCAAAATTAAAACAAACAAAAATGTTATCAAATATGATAAATTATGCTCCGAGGGAAAATAAATATGGGACTAACAACTCAACAAAGTACTATTCAAAATTTATTTATGTTTCAAATAACACTGCGAAATAATCTCTTAGTTTTCACGATGGAACTCAAAAAAACAGTTTCTTTTTTTGATTATACAAAAATTTAGTCTACATTACCTGCAGATGACATTGGTCAAGGCTTTACAGCTATCATATTTGCATCTATTTCTTTTTTCTTCAAATTGTAGTCAATGCTCAAATCCATCAGTACGAACAACTGTTGTTGTTCTAGGGGCAGCAGATCTTCATCTAATTTGAGCGCTGCCAGGTCAACCACATCTGGGAGTGTCACTCCTTCCAAGTTTACACAGAGGATATGCTAAATCTATTCGAAATTGTTTTTGAGATATTGTGTTTTGCCGTTTTTGCTGTTTATTCTGTTACGCCACTTCTGAAAATACCGTTCCATCCATACAATTTGTATAAATGGAACGATATTTTCAGAAGTGGTGTAGCTCAGTGCTACACTTTCGATGCAAAGGAAAATATCTATTGTGATTGAGATCAAAAGTGCCGACGCAGAGTGAGCGATCTGATTCTTTAGCTATAAACTGTGGCATAGTAATCAAAATGGCCGCGTCCTTTGTTGGGCGTGTCGCAAGGTTACTGGACTGGACCTTGGGCGTGTCGGACCTCTCTCTTGCACCATATAGCATGTTGTCTCAGCCATACAACACAATGAAATTCTTACACAAGCCAATATCACAGCTTATACAATACAGCTCCACAACTCCGTGTCGGCGTCTTTGATCTGGCGGTCGAGAACCAAGCAAGACGGAATGGTGCTATCTCTGTTAGATTCGAGGGAAAAGTCGGGCCCGGATTAAACAATTTTTTTATTATTGAAAAAATTGAAAACCTTGGCGTAATAAGGTTGGTTACATGCCATATTAAGTAAGTTTTGGGAAATTAAATTTTTAATTTGTTTTAAATCTGTCAAATATAATTAGAAACATTATTTAAATATAAATATTACGAAAAATAGCACATCTTTCGGATTAGAGGTAAAATAATTTGTATGTGGCTAGTAAAATCCTCGTTAACAAATGTTTTGAGCTAAAACAGTCACTTCACGACAAATTGTGGCTTGGATCCTTTTTACACCAAGGGCTTCAATTGTTAAAGAATTGTGTCACGCTCGTGGATGCAAATCAAGTGGTACCCCGTGTCTCTGGCAAGTGTTACTCTTCGCGCAAAGGGTTTATACCTAGATAAACGAATGCTTCGACTGAGGTCTGGGAACTCTATGGTATTTTGGAATTATAAAGAATTTGTGCTTTTATTTTAACAATATTGGTTATATTTAGATGTATTCTTATTAATTGAAATACAGATTTGTAGAAGTAATACTTTGACAGTTTTTATTAATATAATATATTCAATTTTTATCTGACCATACCGAAGTAGGGAATTTTGAAACTTTATAGTAATGTGAAATTTGAATTACAATATTACACGATATTACACATAATTAGTACTTATTTTAGGTAGGTACTAAATTTGTACTTGGAGAAAGTAATATCGATTTTTACAAGAAAACTTGAAAAGTAAATTAATTTAGTTCCTATTTCTGATGTAAAACTTAAGTTTTGGTTTAAACCAAGAAAACAAATAAATTATAGTTTGTTCAACAAGGGTGGATATGATAGCAATATCACACAAAGACGAAGTTTGAGCACGACGTCGTATGCGGAGTACTCAATCGTCTGATTGTGATATGAACAATCCACTCGATATGGTCAGTATATTTTTTCTACGACCCACTAACGAAAATCTACAAATTTAAAAAATTATTTTAGGTTAGTTAGACAAAATAACTAATTTTAAAATAATTTACGAAGTTGACTAATTTATAAAATAAAATTAACATGAAAAATTAATTAGTCCTCGGCCTAGATTCGATCCCGGGCTTTTCGCGTGGAAAGCAGATGCTCTGTCCTCACCTTCACCGAAACTTTCAGGACTTTAGTTTTAATACTCGTAATTAAATTAGTATCATGTAATTTGATTAAAATTTATTTTTTTTTAAATGTGGACACAATCAAAACAAAAATGCTATTATTTATCGAGTCTACACAAAAATTTTAATGTATATTTAATATCAATAACTAAAATATATATTGACAATTAGTTTAACAGAATTGTCACTTATTTAAAAAAATTTAAATAATAGGAGTTGGGTGACCAAAATATGAACTGTGATTTGTAAATTTAATTTTGTTAAAGTGTTCTCACTACCTAAAATGGATATGAAATATATTCGTAGTTGAACGCAATAACATACTTTTTCGTTTTGTAGTATGTGCATAGATTGGCTAATATCCATGCACAGATTACAAAACGAAAAAGTATGCTATTGCCTTCAATTGAACGAATATATTTCATATCCATTCTAGGTAGTGAGAACACTGCAAAAAAAAAATAAATTCGCCAATCACCGTTCATATTTTGATCAACCGACTGCTATTATTTTTAAAATTTTAAATAAATGACAATTCTGTCAAACTAATTGTCAGTATATTTTTTAGTTATTGAGATTAAACATACAATAAAATAAGTTATTCTTTTGGAAAACGTTAGCATGGATGACTAAAGGGTATTGGGTTATTTATTTCTAAAAGTGTGGTACAAATGTTATTTTTTGTAGCCAATTCTTCAAAATTATTTTGAAATATCTTTTCAATATTGAATATAAGTTCTACAAATTCATCATTTGACAGTTGCAGATTTCCAAATGTATCTGGATTGGCGTTATCATATGCCTTTAAAAAGCAATAAAAAGAAAAATCATCTAATTCAACGTGATCTTTGTTATATTTAAGACAGGTATCGCAGAGGAGTGGATCCGCAAGGCTTTTATTAAAAGGTAACCACACACATACCTGATAAAATTTTTCTGTATCAATTCGTCTTTACAATAATTTAGGGAGTTAATAATTTTATCATAAAATAAAATACAAGGTGTTCCATTTAAAAAACATACATTTTAATTTGCCAGGCAAAAACGTGACACCCTGTATATCCAAAGATATTTTTAAAATATGTAGGTATTTTTCAAATCCATATAACTTTTATTTAAAACTTTCTTGCGTGTCTACAACAAAATAATGAACAATAACGCACTAATGGGATACCCTGTATAAATTATATTTTTAACAATGCAAATTTCTTATAATGTGGTACTTATCGGTTTGGGTCCTTGGGAAAACTAAAGAATGTTTTCTTGCAGGTATAACCCTTATTAAAACAGCTTTTGACTGCACAAACAGAATGATGTCTTTTTTTTTCACTCATTCTACTCATAGCTAAAGAGTCACCAAAATAATAACAGTACCTTTAACTCAAACAAAATCAACGAAATTATAGGCTCCACGAAATTATACAATCAACGAAATTATAGGTTCCACGAAATTATACAATCAACGAAATTATACGCACGACTCAACACCTTACCTAAGTACGCTTCTGAACACCAAAACCGTCTTTTCCCTTCGAAGGCGGAGCTTAAGCGATGCGCGACGAAATCGACGCAAACCGTTGCCGCCAAGAGAGTGTTTTAGCTGTATTGTATAAGCTGTGATGTGCCAATATGTCAGTAGCAGTATTATAAATGCGATGTATCCAATGAACTGGAGTGGGGTAGAATGCTTATCAATAGGCTTGAGATGCGACTCTATGGGCAAAGACAGGTTATTTTTCGTCTCACCCGGGAGTATTTATAACAACCATTTTCTATTTCACTTTGTTATTGTCTGATCCACCAGCTTGTGGATTGAACAATAACAATGTGAAACAGAACATGGTTATTATAAATACTCCCGAGTGAGATGAGAAATAAAAATGGCTGCGCCCATAGAGTTGCATCTTGTTCTATTGATACAATATGCACATTGGCTTTCTACCCCACTCCAGTTCATATACGATACGCGATGCAGTTAAGGGTTAATACATGTCATGCTGTTTAAATATATTTTTCTAATTTTGACATATAACGTGACATTTTTTGTAATCGCAGCAAGTGTCAAAATGATCTACTTTTACGTAAGCAGTTGCATAATGCTGAACATTATGAAACTAGTTTCGATAAATTCATTATTTCACTAGTTGCGAAAAGAAAAGAAATAAAAATAAACCTTTTTTTGGTTTTAAAATTATTAATATTCATTATTATTGAAAGTTTATATCAAAGAAGGGCAGATTGACTTATAGAAATAGAATTTGGTTAAACTTACAACCTAGTAATAATGTTGTTGTGGTCCTTATTTTCTATTCTAAATCATCACAAAATAATTAAAATACAATACACGACAAAATAACCCAATTTTTCAAAAACTAAATACCTTTAATAAGCCACAATAATGCATATGTAACTAACGATACAAGAAAGTAGTAATATTGGTTGCCTAGATTTCTTACCAAAACACAATTTTATAAATAATCTAGTCAAAATTAGAAAAAATATTGTATGTAATACGTTACGAAATGCCGTATTATGTAACTCGTTCATGTTGCGGGACCTCACTCTGCTCGTCTTGCAAATATTTACTCGTTACATAGAATAAGGCACTGATTTCATTAATAGCTATTTTAATTATTAAGTATTATTGAATCACTCCGTATAGGGTATAACTTATATATCGTTGAAAAGCATTTTTAACTACCTTTCCAATAATGTATAACAAGTTGGCGGTTGTTATTTTTCGTTGTGTTGTAGTTGGTGGTACTAAGAGGGGGTTGTGAGGGTGAATTCTGAATTTTGTCATTTAAGTTCCCACTTCGTAGTCTAGAAAAGGTTTTAAATATTTTCTTATACCATCTTTAGTTAATGAGATATAGCCATTGTAAGTTTTTAAATTGTCATCCTATATATATTTGTTTAGATTAGAAGTGATCTGCTCATTAGATTTACTTCAAAATTCGATATCCACTAAATTTTTATTTTATTTAGCTTCAATAACAATAAATAGGTTGGGCTCAGGAAATGGTCATTTAATGATTGAAGGCATCAATCGTTTGTACCTAAGTAACTTAGATTCGTGAAAGGGCTTTTGTTGTGAAATCCGGTGATACATGCCTAAAAATGTTTCGAATATTATCTGTACAACAATTTACTTCAGTTCTATTGTGAATTGAATTTTATACAATGTGTTTATTTAGAAACAATCCAATTCAAAATTCGGCAGGGGAGGAATACAATTATTACTATATTGCTTCTTTAGATAGAATTTGTAATATACCTTCCCCAAAAGCATTATGAAAGTTTCACTTTTCGATAAAATTTATCATATTCACAAATTATATTTAATTAAACTATGCGATAAAAAATGTTTATCTTTAAAACAAATACAAGAAAATCAAACTAACTACAGAGTGCTTTTAATTTTATAAAACTAGGTGAAAAATTCTAGAAGCAATTAGATAAAACGGTGGCACTTAAAATGATTAAGATCACAAATTATTTTCAAGTATTCCTTTAGTTGAAAATAAGGTTTTTTTTTATTTGACAAAATTGTGTGCTACTATGCTACTAGATTTTGATATTAAATGATCTACGTATACTGATAAAAACACATCAGAGAAATCATCCAATTTCACTAGCCAATTTATGTCCTACTTTTTTGTTTAGGCTTGCGTCTCACCCTCCTTGGTTTAGCTAATTTACTTGTCCACTCGATTGTTGGGTGACATGGCCTGTTACTCAGGTTTATTTTGACTTCTTAACTTTGTCAAGTGTTTTAGGCAATCGTTGTGGTGAGATAATTCAATTCAATTCCATGATCGCTTGGGAATCCTAGTAGCTGGCAATAGTTTTGCACACGGTGTTATTTGTATTAACTTCTTTCTGAAACACTATTAAACAGTCTCAAAGCCTTTATTAAAGATTCCAAATCACGACATAACTGTATTTTTTCTTGCAGGTGATCGACTTGACTTTCAATAGAATCAGAAAAGTTAGCAGAGCAGACTTAAGTAAATTTTCGTATTTAAAATTCCTGTACTTAGCAGACAACTTACTTTCCAAACTTGATGGAGATGTTTTTGACGATTTGACCAGCTTGACAACGTTGGACTTGTCTTTGAACGCTTTGAACAAGGTGCCACCTTCTGTGTTTCAACTTCCGTCTTTAAAATCGCTATATATCGGTCAAAATTGGAACATAAACATCGTTGACGCTTTGGAAGTCAGCAGGCCAATACAGAGTCCTCTTACCCAAATTGATATTAGCCAAACAACTGATGAAGAAAACTATTCGAATTTTCCAGATTTTGGTATACTTCCTTTTTTGGTGGTGCTAAATATTACTGGGAATTTTTATTTTAGCATTCGGCCCGCATTGTTTATGGGGCTGTGTAATTTGCAGAAATTGATCAATGACAATGTTACTACGGAATTTGAAGATGCTTGTGATTGCTGGAAAATCAATAACTGGTTAACGCTGAGGAAGATTAAGTTTACTCCGTTCACTTGTAATGTTCCACAGGCAAGTAAGTATATTTTTCATGTTCACCATCATTCATTAATTTAATCTACCCCATAACCCCTTTTTAAAAGTTATTAATTATTCTGTTGTTTGTTTTTAGAATGTCTTGAAAACGATTTTAAAGAAGATGATTTGCAAATCTACAACCAATGCTCAGAAACGTTCAAACATATCCAAAAAACAAATCTTATAATAAAATCATCCATAGGTGTTGGGGTGGGAGTCATTGTAATCCTTTTTCTGATTGGTATATTCCTTTTCTGGAGAAGGAGAAACAAGAGGAGGAGCCATTTACAGAATCGGAAGAAAAGTGTACCGAATGAATATACGCTTTGTGATAATTAATTTTAATATTTGATTCGCTCAGAATACCACAGTCACACGCAGTGGTATACAGGGACAGGGTATTTTTTTTATCGAAAAGCGGTATTTTAGATATTAAATCTAAAATTGATTTTTTTGGGTGTGAAATAGCAAAAAAGAATTACAGTAACCTATTTAATGACAGTATTGATCAGTTTTTAATTTTTTTTTTGTGCAAGAATATATAAATCAAAATATTACAAACTGTCTTGGGATTCTCGTACTTAAAATATAAATTTTACCTAATCAAACATGCATATTAGTGAAAAATCTTATTTAACGTCAATATTAAATGAAAGTATAGACTAGTGACAAAATTTACCGCAATTTACCCTCTTATGAATTGCAATGTTCCTTAATGTTAGTCAATATTTAAGGAGGTAATTCCTTGGCCTCTATTTTATGACTAAAATTGTAAGGGACGCCACTGGGCTTAATAATTTTAATCCAATCAAGTTTAAATTATTCTCTTGGTACTGAAAACAAACCTGACAATAAGTTTAATCAAAATAGTCAGTTGAGATATTAACGGACTTTAAACAGCTTGTATCTTAAAAACAAACATGTTTGATTGAGTATTTATATTTTAACCCAATAAAGAATCACCAGATCTCTCTTTATGACTATATAGTGCCATTATTTGCATTAATTTATTTTGTTTGACTAATTTGATCATACCAGACAATAATGAATCAATCCACCACACATATGGGGTAAAACAATGAAGTTTGTATGAAATTGTGATAGAAATAGTTAATAAGTGTATTGACCTATTTAAATTAATTATAATGTATTAAAAATTTTATATATAAATATATTTTTTTTATAAAAACAAACTTTTCTAATTGTAATGTTTATTGTTAATATTTTGTTGTAAATATTAAATATTTCTAAAAACGGCGTTTTTCTATTTAAAAAATTATATGAACAATGTGAATGAGCCAAATCAAAAGGCTTTGCAGTTGAATAGGTTCATTAGAGCAGTAATTACTATTGAAAGTACCTATAAGATCTACAGTAGAGTCACATTTTGCAGGCCTTCATCCGTAAAATTTAAATGGATTCTATAACCAAATAAAGTATTTTTTCTACACCCACATGGATTTTAGCTTATCTACGCACAGATTACAAAACGAAAAAGTATGCTATTGCCTTCAACTGAACGAATATATTTCATATCCATTCTAGATAGTGAGAACACTGCAAAAAAATGAAATCCACCAATCAACGTTCATATTTATATCAACAGACTGCTATTATTTTTAAAATTTTAAATAAGTGACAATTCTGTCAAACTAATTGTCAGTATATTTTTTAGTTATTAAGATTAAATATACATTAAAATGGGTTATTCTTGTATAGAATCGATAAATAGCACTTCTATTTTTATTTCGTCTATAATTATAAATAATTTGTTAATTTAAGTAAAACTATATGAAGTCATTTAATTACAAATATTAAAACCAGAAAAATAAAAGAATAGGTGGTCCTGACTTAGCGTTCTTGCCTTCCATGCTGAAGACTGGAGTTCGATTCGATTTTTTCTATTTCTGTTTTCGTCTATTTTATTTTAAAAATTATTAAAAGTCATAAATTATTTTAAAATTAGTTATTTTGTCTTAATAATCTAAAATATTTTTTTTATTTGTTAATTTTGGTCAGTGGGTCGTAGAAAAAATATTCTGTACAACTCAAGTAGATTGTCCACATCGCACTCGTCTACGGCGTCGTGCACAAATTTCGTCTTCGTGCGATATGGCCATCATATCCACTCTTTTTGCACAAACTACTATTTTCATTTTATAATGATATCTACAAATTCTTTTAAATTAGTAGACGCTGGCACAGTTCAATTTTCTATCCACTCTCGTGTAGACTGGATACTTGTTAAAAAGCCAACAAGGAAGATTGGCAGATTGGCAAACAATTTAAACCTATAAATCACGAAGAATGTGAGGGATTTACTCAATAATACTACAGTGTATACTTACCTGATATTTTATACTTTATGTACACACATTAGGGTTACTTTTATACCAAAACCCTGGAAAAACTAAAGAGAAAACAGCAGTTCCTAAGACTAATAAGTTTTGTGTATTTTGTAATTAAGATATTATCCTTTATGTAACTAAAATATTTTAACATTCTAGCTCTGTGAAGCTAAGCGGCCATATTGAATTTTAGTACCACTCTAATTTGATAGATGACAGCACATCGACTCAGAATATTACCATTGAGTTTCCCATCTATTCACTCTACCTAATCTATGGGTATAACCGTTGATATTTTGTATTGTGCTTGTGAGTAAATTGGTCTTATTTTTCAAAAAGTATTTTGGGACGAGTTGGCATACCATAGTTTCGGGCTAGTTGGCATAGTATGCCAACTCGCCCTTATGTAACGAAATTAATTATCTGGTTTGTTGTTACAGGTTTAAGTAAAAAAATGTTCCTTTTGGTACATTACGACGACGCTGTCAGGGAACGAATAAATTTAGTGTAGGAGCAGAAAAGAACTACTTGGGAGGGAAAAGGCCAACGTTTGATAAGACTATGGAAAGCCACCTCGTTGACTATATTAAAAACATGGAAGCTAGGTTCTTTAGATTTACGACTTTAGAGGTACGCAAACTTGCATTATGAAATGGCAGTCCAAAACAATATTAAACACTCGTTTAATTCACAGAAGAAGATGGCCGAGAGGGATTGGTTAAAGGGGTTTACGAAGCGCAATCCGACTATTTCACTTAGGTTACCCGAGTCAACTTCTTCTGCCAGAGCACTAGCGTTTAATAGAGTAGAAATAGAAAAATATTTTGAACAGTTGGAAAAAGCCCTCGAGCAAGTTAACTATATAACCCGACAAAAATTTGGAATGTGGATGAAAGTGGCCTTAATACAGTTGCTTCAAAAAATTGTAAGGTTTATGCAACTAAAGGAAAAAAGCAAGTTGAGGTATTAAGTAGTGCGGAACGTGGACAGAATTTAACAGTCGTTTGCGCTTTCGGGTCTTATTTACCGCCGTGTTTTATATTTCCGCGCAAAAACATGAAACACGAATTATTGGACGATTCTCCTCATGGTTCAATTGGTTTTGCTCAGGAGAATGGATGGACAACGACCGAATTTTTTTTAAAGTGGCTTAAATTTTTTGCTGAAACTGTAAAACCTACAGAAATTGAAAAAGTGTTGCTGGTACTAGATGGGCATACAAGCCACTAATTCTTAGAGGCTTAGATTTATGCAAAAAGTAAAGGCATTGTCTTATTTTGTTTACCACCGCACTGTACCCATAGGGTACAGCCATTAGATGTCACATTCTTTGGGCCACTCTCCACCTACTACAATTAGGAAATTACTAGTAGGTTAAAACAGAATCCTGGAAGGGTGGTCACTCATTTTCAGGTAGGAAAGATTTTTAAATCTGCCTACCAGAAAGAAGCTACTATGAACAATGCTGAAAAACGGTTTGCTAAAACGGGTATATACCCTTTTAATAAAGATGTTTTTCCGGATTGGATGTTCGAGTCTGCGGAAACCACCAACTTTGAGTACAATCAGAATATTGAAGAACCGAATAATAACGATAAAAGGTCAGAAGAAGAAGAAGAAGAACCGAATAATAACAATCAGAAAACGACAGAAGAGAAAAGCAATATAGAGCAAAGAAGAACCGAATAATAACAATGAGAAAACAACAGAAGAGAAAAGCAATATAGATCACAGAAATTAAAACTTCAATACAGAGGATAATTTGCAGGTAGCCGGGCCATCTGGCAAACAAAACAAAATATTACAGAAAAAGTTGGAAAAGAAACAAATAAACATCTTGTTTAATCCTACCCTCAGAAATTTCACCATCACCAAAAGCTACTGATACGTGCAACAAAAGAAAACGGAACAACTTTTCCAAATATGGCGTCTTAAATACAACCCCTGAAATAGAACTTTTAAAAATGAAAAAACTGCCGAAAAAATTGCTGAGTTAGCAAGAAAGGAGGCAAAAAAAGTCAAAACTAAAATTTTTAACGATACTGATTCAGAAAACTAAACCTGAACCTAGAAAAACTGCTAAAATTACACGCAGTTTAATACCGATCATGCAATCAGAGGCAGAGACAGAGATCATTGACGATGAAGAGGACACAGTCTGCATATTTTGCAATGGACGATTTTCTCGTTTCAAACCAAACGAAAAATGGATTCATTGCTTGTCTTGTAAGAAATGGGCCCACTGCGAATGTGCAGATTGTCCCTTCAAAAAAAGCAGTATATATGTGAGCTCTGTGTTTAGCAGGTACCTTCTCCCTACTTTGTCTTAACTACTTTTTTAAAGAATAATATGTGTGTTTTTTATATTTGTAAGCTCTGTTAATTTTAATTTTAGGTGCTATTAATTGTACCTGACTCTACATAAGTTAAGCATTACATTTCATTTACATTTTTACTTGAATAAACTTGGTAGTTTGGGCAAGATGGCATTCAGCCTGAGATGGCAAACTGAGGTGAAATTAAAAATAAAAATGCCTTACTAAAAAATCACAATTAGAATTGTTTTAATTTTTGTTATCGTTAGGCTAGGTATGTTCTTATGTAACTACCAAGTTTGAGCCCGTAAACCCCAAAAATAACTTAAAAAATAATTACGAAATGTATGCCAACTCGGGCACACTTCCCCTATACCATAATTTTATAGGAAAGTCATGTGTTTTTTACTATATAAACTCTTCTTATAAGTTTTAACAAAAACTATTAAAATTGCTTACCTGGAAGATATGAAAAATTATAAAAATTAAGAACTCAATCTGATACCCTCCAGAATAATAAGAATAAATCGATAGCTATCCAAAAAAAGATTGAGCCAATTGTTACTTCATTTATAAATTTTAGATCTATGGATTTTAATCAATAATGGCTATTTCAGAATAATTTCGAAAGAAGTTTTTGATACTATATCAAAAGCCTAAAAGAAACTGCGTTGTCAACAAATAAAATATCGTATTAAACAATGATTGCCGGACGCAAATAGATTGTTATAATTGATTTTAAGCCACTTTAGTCACTCCATGCGTGTTTGGTGCTTGTCTACGAACTTGAACTATTGCAATAATGTAATGATGGAATATTAACTTGTTATCCTGTTAACAATTTATATGACTTAATATCTGCATCTCTTCTGGGCAACCATGCGATGGTTTATTTTAAAGCTCTGCCTTTGCTGCGTTATTCATTACTCAGGTGAGTACCAACTAATTAATATTCGTAGTTATCTAGCAACGCTAATTGGCGATAATCGTTAATGACCTGTTTTTTATTTTTATGATTCTGGATAGTCCTTTTGTGTTCTGATTATTATTATGCAAACATCTTTGAGTAATATAAGTGATTTTGCATGGGCGTACGTATGAATTTGTCCTTGTGGGGGCAGGGCAACATTATTTAAGTATATACACGTATTTTTAAATCATATGCCATATACAGAGGGCTTGAAGAGAAAAACACAAATATAGAAGCGAAGGAAATGAACCTTATTTTAATGTTACATCTTTATTTAGAAGATTACTGAGATATATTTATTTATTCAACTATAAATAATTAGTCCTAATATTGTATAATAGGAGTAACATAATTTTTTATACTTTTGACTCAATTTATTTCGATTTAATAAGAAAATAATTCTAAAGATAATTTATTACGAAGTTTTATTTGATATTTCTGACTGTGAAATAAAAGAAAAAATTTTATAAAAAAACGAATATCCATTTCCAAAGTCCAAAGGCACAAAAAAGAACAACTTTTAAGTGAAACAAAGTCGATATATACACTGAATTGGCCTGACCTAAGAATAACGTTGAGACAAATAACAAGATCCATTTCATTGCTACCGGTTGCCTGTTTCCAGATTTAGGTTCCTTTTTCTCCAGGATGGTCGGTTCGTATGGAATTCAGTATTAGTCGTACCTCCGGCTGACATTTTGTGGTAGTCGGGACCATCAAGAATTGTCAACTGAAAGATTTTAGTTTAAAACCCCTGCAAACGAGACGTTAGACAACTCAAAGTTGTAATTTTTTGTCTCCGACAACAATGACTCCCAATGGCCTATTGTATTTGACCCATATTAATTCATAGTACCCCACTCTGTTACCTTAGTCCCTTGTACAAGTTTGTACACACACAGGGTGTGTTCTATAGGTTCTTTGATCAATCTTTTGTTGTCCAAAAAGACCCCATTTTTCCAAAGCAGCGTCTTGCCATCACTAGTGATGTTTCAGCTTTTCTTGTTGTTCTTTCCAAATGGGGAGTCCAGGTATTTTAGAATGTTCTGCAATTTTTGCAAAAAAAAGCTTACCTTTCAGGGGGGTTGTCTTCTTAGTCAAAGTCCCATCGATTTTATCGTGCTTGCTGAATGATGGATTGCTGGAACGATTGTCACAAAAAAAACACCAATCACTATTTTACTGTACTATATTTTCTTTATGAAAAATACAAAATATTTAAGAAAATGACAAGAACAATTTAAACAAATAGTGCTATTTTAGGGTCTACTTTTTATAAATGAAGTCTATCCTAGGTTCTTTTGGGTTGGAAAATTTTATAATAACTTTTTCATTAAAATTGTCTATTTCGGAAGTAAACTTTTTCAACAGATACCATGGAAAGAGCTGTTAAACGATCTTCCGTCATTGAATTTCTGAGAAATGTTTTGCTTCGATTTAGTGTTGAGAAACATCGTTTGGCCTCTGATGTTGTCATAGGAGTTGTTACCACAATTTCTAATAATTTTCTAGTCTCCTTTAACGTATCTCCTAGATTGTTTGATATTAAAAATTTTAGTAGAGATAGTGCGTCATTCAATGCCCTGCAATTACTCGTATTTCTTGAATAAATAACAGACAGGTCACACATGTGTCCTCGATTCTTCTATGTTTCAGATTGTGATGATAAAGTCAACGGAGGGATTGTCGAATGCTCCTTCGATGTCCAAGAAATTTCCTAACAGTTCCTCCTTGTTTTCCAGGGTGTACCCTTTTTAGTAATTGATGGAGATCGGTTTCTGTTGATTTTACCTGCACTATAGGTCCTGGTTATTGGTCTTTGATGAAACAATATCCCGTTTCTAATATGTTTATCTAACAGTTTGCTGTGCCCTACTGTATACGCTCATGTGACTTTGTATATCAACTAAATTGGAACAAAATAAAAAGTGATTTCCTCATTCACGGTAACAATGAAAAACATTTTTATTTTTGTGTTAATTAATTTGATTATTTTATCCTACGGTATTCGAAGTATTTGTAGGAATATCTGGTCATTTTATTGGAAATTCCCATGCACAATTTCATTAGTTTTGTCGCAGTTAGAGCAGAAACAATTTCCAGTGTTACTATAACTAGTGATAGTGACCAGAGGTAACTTATTTTACTTTTAATGAATTTTGCATTAGATTTTTGTTGTTTTTAAATTTAAATTTACTATTTTTATAATTTTTTTGAAATTCAAAGCAATCTGTGTATATTTTTAAATATTAGAGTCTGTCGAAAACACCTGGGCTAATTCAGAAGTTCCCCAAGGACCAATCCTTGGTCCGTTACTGATTAAATTAATAAGAAATCCTTTGATAGATAAAACTATGGGAAATCGATAAACAGTGTTTAATTTCTATTGCAGGATCCATAGAAGAAGACTGCACGGATTTTCAAGGTCAAACCATCGAACATGGTGTACTGTACGTGCCAGGTCCTGCAGTATGTACCATGTGCGTATGTTACCATAGTGAGCCCATGTGGTGCAAGGCCATTTATTGCGATCCACCCTATGTAAGTTATATTTTTTGTTATACTTTTATCATTCTCCGTTTAAGATTCGTCAGAGACAACTTTTAATTTATATCTTTCAGTCAAAATCATTTTTTTGAGAAAGCAGATGTGTTTCTATTAAAAAAATATATATTTCACACACTTTAAACAATTTATTATATTGTTTTAAAATTGACCCACTGTTTTGCAGTTCTGTAAAAAGTTTCGTGTTGGTGCAAGATGCTGCGAGTTTGAGTGCCTGGATCCACCTGGAGACACAGCCTCCAAAATGCTACAGGAGTATCGGGAAAAGAAACAAAGGAAAAATGCTTCTACCGATAACCGTAACTTGGGATTATGTGCCTTATTATCCCTATACTTTTTGACCCGTGTTATGTAATTTTTAGTAGGTATTCATCTGAATCAAAAACAATTCAGTGTTTTTAATAGATTAAAAATAATTTATGCGCAACAGGTTTGTTTTATTTTAGTCTGTTCCTTGTTTTGTCCAGTAAAGGATGATAATACTCCTTCTTTCAGAATTCTTTTAAATATAATGTCACATGGAACCTATATACCTTACAATGAGTTTAACAAGGTATAATGGAAACTATAAGTATCTACTAGTTTATTTTATGAATTCATTTAATTAGAATATTGAATAATGTGTATAGGTATTCCATATTGTAACCACAGTATATGTCATGTTATTCACTTTTATTTTATGTATTGGTATTATCCACTTGTGAATAAAGCTTTTCTATTCTAGACAGTTATTATAATTTAAAGTAAGTATATATGCCATGTTATTGTCTTCATTTTATAATTTTATCACAACACGAATTACCTATAAGTATATTTAAGATTAAATATTATCCTCAGTCACGTTTTGCAAATATATTTAATCATTGAACCTTTTTAACTCCTCCAAATAACATTCATGACTAATATTTTTATCAATTCTCCAGCATTGATACCTACTTTGTTACTTTTCATGTCCGTGATTTGTAATTAAGATTTTTCTTATGAAAATAGCTTGCTAATTAAAATTATTATTGGAAAAGCCAGATTTGTTCGTCTTTATCCAAATTTTTAAACAGATATATTAGATAGACAATTGAAGGAATTTAGAAGAAGCAATACGACAGATCAAAAGACTTAAAATCTTAATGCCACAAAAATGAAAGTTAACTTATTTTTAAAATTTGTGGTCAATGATTAATAATTAGACAATGCATAATATTTTACTAATTTGTTCTTAGAAATCCACACTTTTGACCGACCCAGTATGCAATGAAACTCTTTGATTCCCCCACCACACACGAACACGTCTGTTTTCTGTTTCGTTGGCAACAATGATTCCAGCTGTCAGTGTAAATAAAAAGTGAGGTTATTTTTGTTTTTTATGAATTTGTTTTTAAATAAAAATATTTAAGTTTCCAATTGTGTTATTAAAAATGCAAAATTAGTTATTCAACAATGAAAATATGATAAATCTAGAATGGAAAGTGAACACCATGAAAAATCTTCTTTTTGGAAGAAAAATGTCAAATCTGTAGCTGGAAGGTATTTAATTAGTGTATTTATTTATTTAATTTAGTTCAAAATGGGTTTATTTTAGACCAAGTCCTAAAAGAGATGCTAAAGATGTTAGGAAAGCACCCGGTTCGACGTCATTTCAAGATTTTCAAGCATCAGTTAGTGACGCCTGGGATTTGGATGACGACGAATTTTGCGTTATTTCTGGTCTAGAAAGTAAACAAGCTATTATAGTGACACTGAAACTAGCAAAAAACCTAGCAGATAAACCGCGCTGGGGTCCTTTAAAGCCTCGATTATATTACTATGGCCAAATATTTGTTTTGGAGGAAATTTAGAAATTTATATTTTTCTAATTTCTATTAAAAATATTGATATAAGATTTAAAGATAAACAAGGCATTTTAAGTATTGAAAATAACGGCTTCTAACGGATAAAGATCCCACATCAAAATATTGATAATACAATTTATATATCAATAATTCAAGGTAATAAATAAAAAACTTTAAGGGGAACAAGACCTCTTAATATATTTTTTAAGTCTTTAAAGTAAGCCTTTGCGTGGATAAATATCATAACATAAAAAGAATAAATGTCTTTTTAATTACCTAACACTTCCTTGGAACCCTGTCTTATGCCTTTTCCCACATCAATATACTTTTTGAACAAGTTCTTTTACCTCTATTTTACATTGCATATCATATTTTCTGATTTACAAATGAATTACCTTTTCTATTTATTTAGTAACATGATTTTTTTTATTAACAGTCTACCTAACATTTGGCTGTAATTAGTAGAATTATTATAAAAGAACTCTTGGTTTTAAAGCCCTCTCATGGCATATTAAATCGTTACTGATTGTAGAGTAGTGTAACACTTCATTTTAAAGCTAATTTTATTAATAACTTAATGCACAATAACTAAAATAGAATGAAATACGAACGTACTATTAAAGTTAAGATTAAATCAATTTAACTTGAACCATCTTCAACCGAAATAACATATTTATGTAAACATTAAATTGCTAATAAAATTAGCTTTCAAACGAAGTGTCACAGTTTACAATATATCATATTATTGAATCCCCCTAAAATTACCTTTTCAATGATGCATCACACATTCCCTATTTAAAATTAATGGGTTGAGGAAGTGGAAAGGATGGCCTACTCAGTATATATTTATATTTTTTCTTGTAATTTTTTTTTGTTTTCAATATTTTTATTGTTTAATTAAAACTGCAAATTGTTTTTTTATTCAGAATATTTAAACTTTTAATTTTTATCCAAAATTTTAAAGATTTGTTTTACCCCCTAAAATGTCATTATACATGGTGTTTTAAAATTAGTAAATGAAAGTAACCATTCTGCCCCAAAAACGGACCTGCAGTTTTAAATAAAATTATGGCACACAAATTAAGAAAATATGACATTTTAAAGATTGTAATGGTTACATTTTAATTATTTCAGTTTGAGAACAAAAATTTATTTTTTTGATATTTTATACCATGAAATTACCCAAATATTTAGATATATATTTAAAAAAATTAGTATAATTTTTGTACCTTAATTTTTTTAAATATGAATTTTGTTTCCAAAATCTGATATTTTAACTAGTAGAATTTTTGTAATGTAATTTTTCTTAAATATTATTTTTTTAAATTGATATACCAATAAAAACTCCCAGGCCGGATATTTTGGTAAGTAATAGAGATATTTTAATTCTGTAAAAGCCAGTTCATAGAGTGCTAAGAGCGCTTCAGTTTTAGATATAAATTAATTTTAAATAGGTCAATATGTAGATGGTGCTGCACTCAATATATTTTTTTCGATGGGAGGATCTTTGTTATATAACGCATCTTGTAAAAAATGCATTTTTAAGCAGATTTTGTTCTATAAACTAATTCGATAAATCTAGCCATTTTTTGATATACAGAGTGGGTCAGTCAAAATAGTTTCATCCTGTTTTTCGGCATTAATCATTAGATTTTTAGAAAATGTTAAAACAAGTCGATTTTTATTCCCAATTGAACACATTTTTACAATACAGACATCTGTCATGTGTCAACCCCCTCCCTTCTACTTCTCCAACCCCTTAATTTTAAATAAGGAATGTATCATGTACAGCACATCATTGAAAAGGTAATTTTATGGGAAGTCAGAAATATGACAGTTTATTGCAATATTTTTAATTTTAGCGCCCTCTATTGGAATAAAACACCTGTAATGTATTATAAAGTGTGACACTTCATTTGAAAGCTAATTTAATTACTAATTTAATGCACCACATAACATTAAAATAAATATTTGCATATTGCACTTGCAACAAAATAAAGTTAGCAATAATGTTTAAAATAATGCAGGACTAATTTTCAAACTATTGCAAGTGCAATATGGAGGATATTTATATTAATGTTATGTGGTGCATTGAATTGGTAATTAAATTTGCTTTCAAATAAGGTTTCACACTTTATATTACGTACAGTTTTTTTATCCTGATAGAGGGCGGTACAATTAAAAGTATCGCAATGAACAGTCATATTTGTAAATTCCCTATAAAATTACCTTTTTAATGATATACTTCACATTGTAGTGTCACACTCTATAATACGTAGTAGTTTTTTATCCCGCTAGAGAGCGATACAATTTAAGTAACGCAATATACAGATATATTTCTGAATTCTCCATTAAATTACCTTTTCAATGATGTGCCATACATGGTACATTACCTATTTAAAATTAAGGTGTTGGAAAAGTGCAAGGGAAGGGGTTGACACATGACAGATGTCAGTATTGTAAAAATGTTTTTAATTTGGAATAAAAATCGACCTGTTTTAGCATTTTCTTAAAATCCAATGATTAATGCTGAAAAAGAGGATGAAACTGTTTTGAGTGACCCACTCTGTATATCAAAAATGGCTAAATTCATCGAATTAGTTTATAGAACAAAATCTGCTTAAAAATGCATTTTTTACAAAATGCGTTATAAAAGAAAGATCCTCCCATCGAAAAATATATATTGAGCGCAGCGCCATCTACATAATGACCTATTTAAAATTAAATTATATCTAAAACTGAAGCTCTCTTAGCGCTCTATGAACTGGCTTTTACAGAATTAAAATATCTCTATTACTTACCAAAATATCCGGCCTGGAAGTTTTTATTGGTACACCCTGTACATATAGCGTGTTGTTTTGAGGTAATTTAAATTTGTCAATTTTTTACTGGGCCAGACCTGGACAACAAAGTGACACAGAAAACGTCTGTGGGGCCTAGATGTGCGAATTTCGAAGTTTTATTATTGGATTATTGAAATAACCTACTTCTTAACTGACTTTAAAAAATGGAGGTTTTCAATTCATTGGATTTTTTTATGTAACTTAAGTGATAATTCTTAATCACATTGTGCGATTTCTATAATTATTTATTTGTTAGAAAGGGTGTCCTCAGGAGCGGTTCCATATAAATTTGGTCAAAATCTGATATTGAGATCCATGAGAAAATCCTCCTGTTTAACCTTTTATCATTTTCTGCAATTTTTATCACATCATTAGTTTACAACTTTGCTATATTGAATCGTATTCAATTTTGGGCTCCTTGTAATATATTATGGACGACTTAATTCATTTATAAAGATTTTCCATGTCCTATTTTGTTTTAATAAATCCACAATTATAGATTATTTTATCTTGTTACTAACTGAAACTCTTGGCAACACTGTATGAAAATAACAAAATCTTGCAAATTATGATTCAATTTTTCTTTTAATTATTTATAAATGCCATATTCGTGCCACTAGATTCATCACCGGTCCCTGCCTGTGGAATATTAAAAAAGATACCTACGATATGATTTGTAAGTTATGATAAATTATAGAAAAGGGTAAAGGGAATAGAACACTTTTGGTTATAATGATTCAAAGATCTACTAAATACATATGGTATATTTAGAATTACCTTGATTGCATCTACTATTTATTTACTACCCAGTACCCAGTGTGGTTCATCTGCTAACTTCAGTATCATTCTATCACAATACATCGGTACCCCTATCAAAAAAGGTTGTAACTCCCGATTCGTCCAATTTGAGATGCAGCCACAGGTGTATTTAGTAAAATAAGGCCAATACAGCAGTTTAAATAACATAATGCAATTCGCAATAGTTTGGCTGATACTCAATTAAAAAAGATGTAGTTTAATTACTTGTGCCATTTCATCCTTAAAAGCAAGTAACACTTTTTATACCTCCATCAAATATTGCATTTTTAAATGACATGTAAGTTATAAAATGAGTTACAAGATTATTGTTTAATGTAATAATAAAAAATATATGTCTTTTTGTCTAACAGTCGTATCTCTACTTATTTTATGAAAAGTTATGTTAACTGTCAAGGTTGTATCTCAATCAAACTCAACTTTTTAATGATTTATGAAATTTAAACATACACACGTTTCTCCACGTATATTAAAAAAAACAATTTTTAGTTTTCTGACACTCCTTTAAAATCACTAAAATTGAGTTACAGCCGTTTTCGATGGGAGTGTCAACATATTTTAATCACTAATGATATGTATTTTCAGATACAAAAATATCAAAAAAAGTTTCCCAATCTGCAGCTTTAAATGTACTGAATAGTCATAGAAACACGACTGAATCTGAATCTTCTTTGGATAAAAAAAGTAGCAAAAAGCAGAATATCGTTGGACTGGAATCAATTAAAACCAGTCGAATACCAGGGCCGGGCCGACCCAAGCCGATCCTTAGAATAAATACTGAACAAGAGAGTGTGGAAAATAAATTAGAACGATTTCAGACTCTTCTAGAAAGTTCAACAGATCTGCATGAATTAAGCGGACTCAGTTGGTCCGGCATACCAGCCAAAGTAAGAGGTATTACTTGGAGATTATTATCAGGCTATCTTCCAATGAACATAGAGCGTAGAAACGAAGTATTAGAAAGAAAAAGACAAGACTACTGGTCGTTGGTCGAGAAATATTATTATACGGAACACGATGAAACAAACCGTGATATACAACACCAAATTAACATAGATGTGCCAAGAATGAACCCTTCAATACCGCTGTTTCAGCAGAAAACTGTGCAAATAATGTTCGAACGTATTTTATTCATTTGGTCGATACGCCATCCGGCCTCCGGTTACGTCCAAGGTATTAACGATCTTGTTACGCCTTTCTACATAGTATTTTTGCAAGAATTTTTAAAGAATGATGAACCTTTTGAGAAGTGCTTCGTCGATCAATTAACTGTAGAACAACGAAAAATCGTGGAAGCAGACTCGTTTTGGTGTTTATCCAAGTTCTTGGATAGCATACAGGACAATTACGTTTTCGCACAAATAGGTATCCAAAAAAAAGTGCTACAACTCGAAGAATTGATAAAAAGAGTGGACGAAACGTTACACAAACATTTAAAAGAACACAATGTTAGCTATTTACAATTCTCGTTCAGGTGGTTGAATAACTTGCTAACTAGAGAACTGCCATTGAGATGTACCATCCGTTTGTGGGATACCTATCTGGCCGAGAACGATTGTTTTGCGACATTTCAGTTGTACGTTTGCGCCGCGTTCCTTTTATATTGGAAAGAACAATTAATGCAACAACAAGACTTCCAAGGACTGCTGTTGTTGTTGCAAAACCTTCCCACTCAGTCCTGGACTAGTTCTCAAATAAGTTTAATGGTTGCAGAGGCCTACAAACTCAAAGTTATATTCGCAGACGCTCCCAACCATCTTTTAAGTAATAACTCTGGTGATAGTTGAATTCGGTTAGATTTTTATTGATATTACAATGTGTCCAATGTTATATTTTTTGTATCGGGTTCTTTAATTACATTGTTAAAGTACTTTTATTATTTATTCACTTTGTTTTACCTTATTTCATTTCCCTAGTTACAGAAGGCCTGTTAGCTGCTGTACAAGTATTTTAGAATATCTTGAACAATGCAGAAACGTCATAACTGTTATACATCATTCCTTTCCCCTCCATCATTCTAACCGATACAATTTAAGACGCTAAAGACCACATGCCCACCAATGGGTCACTCCGCAACATCACCGGCCCGCGTGCTCACGAGTGGGCACACGAAATGTTTTACCTGCCTGGGGACCGCTTGTACACCGATGGGCATGATTTAAATTCAATTTATGTACAGTAGTTCATTCGCTGATCCCTCGAAGAGATACTGCATATAGCGGACTTAGTTAATTAAATTAACAAGTTTTTAAGATTTTCAAGGTAAAATAAAAATAAAAAATCATTTAGAACACAAATTTTAATATATATTATATTCAATATTTGTGCTACAAATTATTTAGTTTCGTCAGAGCTAGAATATGCAAGACAAACTGACTCACCGGTGGGCATGCGGTTTACGAAAGTAAATTTACACGTTGGGACCGGGTGATCACCCGTGGGCACTTTAATTGAAATAAATCTAGGGGTTAAATAATGTCTACCTCAAATTATTGTACACTAAAAACATATTTAAAAAATTATATACGTAATTAACAACAAAAAATTCCGGTCCCTATGTGAGAAATAAGATTTTTCAATGCGGTCTTCAACGTGTTAAATGGGAAAAAAGTTCAAATTAAAATATAAAACCAGGGTGACATTAAGAACATGAAACAGCTCTGCTAATATAGCGGAATTACAGATGCAAGATACATGTATCAATTTTGGATATTCCAAAAGATATCTGCAAATCTGCCATATTTATTATAGAAAAACAGTTCTGTTGTCACTGATTTAGGAGCGTACCTGGGGTTTCACATGTACTTTACAGGCATATCATAAGACCTATGGTGCATTGAAAAATTTATAAATAAAAAAATAATCAAATGAGTGTTTTACATAAGTACCTACATAATAATATGGTCCTTTTGAATTTTAGAAAATGTAGGCTCGGTTATCAACATGTTTTTTCGCTAGTTTTTCAAGGAAGACACGGCAAATAAATTCAGGCAAAGGCTCTCACAAAATTTTATTACTGATTTACACTGCTCAACAATTGAAATGGATAATTCTAATTAATAATTTTATTTTTTGTTTTAGTGGGTCAATTACTTTTATTATTTTTTAATAAATTTACCCATCGATTCCTATTAGATGGACAAATTTGGCTACCCTCTTTTACTCTTAAGTTCCCGAAGTAGCCAAAGGTTTTGAGAAAATGTAAAATTCGAATTTTTAACAAAAATTTTCAAATAAAAGTTGTTAAAACACCTCGTATACCTACTCGCTTTTCTGTTATCCTGATACAAAGATGAGTTTCAAAAAGTTTAATTTAGTGGATATACAGAAGAGCCGGAAGTATTTTAAATTGGCGGAAAAATGAAGTTTCTTAATCAAATCTAACCTTATCAATTAGGGTAATGCAAAATCAATATTTTCCATACTTAGTCTGATACAAAATCGGCTATTGAAACAAGCGCGAAATCCAAGGATTTCAATTTTTTCCCGCCATATTTAAAATACCTCCTATACTTAATCGCTTTTATGTTAAGCCTGATATATTAAACCTCAGCCCTCTGCATTATTTGATGATAGAGAATGTGGCAAAAAGGACACGATATAGAATGATCAGGAACGGAGTAATCAGACGAAAGTCTACTTGCTTCAGGAATAAAGATACCTGGTACATGCCCCAGGATGAAATGCTAAAGGAGTACAGTTTTGTGAAAAATTTCAAAACCACAGAGCTGGGCTGCAAGAAAGAATGGAGCCAAGAATCCATCACGCTTGCAACCGAAACACGTGCTATTCAGTGGTATACAGACGGTTCCAAAACCATAGAAGAAACTGGACTAGGAGTGTATGGGCCGAGAACCAAGCACTCCGAAAGCTTGGAAAAATACCCAAGCATCTTCCAGGCGAAAATTCACGCCATCGAGAAGTGTATCCAGTTTAACATCGAGGTAAACTATCATAGACAAAAGATTATCATCATGTCCGATAGTCAATCAGCCATCAAATCGCTGAGCTCTTACGTAATCAGCTCAAAAATCCGGCTTGGGTCCCGGGACATAACGGAGTACAGGATAACGAGATTGCAGATAGTTTTGCAAGGAAAAGGGCTCAAACACCCTTTGTAGGACCTGAGCCGTTCTGCGGTATCAGCAGTAACAATATTAGGAGAGATTAAAAAAGAATTGGGCAGTAGAAAAACCAATAATTGGAACAATCTCTTGGGGCTGAAACAGGCCAAGATACTCCTGGGTGAATATAACCAGAAAAGATCGGAAGCCTGCATCTGCCTGAGCAAGAACAGGCTACGTATTGTAACAGGGATCCTTACCGGGCATTGCCGACTAAAAGGACACCTAAGTAAACTGAGAGTAGTAGAGGATAGTGAGTGCAGATTCTATGAGGAGGAGGACGAAACCTCCATTCACATCCTAACTGAATGTATAGCACTCCAGAATCCAAGGGCACTAGGAGGATATCAAATAAAAGAGGAAGATTTACCTAACTTGAAACCACTTCAAATCCTACACTTCCTTGAGAAAATAAGATTGGAAGAGTCGTTATAGGCATTGAGACATTTCCTTGGTGCATTGGCGACAGAAGGGGACACAAAAGATCTTTTAGGTCGCAGTGTATTAACACCCCATTCCCAACATAACATAGCCTGATATAAAATCAGTTTTAAAAGTTCACTTTAGTGGAGAAATTTTTTGCAGAAGAGCGAGCAGGTATGAGGCATTTTAAATTGGCAGGAAATTAAATTCCTTAAAGAAATTGTCGTTAGCATAAAATACTGACGAAGTTCCGATAATTGGTCGTTTCATCCGGCCACTGTATATAGGGTACGCCATATAATATTTGTAGTGCAGCTAAAAAAACTATATTTGCATCATTATTAGCCCTTGAACTCTTAAACTTTCTATTAGGTCATACTGTAATATAAAGTTGCTTAGACCAAGGTCAGTTGTTATGTTACCAGAATTCTCCATGTAAATAGCTAGTGGTTACAAAAGTGGACTTCAGAGTGATTTGAAAGCAACCAAACTAGTTGCGGAGATGGAAATATGGCTCCTTGGATAATATTTTAATTTTAATGAGAAGTAGGATAATAGGAACGTATAAGAAAACTTCAGTAAAGACTACTTTTTCTTGATTTCGATTTATCACTGTAAGGTAGGGTAGAATAAGTGGTAAAATTCGGAGTCGCCCAAGCTTTTCTCTACATGTGTATGGAACTTAAGGCCGTTTTCGCAGTACACTTATTTTAGCGTTGTCCATGTATCTTAATTATTTATAATCAGTATAATTTTTTACTGAAGTATTCAAAAGAAACACCCTAATAATCTCCAGACTTTTAAAGTTTTTGTTGCACCCTAGTGTTTTTTTAATAAAAATTAATATTAAATTTTATCAATTTGCAGATATAAATTTTTGGAAAATTGTAGTTTTTGCTAAAATCAAAAACTAATTGAGTTTTGTGGTAAACCGTTTTCCAATATTTTTATTTCGAACCCCTGAAAATATTTCTTTCTTTATCACATACCTGGAAAGAACGGTGGCTTGGATTAGCAAATATAAAATGATTCGGCCAGAGTCTAACTCGCTCTTTGATTGTAAAAATTTATTATAATCCATTCATTTATTTTTTACCTGTTGTGTAACTAATTATGAAAGATAAGTCGTGGAGTTACTAGCAAAAGGTTAGAATATTTTTATTATACATTTTACTAAAGAAACAAATATAATTTGATTGATATAAGAATATGATTTTTATTGTTTAATTTCCAAATTATATCGGAAAATCATGAATATTTTGAGAAATATCTCGATTCGAAAACAATGGACAATTTTCAAAATATTCCTAAAAGAACAGATTATATTAATTTTTAATTTATTGGAAATATTATAAAAGTAACCTTTATTATTTTGATAATTTCAAAACCTAATGTACTAACAACCCACAATGTCTTTTCGTCAATACTCAGTTCATAATGATTGGTAAGTAAAAGTATTTTTGAAGCAGTTTGGGAGGCCATGGAACAAGCAGGACTGGATTAATTGCAATGGGCCCGTTCACTTTCATTTTTGAATGTGAATTAATTATATATTTATAAAGATCTTAAACTCTTTTGCCTGGTGGTACTTTTCCCGTTAAGATATTTTTGCTAGAAGTAAGGGAATTCCCATAAAATTCTTTCAGTGACTCATTGCGTCAGAAAATCCCTAATTCCGTTCACGTCTCGTATCGGTTATGCTTAAAGACGGCGGGGTTGTCGGAAGTATCCCTAATATAGCATTTCTGCATTTATATATGTAATTTAAATAGTAAAATTCCATTATTTTTCTAAAAATCATGAACTTATATTTTCAGATTTAAAGCTGGGAGCTTATTTTTTACTTTTTAATTAAAACAATTATTATTACTCAGGCTGAAAATTAACCAGACCATAATCAAAAAGTAGAAATTTGATTTGCAATATGTATCTGGTAAACGTGGCAAAGTTGCATTTATTTCTAGAATTGTGTGTAGACAACACTATTTAGAAGTACTTACAACGTTGTCACGTTTACCAGATACATTTTCTCAAATAAAATTTCGATCTGGTAATATTCAGCTTGAGTAATACTAATTGTTTTTATTAAAATTTAAAAAAGGTAGGGCTTCCAGCTTTATCTGAAAATATAAACACATTATTTTTAAAAAATAATATATTTTTATCATGTAAATTTCTTTAATAAATGCAGAAGAGGAATGGTGGTGCAATGATACATCCGACAACCGCGCCCTTTTAACTATTAACCGATACGAGACCTGAAGAGAATTAGGTGTTTTCTGACGCAATGAGTCACTGAAAGAATTTTATGGGAATTCCCTTACTTCTAGCAAAAATATCTTAACGGGAAAAGTACCACCAGACAAAAGAGTTTAATATCTTTATAAATATATAAATAATTCACATTCAAAAATAAAAGTGAACGGGCCCATTAGCAAAAGATATTGGAGAAGTAGATGAACAAGGAAATGGTCTAATTGCAGTGATTGTTGACGGTGCATGGTGTAAGCGGTCATATAAAGTTAATTATAACGCTTTATCTGGAGTCGTTAGTTTATATTTTAATATTGTGTGTGATCCAAAAACAATGTTTCTAAAGTAAGCCATGACCGACAGAATTGTGAAGAATCCGTCATGCGTGATTTTTCCATGGTCTACTTTAGAAACATTTTCATATTTGACATAACATATAAAAGGTTTATTTTTTAATGGATTTATTTTTTACAGGCTTGCATTATTGGGGCAAAAACTGGAAAAGTTTTGTATGTTGCTTCTAAAAGTAAGTTTTGTCCTATCTGTGCTCGAGCTTTAACTAAAAACATAAAAGCTACAACTCATAAATGTTCAAAAAATTGGGATGGTTCGTCGACTTCTATGGAATCGGAACTAATTTTATTTGTATCCCGCGCCTGCGTTATTAAACAGCATTTGAACAGGTACAAGTTGGGTTATAATAAAAGATGTATTTCATTTTCGGTGGTTATTATCATTGGGTAAAAGAATTATTTATTATTCGTCTTGCGACTGCGCTTTCATACCAACGACCTAATTTGTTTAATAATACTGGTCAGACATAATTTTATTGAGAGTAAATATTTTTATTACATTTCTGTATATTAAACAGGCATTTGTGAAAAATGGATAATATAATTGTGATATTAAGGTACGTCTTTTATTACAAATATATTGTGTATGCCAATGATTTCTGTGCAATTTGGGTTAATGGAAATAGGAAGTCCTAATAAACTAATATAATAGTCTCACCTGTTTTATATACTTCTTTCTTAAATACATTTTACTATATGAAAAATCAGAAGCTGGTCTTTGTGGCTAAAATTTAAACCAGTGAAATATGAAAAAAAAATTAAACTGAATACTAAAATAAATATTAAACAGAAATTAACGTTCGCCAAAAATGAAAATATTACACTATTCCTAGCCATTTTTAACATATAAAGATATTTTTTAAATTCTTAAACAGTAACTTGACAACTAAAAATCTAAAAAGGTTATTCCGTGCGTTATTTTCTGTCCCTTAAAAATACTTATCGAGTTTTACATAAAAAACCATAGATAAAAGACTACTTATTTTGTTCTTTACAAAATATTTTTGTTTAATTCCTAAATAAAAATCCTCATAAAAATAAATGTATTGAAAATGTAACCGGAGTCCACAATTTAAAAACCAAATAAGCAGCTAGCGTATATTTTCTGTGACGAAGTTTTCATTTATTCATTCATTTACGCGTTTAAAACCACGCGCAAAGTTTCGCCACGCCCACCGCGAAGAGAACCTGCATTTTAATTGGTCCATAAAACGTATACGTAGTAGAAAAGCCAGGGGCCCACAATTAAACATCTGATGTGTCCAACACATGACTTTACTATCTAGTTATTACAGGCTTTTTCCGGTTATTTTGTACAACCTATTGCAGCACCTCTATAAATGTTTAGAGGATAAACTAAATATATACATTTTCCACATACATCTACCTCGAAACATTTTTCTAAATTCATTGAAAACGAAAATAATAAAAAATTTAAATTTAGCACTTTTCCTTCAATTTTTCCATTACGGTCCATTTTAGAAAAATCATGTATAAACAAAAATTATAGAGATCGATATCGCAAACAACTTTTATTTCAACAATTTTCATAAAAATCAGAATTTTGCACATTTTGTCAAATTTCTCGAATAAGGACCATTTCAGGAAATTTTGACATAAGACAAAAATTATAGATAATAATAATGAAGTAACTTTTATTTGAACTATTTTTTTCTCCAAACATAAATAACAGATATATTCATTCCATAAAATATAAAAACGGCCTCACATAAAGTACCCCCCCCCAGATGTTCCAACTTTGTCCAAAATCTAATCATTTCACGTCAGGCCGAAATAAAACTTAAGTTTAAAATTTAATGTTTTTTTTATCCGTTTTTGAGTTTTTCTCAAATTTCGAAATTCACACATTTTCTCAAATATCTCGAATACGGTTTATTTTACAGAAATTATGTAGAGGATAAAAATTATAGAGAATTATATTACAAACAACTTTTGTTTGAACAATTTTTATAAAAAAATATTTTTTTACATTTTGTCAAATTTCTCGAATACAGACCATTTTAGGAAAATTTTGTATAGAACAAAAATTTTAGATAATATAAGAAGTAACTTTTATTTGAAGAATTTTCTTCCCCAGACGTAAATAACAGATATATTTCATAAAATATAAAAATGACCACCTATAAAGTACCCCCCAGATGTTCAGACTCTGCCCAAAATCTAATCAGCTCATTGGACGCTTGAACAAAGCTTAAGTTTAAAATTTGGTGTTTTTCTGTGTATCGGTTCATGAGTTATGCGACACACACACAGACATCATCGCGAAAATAGTCAAAACGGATTCAGGGGACCTCAAAACGTAAAAATCCGTCGAAAACTCGAGGTCGAAAAAAATCATGATTCCTATACTTTCCTTATATCTGTATAAACATAGGAAAGTAAAAAAACGCAAAAGTGGCGCACCTAAAGATAGGGATTACGGACTTCAATGCGATGAAGATGATGTTTTGGAACAAAAACAACTGCAATTTTTGGATAGTTTACCAAAATCAATCAATAAATGATATTTGTAAAGTATTTACTAGAGGTCAGGCCAGTAATGATCTGTGGAAAGAACATCGTAGTAATATGCTCACGACTTCAAATTTTGGAACCGTTTGCAAATTACGCAAAACAACAGATCCAAAAAAGACTGTTACTATATTATTTTCATCTTTTTAGGGATCAGTCGCTACAAAATGGGGACAAGATCATGAATCTATTGCGTTAGAATAATTTAAAAATAAATATGGAAAACGGTACAAGAATGTGGATTATTTATTTATGAAAAACATCCATACTTGGGAGTAAGTCCAGACGGCATTAATAATAATGAAATAATTGAAATTGAATGTCCATATTCTTGTTCCAAATTGACACCAGAAATGGGAATTCAAGAAAAAATAAATAAATATCTAGCCAATATAGATGGCCAAATTAAATTAAAAAAAAAGATAATTATTATTATCAGGTACAAGGGCAATTGGCTATAACGAAAGCCAAATATTGTTATTTTATAGTTTGGACCCCACTAGGAATGTTCGTTGAGAAAATTGAGAGATGAAAATTTGTGGTTATGTGCTGAACCACAAAGTTAGTGGATTTTTATTTAAAATATTTAATAAAAGAAATAGTAAGAAGAAATTGATATAATTTATTTTTTTTGGTATTGTATTTTGTTATGTGAAATAAAATGTTTCATTAAAAATAGTAGGTAATTAAAGTTTTTTTTATTTAAGTATTTAATTTATTTTGACCTATTTTTACTTTCAGTGAACGAAGAAAAGATAAAACCAACACAATATATGTACAATAAAATATACATGCATACAATAAAATGGTTTTCAAAAAATTTATCGTCTACACTACAAATTAATTGTGAGATGCAATTTTGTTTAAAAAAACAAATATTTTATAGTATGTACCACTGTATATTAAAGCACTTTCCAAAAATCAGTTTCTTACTTTAAATATACCATAAATAAAGCCATCCAAAGCTTTTGCGGGGATACTAAGTGTATATTATCGAATATTAGTAATAATAACAATAATAATGTTTATTTACAAAAAATACGATCAATAATTATATGTATAAAAATCCTTTACTATTTCACCTTAGAATAAAAATAAAATCAATTTAAATATAGTTAACCATTTATTTAAAAAATAATTCCACTAGATGAAGAAAGAAAACTTTCGAATCCGTCGTCGAAGTAGTAAATAAAAGTATTCTCTGCAAAGAAATTACTATCAACACAATAGTTACAATATACCGACAAATTGAGCCAGACCGCGTTTCAGGTGGAGAGAAAGGTAGGCCTTCCATTAGACTGAACAGAGAGAGATAGAATTATTACACGCACAATTGTCTTTACATAAACAAAGAGAGGGTTACGTACAGAGATATTATATGAAATGGATGAGGTACCTCTCAACTTCGACCGAACGGAAAGCGGTAGAACAGCCTTAACGATACTACATTTCTAACAGCTTTTTTTGTCTACAAAATCGTCAATTGGGGTCAAGTCTGGAAATTTTGTGAGTCGGTGAATAAAAATATCTGCAAATGCTTGGAAATCAGCTGATTATAAAAACTCTGATAAAATAAAACTGCTTTTAGGGTCATATCTGAACATTTAATACAAGATCTTAGATATCATATAAATATAGTAAATGACCAAAAAATAATAAATTATCACATCATTTCAATAAAAAAAGAAGTTTAAAAATAAAAATTAAAACACACTTGCTCAATAAAGTCAAACGAAATTAACGTCAGTTTTTTTCTTCACAACAATGTCGGCAACGTTTAGATGAGCAACTTTTTCTTTCCTCTTAGGTGGTATCGATTGTTGACAGAAACGCTTGAAGGCTTCCAATTCCAGTTCTTCAGGGTCCATGTCGTCTTCTAATACGTCTCTGGGAGTAAAAACGTTATCTACAAATTAACAATATCGTTCTTTAACAGATTCTGCAAAAAGATGAACAAGTATAAAAGTCATTTAATAAAACTGACTCCAAAAATGAAGAGTTTAATCGTGGATCCTGTCATCATCAGATCTTGACTAAATTTATATGGGCTAACAAAAAAAGAATTATAGAAATAGGACGTGGTAAAGAATTATCGCTAAACATACATAAAAAAGGGACGCGGACTTTTTGATAAAAAAAAAAAAACATGATCGAACGTAAAATTTATTGTACATGACATTTAAAAATACCCATATATAGTTTTATTTAAAAAGTAACATATTTATTTTCTAAGATTGGATGAATCCTAGGATAATTTTAAATAGTGCTCTTTTCTCAATTGATTTTCTTTCGATAAATTGTACGTTCAATATTTTGCAATTTCATTAAAATGTTTTTCGATCAAAAGTCCGCTAGCCAAAAAAAATATACCGTTGAATTGAGAACCTTCTCCTTTTTTGAAGTCTGTCAAAAAGATAATTAATGAAATCATTTACAGTTATCTATAATCGCAAAAACGTTTATTTGAACTTGAACAATAACAACAAAATTAAAGTTAAATTAAGTTGAACATTAACATAATGTAAGTTTTCTTGAAGGATTAGGAACGAAGGAAGTTTATTTTCGCCTACTTGGATAATTTCAGTTGGCTCAGGTACATGAAGGAAATGAGGGCGTCTGGAACAAGAAGAGGTCTTAGGTCTGGAATAAAGTTCGTTTTTCTTTGTTACTGTTTTGCAGCGCAAAAGAAACGCAAGATTTCATTAGGGGGCAAGGTCCAGCCAATGAGCCACCCACCCCCCCAAAGTCCAACGTTACTTTTGGAACAATATTGTTGGATATGAAATTAAAGTGTCCTGAAAGTATTTTTAATAAATTTTCAAAACAATTTGTCATAATGATTGTTTTTAAAAATATTAATGTTTATATGATTTTAAATTCATATTTATGATATTTTCTTAAATCTTATTCAAATATGTACTTTCACAATTTTTTAATCTCTGAAAAAAATAGCATAAACAAATAATTAATTCGTTTATATGATACATTTAAAATGGTTTTATTGAGTAATGTAATATACATTAACATTCACTACAATACCAATCATCTTTTTTTAAAAATTCACTACTATAAATCCAGTTATTAAAAATATTTTAAATTTAACAGAAATCATACAAAACATTTTGTTGAAGACAGTAGTTCAATATCTTTACTAGTTTTAAAATAGAGGAATGATAAAAGTCAATGTGTAATTAATTTTCACAGATGTGACATTGTCGCCTTTAAACATTTACTATTATAAAACCAATAAATAAAAAATCAGAAATTTGCAGAAAATAGTCGTAGAAACATTTTGTCAAAGGCACCAATTCAATATCTTTACTGGTTTTAAAATTGAGGGATGATAAAGTCCAATTATTTGTTTTCACAGATGTAACATTGCCACCTTTAAACACTGACTGTTATAAGACCAGTAATTAAAAAGATCAGAAATTTGCAGAAATTATACAAACATGTTTGTTTAATATCTTTACTAGTCGTGAAATGGAGAGATGATAGAAGTGAAATTATTCGTTTCAACATGTGACATTGCTACCTTTAAACATTCACTATTATAAGACCAGTAATTAAAAAGATCTGAAACTTGTAGAAATCCTACAAAACAATTGTGGAAATATTTTGTTGAAGACATTAGTTCAATATCTTTACTAGTTTTAAAATAAAGAAATGATAAAGTCAAATTATTCGTTTTTACATAATGCATTGCTGCCTTTAAACATTCACTAATATAAAACCAGTAAAGAAACAGATCTGAAATCATACAAATTAGTTGTAGAAACATTTTTTTTGAAGACAGCTGTTCGATATCTTTACTAGTTATGAAATGGAGGGATGATAAAGTCAAATTATTCGTTTCCACTTATGCGACATTGACACCTTTAAACATTCACTATTATAAGACCAGTAATTAAAAAGATTTGAAATTTGCAGAAATTATACAAAACATTTGTTGGAGGCATCAGTTCAATATCTGTACTAGTTTTAAAATAGAGGAATGATAAAGTCAAATTATTCGTTTTCACAAATGTGAAATTGCCGCATTTAAACATTCAATATTATAAAACCAGTATACAAAAAGATCTAAAATTTGCAGAAATTATACAAAACAGTTATAAAAACATTTTGTTGAAGACAGCAGTGCAATATATTTACTTATTTAAAATGGAGGGATGATAAAGTCAAATTATTCATTTCCACATATGTGACAATTAATTGCCACCTTTAAACATTCACTATTATAAGATCAGTAATTCAAAGGATCTGAAATTTGCATAAAATAGTTGTAGAAACATTTTGTTGAATACAGCATTTTACTAGTTTTAAAATAGAGGGATGATAAAGTCAAATTATTCGTTTTCACATATCAAACATTCACTATTATAAGACCAGTAATTAAGATCTGAAATTTGCAGAAATCATATGAAACAGTTGTAGAAACATTTTGTTGGTGACAACAGTTAAACATCTTTACTAGTTTTAAAATGGAGGATGATAGAAACTAATTATTCGTTTCTATATGTGACACTGCCACACTTAAACATTCACTATTATAAGACAAGTAATTAAAAAGGTCTGTAATTTACAGAAATCATACAAAAGAGTTGCAGAAACATTTTGCTGAAGACACCAATTCAAAATCCTTACTAGTTTTAAAATCATTGGATGATATTCCTTTCCATGGAACTGACATTGCCACGTTTGAACACTGACTACTACTACTGTAAGACCAGTAATTAAAAAAAAGTGAAATTTGCAGAAATACAAACCATTTGTAGAAACATTTTCTTGAAGACAGCAAATCATTATCTTTACTGGTTTTAAAATAGAGGAATGATAAAGTCAAATTATTCGTTTTCACAGATGTGACATTGTCTATTATAAAACCAGTAAATAAAAAGATCTGAAATTTGAAGAAATCATACAAAACAGTTGTAGAAACATTTTGTTGAAGACACCAATTCAATATCTTTACTGGTTTTAAAATGGAGGGATGATAAAGTCAAATTATACGTTTCCACATATGTGACATTGCCACTTTAAACATTCACTACTCTAAAAATACGCCGTAAAAAGAACTCAAAGTTACAGAAATCATACAAAACAGTTGCAAAAACATTTTGTTGAAGTCATAAATTCAATGTCTTTACTAGTCTTAATATGACGGTGGTCATAAAGTCAAATTATTCGTTTCCTCGTTCAAATCGTGAGTAATTATAACCAACCGCGAAATATAACGTCATTTTCTTTGCCTTACGCTCTCCATTATTCGTAATATTCAAAAAGGGACGAACCCGTAAAAAAATATCAACGTGGTAATCAAAACTTAAAGAACAACCAAATTAAGATGGCCGAACTCACCATATAGCCAATCGTCCTTATCTAAACTGAACTTTTCCCCACCATTCGAGGATGGGATAATCGACACTTGCGCAGTTTGACACGACTTGTGCACTTCCGGCTCAGAATTGGCGCTCCGTTTGTTGACTTTCGTAATCTCTATTCCCGGCAGTCCAGACAAAATTTCTTGAGCATTAAAAGGCGAGATGGTATCCGATTTGGAGTCCAACATATTCGAACTATTTGAAGATTTTTGAATTTCCGGCATTAGATTCGAAATTGACGATAGAGGCATGGAGTTGAGAGTGGTTTCGGCGAGACCGCCGTTAGAGAGAGATTGCTGCAATCGAGAACTTCTGATTGTCACCATTCCGTTTTCGTTGGTAAAAATGGCGGCTGGAGCGCAGCTTTCATTCCTATCCCCCGCAGGTTCAGGTTTCTGTTGGAAAGATTGGAATATTGGGTTCTTCAACGTGACCATTTTTTTGACGTCATTTTGGACGACGGTTGAGTTGACGTCGCCTTGCTTTTTGTTTTTCTTTTTCTTCTTCTTAGCGCTTTTGCTTAGTTTGCCTTGGACAGGGTCTTGCTTTTGTTGAATTAATTTTTCTGTATCAACTACTATTACTCCTGATTTGCCTACGTTTATTGAGGGTCCTTTCTGGTCCTCCATGTTACCCACATGGTAATTTCTACTTGAAACTGGACCATCCACCTTTGTAATTGTAATACCTAAAAAAGTACACAATTTAAAATACTTTTTGATTAATTATTGTAAACTATAATCATAAGTGCTTTCCAGTGAGAAAATAAACTCCAATCAAAAATAAAATATTAGCTTTGTTATCAAATTGAATTCTTTCAAAGAGGAAAATGTACAGTGACCACTGAAAATTAGCTCAGAGTGTGACAGAGAAGGCAGAGAGGAAAGAACAGTTTTCTTAATTTAATTCATCAAAGCTTATTAATTGTAAATTTTCAGGTACAACTTATTAAACCCGGTCTTGGTAGAGATGGTGTCTCCATATCAATATATACATTTATGAACGCTTATTGTTCTTCTTCAAGAATGCAGAGGAATTTATTTAGAACTATATAGAACATGGTTTTAAGACGAGAACAAAAATATAAATTATCCAGTTTATAAGTTAACAGTGACAGAATTGCATGCATGTATTAAACTTTTTTAATAAATAATAGTTATAATACTCTCCCTAATTCACCCCCTTACGAGTGAATTTTAACCCCAAAAGCTGAGCTTGTGCGGGGAAAGGGACGGCTATTATTATTATTATTATTTGTCGTGGCGCTCCGGGGCGACTTAAAGATGATTGATGGTGCCATTTGACTTACAGGTGAGGAAAACTGGGAAAACATCACCCACCATCATCGAGACGGTAATGCATGGCGATTTTATAAAATAACGAGTACCAAGAGATTTAAAAAGGAAGTGAAGGCTATTATATTAGAAATAGAACCCTATAATGTAGATGAATTTTCATTACTTAAAGTGTTTTTGTACTGTAAATGTTTTTTTAAATAGATTATTATTAAGTAGGAGCAGTACAACCGGCTTTTAAAGCTTTAAATCTGGCTTACCTGGAGGTAAACGTAACATAGGAATGGGCAGGTCATCCGGGTTAAAATTCGATTTCTGCGTATTCTGTTTAGTTACGCACTTCTCAATTTGATTCTTCACATTGTTTTTTCCCAATTTTTGATTGGCTGTTTGACTGTTAGCAGTTTGCTGGTTCTTATTCATGTCAAGGGCGACAGTGACTTTAAGCTCTTTCGTTACAACTTGTGGGGCAACTGGAGCAGGTTTGTGTTTCTGATTAAGCTGCGGGGCAGGTTCCGGTTGTTTCTGTTTCTTTTTCTTGTTCTTCGTCGGGTTGTTGGAGATTGTTTCCGGTTGTTCTGCAGGTTTGCTACTAGCGTCATCTGAACCATTAACGAGAGTATAGAGAAGTTTATCTTGGTCTGGGGTGGATCCTTTGAGGGTGATGGTAACGGTTGGGGCACTACTGCCGCTTTCCGCTATTCTTTTTATTGTCACCATCGCTGGGATCGTTTCTTCAACTACTTTCGACTTTTCTTCCAGTTCTAATTTTTGTTGACGCCTCTTTTCGGCCTGTCTCTCTTTTTTCGATCTCTTCTTCAGTTCTTTTAAAGCTGCAAAAGATAAGGATCCTGCGAAATGTTTAAAAAGAGATGGTTTGGTTTATGTAACATACCTTGTGCAGCTGCAGCTTCAGCGGCCGCTTTCGATTTCTCTTTTTCGGCTTGCTTTCGAGCTAATTCTTTCTTTTTCTCGGCTTCTTTCCTTCGCATCTCCGCTTCGAGTCGTTTGTGCTCTTCTTCCGCTTTGATCCTTTCTTCTTCCTAGGGTGGGACAGAGACGAGGACAAAAAAAGAATATTTATTTAAGAAACAAATCTTTATTAAGCATGTAAGCCAAATATACAAAATATAAATATTTATAATGACATTACATTAAGACGATTATTATTATAAGGCACTTTAATTTTTTTTAATTATAGAAGTATTTTTATAGGCTGAAAATGTGCATCTTCATTATTATGAGTGAGTTTAGGGATAGTTATCACTAGAGAGCGGAATATATGTATGCAAAATGCATATATATGCATTTTTTGCATATTTTACCAAAGTTCAGAAAATATTGCATATTTTTCCAAAATTCAGAAAATATTGCATATTTTACCAAAGTTCAGAAAATTTAAGAAAATATTGCATATTTTCGAAAAAAAAAAAATGTATTACTATACTGTGCAAATCAAAAACTGTTTTAACAGATTATACAGATATATTTGAAATAAAGACCTTTTAAATTTTTGTATTTGTTAAGTGTCACTTCTTGTAAATTCTTGTTAATTAGTTCTTGGAGGGTTTTTACATTCTTAAGAGATTAAGCCCATTAAGGTAATTGTTAATAGATGGTATTTACACAGATAAAGTATTACCTACAATGCAATAAAACGGTTTATATAAAATTCTCAGTAATTTCTTGTAACCAATCTACCCTAACATCGGAATATTTTGAATGTTTTTCATTCAGTTTAATGAGATAGTATCCTCGTTATTTGCCTAGTGAAAAGTCTTGTAATAATTTGTTGTTTTAAAAGTGTCCTAAAATGTCGAGAATTTCTTCGTGGATTATTAACTTTCCAGAGTTGGAAATCAATGGGGATAAAGTTTTTTGCAAAGCTTGTGCCAAAATAGTGGTTTGCGAAAAAAAGTTCAAAGTGGTTCAACACGTGAAAACATCATTGCATAAAGCCAAATTGCAAAAAATGAAATCACAATCGGTTCAACAATGCGTTGTGAGGTCATTTCAAAACGCCGACAAAACAAAAAGTGACAAGGAGCTATTTAATCAGGACTTGTGCAAAGCTCTTGTTGCGGCAAATATTCCATTAAAGAAGTTACAAAACCTACATCTAAGAGAATTTTTACAAAAATATTGCAATCAAACCATTCCTGACGAATCTACACTTAGAAAAAAAAATGTACATGCTATATATATAAATGTAATAGAAGAAATTAAAGTTTTACTGGATAATAGCAATTTTTACATCATTGTTGATGAAAGCACAGATGCTTGTGGAAGATATATGGTACATCTTATAATTGGAGCCTTAAAAGAAAATGAACCAGGTACATCATATTTAATTGCATCAAAACAGTTAGAAAAAACTAACAATACAGCTGTTACCCGATTTATTCAACAATCTCTAGCAGAATTTTTTTTTCCAAATCAAATTCCCTCAGAGAAGTTCTTAGTGTTTTTTGTCTGACGCAGCACCATATATGATAAAAGTAGGGCAAAACTTAAAAATATTTTATCCAAATATCGTCCACGTTACTTGTCTTCTGCATGGAATAAACTTAGTTGCAGAAACTGTGAGAACAGAATATCCCTTGGTTAACAAGCTAATTTCGAATGTGAAAAAAATATTTTTAAAAGCCCCTTTAAGAGTGCAGTTGTATAAAGAGAGAATGGTAGGGGTGTGTTTGCCCCCGGAACCCGTAATTACGCAATGAGGGACATGGATTAAAGCAGCTATATTCTATGCAGAAAATTTTGAAGCAATTAAGGATTTAATTTTGGATATAGAAGACAATTCACAATGTGTAGTGCAAAGTAAAGAATTGTTAAAAAATCCCCTTGTGCCTAAGCAACTTGTGTTTATAAAGGTTAATTTTAGTTTTTTACATGATGTAATAACTTCATTGGAAAAGAAAAATTTAAGTTTAATCGAATCAACAAATTTTATTGCAACAGTTTCCGATAAATGTAACAATGTTCCTGGTGGCATAGGCCTTAAGATTAGAAAAAAATTAAATACAACTTTATTAAAGAATGAAGGGTTCAATGAAATAAGGGAAGTGAAAAACATTTTTGAGGGAAAATTTTCCAAAGAAGTTTTACATTACTTCCAAAATTACGGTATTGTCCTATTACTTCGGTAGATGTTGAAAGGACCTTTTCTATATCAAAACATATTTTTACAGACAGAAGACAAAAATTTTTAATGGAAAATTTCGAAAAATATTTAATTATAAATTCCTATTATAATATTACTATTTAATATTTTTATACTATTCTATACTTAACTTCTACTAGTTTTTGTGTTTCGTTTGTTTTAAATAAATTTTTATATTACATATTTTCTTTTGTTTTTTTTTTCGTGTAATGGCTTTGATAGCGTACCAAATTAGGAACAGCAATGTTAATTAGAACCCAACAGTGAATGGTCAAGTGGAAATATTCGCTAGACATCAGAATTAATTTTTAAATAAATTAATTAATTTAAAAAATCGCGTCCCGGCTGGAATTTGAACCCGGGACCCCTAAGTCCACAGGCCAACGCACTAACCACTGAGCTACCCACCCCCTACTTTTTTTTAAGTATTTTTAACAAATATGCATTTGCATATTTAGGCATAATTGGACAAAATAACTGCATATTTTTGGTAAAAACGATGCATATATATGCGCATATTTTGTTATATTTTGATGCATATATTCCGCCCTCTAGTTATCACCATACTTATTTTTATATTTAAAACATGCTCTATTATGCACTTTTTATAATTTTTCCATTTGCGAGGCCATTGCATTTATTATTTATTTAGAGTGGTGACATATTAAATATGTTTTCAACTATTCATTGTTTTAAATCACAATATACAAGGTTATCATAAAGTAAGGGATATATTTTAACTTATAACTTTTTAACAAATTAAGTTAATAACAAAAACTAAACGATATTTAATTGTTTAAATAATGGGATTTTGTATACCCAAACCCAATTACCGTAAATGTTCAATATTATCTCCATTTTGATCTTGAAAAATCAGCAAATTGTACACATCATTTTGTATCAAATTGCGGTACGCTTTCATTTGACAGGGCCCTGCTCTCAAACCCATTCTCGTGCAAAATCTTCGTAATCCAGCGGTGTAATTTCTGCCGCATTCATAAGGTTTGTTCAAACAATGATCCGAAACCAGTCATTTGCACCAGGATTCTGCGCCAAATCCATACTGCGCACAATCCTGGTTTCTAATCGTTGTTGGAACAGACCTATAATACCACTGAACAAAACCAATTCTTGTTTGCAGATCCATGCTGTTAGAGTTTGAATCGTTACAACTTTACGTTTCCTTGAGTTTTAATTTAAAAATAAATTCCAAATTGAATGATTTTGTTTTGACACTCGTGTTAACAATTGTCATGACAACGCTTTTGTTCTCCATAGACACAATAAAAGCAATTAGATTTTGTTTATACTTTTTTTTTAGCTTGATTTGTTAAAAAGTTATAATAAGTTAAACTATATCCCTTACTTTATGATAACCCCATATTTATTGCTTCAAGGAGAATATTATAGAAAAATAGAATCATTGATGTTCTCGTTTGCAAAAATTCACAACGTACCTTTTTCTGCCGCTGTCGAGCTTTCTTGGCGGCCTTCTTCTGTGCTAGCTCCATCTTATTCAACGCCGTATTACCCTCGATGTAATTGACTAAACCGTGTATGTCATCTGTGGTGCCAGTACCCGTCGATGTCGCTACAGATGACGTCGCTATAGAGGAATCTGATGACTTAATCGACGGTGCAGGTGGGATATTTGTTGGCGATGACGGTAAAGGTACGCGTTCTTCTACTTTACTAATGGCAGTCTTGATTTTTGTGGCATTGACGTTTGTGACAGTGCCCGTGGAATTCGTGGTTGTTGGCGGGTTTTTGCACGTATCTTTTGTTCGTTTTTCTCGTCGCTGATGAAGACGTATCCTCAATCTGTCTCTCAGTTCGTTACTTTTATGTGTATGAGAAGCCACGGTCGGAAATTTTTCCTAAATGAAGTGATATTATTTTTTTGTACATTTAAGAAATTATTCATCAATGTCATGTTTAGAAATTATCAATGTCTGTTATATACCGAAGATTTAAAACTTATAAGTTTCTGGTATCAAATACTTCGGATTCAAAGTTTAATTTTGATATTCATGTAGAAAATATTGTTCAGAAATCTTACAAGAATTTTCTAATGCAAAGTCTATTTTTAACCGACTTCAAAAAAGGAGGAGGTTATCAATTCGTCGCGATATATATATTTTTTTATGTAAGTATGTTCAGCGATAATTCTTTAACACGGTGTCCGATTTCAAGAATTCTTTTTTTGTTAGAAAGGGGCTACTTCAGGGGTGGTCCCATATAATTTTGGTCAAAATCTAATTAATTGGGTCCATGAGAAAATCCTCAAACTCTTCATTTTTTATGTATGTTTAGCGATAATGCTTTACCACCTTGTCCGATTTATATGATTATTTTAAGCTATTGCATAGCTTTTATCGCGGGCCTTGAGCGCGGCGACCGAATCAAAAAAAAAAACGAAACCGTAACGAAAATAAACCTAACACCCCCAACTCCGACATGCACAACGGTGCGGCGCTGAAAGCCGTGCATCGTCTAACGTCGTTTCAGTTCGGCAGACTTCGGCACGGTGTTTGTGTGCGTGCGACTAGACGTATGCGTGTAGACTAGCTGATAACTGCTCATAACTGATTCTATCTCTTTTAAACACAATTTTGGAAAAATTGAATTTGACAATGAAGAATCCACAACAAAATATGGAACCACTATTGACGCGGTATTTTCCAGATATTTAGAGGATATCAAGTCTCAAACTTATGTTTCTTATTTCAGTTACCATAAACCTATATTTTCAATGATAAAAATTCCTGAATAACCTACATGTATTGTAAGGTAATAAAAATATTTTAAACAATATTAACTTCTCATTTATCAGATAAAAGAAAAAAAATTTGTTTTCTTATCAGTCACCACGCTCAAAAAGTGTAACTTGAATTATTATCAAAGAAAAAAACTTGAATTTAATAATTCAAGTATTTTTCTTTAATATTTCATAGAAACAAAAAATACTGCATAAATAAAATAAATAAATAATTATAATTGCACAAGTTGATAAAAAATGCTATGCAATAGCTTTACCGCGGCAGTCTCCGAGTGCCACACGTATTTTGTTTGTTAGTAAGGGGGTACCTCAGGGGTGGTCCCATATAAATTTGGTTAAGATGTGGTGATGGCATCTTCACGTTTTTTGAAGTCGGTTTTTTAAATTTTTAATTTCTAATACTTGTAATATTATATAACTCAATGGTTAGAAGATTATGGGTCAATTTTATGGTCACCTTGTTAATAAAAACAGAAAATAATAAAACATTTAAACTACCAGTTTAATAAAAATATAATTCTTGAATATGATTTTAGCTTACGGAATTATAAAATAAACTAGTTTCAAGGAGAGTTGTTGCTCATAAACAACAAATTTATTCTGTCTACACACTAGAAAACTTAAACTTTTACGCGAAAAATAACACATTCCACTTACTTAATCTTTTTTTTATCATAATTCAGCGTTAATTAACTATGGCAACAAGACTGCAATACGAAATATTTTGGCCACCTATACACTATTTAACATTATTATAGAAACATTCGAAAGGGCCGTGCCAAGCATCGTGCCTTGGGGCCGGGACAAAAAAAAATTAAAAAAATAGGTTAATAAAATATTAAATAAAAATGTATCTATTAAACCGGCACTGGTATGTACTCTAGAATCTTAAATATTTTGTTACTTAATTATAAATTAAATTTTTGTTTTATTATAGTAATTAGTTGTATTATGTACCGATAAAAATGTTTTGTGCAATCTTATAATTGGGCATTTATTTGCTTGTTAGATTGCTAAATTTAAAAATAAAAATGTGACTTTCCTATACATTATACAGGTTTCTCTTTACAACGCGAACTTTTACTCAGAGACAATATACAAAAAGTTTTAAGTCCAATCTTCATCAGGTTTAAAAAAAGTGCAAACACTATCTGTTGTCAAGTCAAACTACCCAGGCAGCACATATTAGTATAACTAACGTATTTTATACGTAATACTCGTTTAATTTTGGTATTGGTTGATTCCGTATACGTTTACTGTATACGATTATTATCGAGAGGGGGGTAAGGTTCCGGCAGACGATCGGGAATCAGCTGACTGATGGTGGCTGGTTGCTGTGAAGCGCTCGCTATCAATCAGACAATTCACGTTATTATAAGTTATATTTCTGTTAACTAGTTGCTAACCACGATAATTGTTTTTTATGTAATAAAAAGTTCTTGTAAAATTGTTGGTGTTGTTGTGCCCAGTTGGATTGCATGTTGCTTTGGCGTCCTGGCTTTTACGATATTGGTTAAAAGCATATAGGTAAGTTTCTATTAATGTTTTAATTTAGCTACTCGTTTAATAATTGTTGCATTTTATTACAGTGTGTAAAATGCTTATAGAAACTCCAGAACATAACCTTACTTTTGTTTTTCTTATTTTTATACGTATTTATATACCTTTTTTGTTTGGCTACCTATTTATTCCAAGCATAATTATTTTCCTTTTTTTGGTCAGTTGTTTTTTATTTAATAAAATGTCTAAAATAACCGGCGTCATCTACTAAGAAAAATAGCACAAAATGTTCAAGATGCTTTAAAGTCAAATCAATTTTTTTTATTCCCAATGAAGATAACATTAATAAGGCTTCGGACATTAATATATCATCTGATTCTATTATTTATAATAATTTCCTAGAAAATAATACAAATTTAACTTTGGAGCTTTTAGAAAATATTTCAGTTATATTTTGGTTATAGGAATGGGGGTGAACCAAGAGACTTAACCGACCGAACGATTAGAAGTGCTATGCAAGATTGGCTTAAGTTAGCTAAGGCCTGTCTAGGACACAACACATCCAAAGTGTTAAGCTAAGATTTTAATTTTCATATATATATTTTGTTAGTTAATTAGTTTGTTATTCAGTATTTTAGTGTTTATTTTTTAGTATTTTATTGTTCATTTTTTTAATAAAATATTGTTCTGTACATATAACAAGTGATCAAAAAAATTTCCTAAATATTTAGGCCAATTACAACCAAAATAGAAACACCAGTAATACCTATTTCTAGTGTATACACACCTGCTATGGATGAAATCCAACGTGTCATTTAAGAAGTATTAACATTTTTCCATGGCCTCTTTTAGAAATTTTGTTTTGATCACTTTATTTAATTTGTGTTTGAAATACATTTAAAACAATATCAGGTAGACGCATTTTACATATTAATAAAATAAGATAAATCTAATATAGACGTATAGTAAAACATGATAATAAAAGGTAGATAAAGTAGTAATGTTAGACGTATAAAACATAAAAAAATATACGTTTATAGGGCGGACATTTTCACGTATATATTGGGTAGCATATCAACGGTATCCATACGTATATTGTAGTACATAAAAAAACGTCTTTTATACCAAAGTGGATTCGTATAAATATACTACAACTATAAATCTAATATAGACGTATAGTAAAAACGTTTAATTATAGGTGGATAAATTCTTAGTAATCGACGTTTATAAGGCGGACATTTTCACGAATATATTTGGTAGTACATCAACCGTATTCATACGTATGGTAGTACCTAAAAAAAACGTAATTTATACCAAAGTGTGCTGCCTGGGTAGTTACCCTTAAATGTCTTACCATGTTAGTAATTATCATGCATTAAAGACCCAAAAACCTATATTTATTATCTGTATGTAAACAATTAAACTCTCAAATCAGCTTACTCAAAATAAACTTTTTTCTCCAGTACAAAATTATAGATTAATTAAACAAAAACTTTTCATAAAGGTAAAGTATAAAAAAAATTATACAAAAACACACTAATTGCCATTATCTCGCTTAGACAGATCCGGATTCAAAAATTTTTATTCTACCTAGTGATTTTTATGTTATGTATCAATAAGCATTTCTTTAAGGCGATTTTATACAGGATGTCCCTAAAACGTATGTACAGAACGCTAGCACAAATTCAGGAGGATACAGTGAAATTTACCTTAGTCCAAAGGTCGATAGTTTCCGAAGCTATTATTATTTTATTCCTTTTTTAAAATATTTTTTATCTTAATAATACACTGCATCGCAAAATTAACCGGATACTAAGTGTATTTTAAATAAACTTAAAAAGTATTAGAAAAACTTAAATTCCAATAAAAAATTTTTATTGTATTTTCAATAACAAACCCTAAAATAAAATACAAGTTCCAAAATATTGTTTAATTTAACAACTAATAAAAATTTATAAAATTTTTGTATTCCCGGAGTACACAATTAACGGGTATTTTTCTGATTGAAATCATTAATTCTAAGATTTGGATATCAAAATCGAGTATTCCCTCCTCGAACTCGAATAACAGCTCTCATCCTTTCTGGCATAGACTGGACCAAAGCAACAATCTCGTTTTGCGGTATTTCCCACTCATTTACCAGCGCCTGTTCTAACGCTACCACAGTTTCAAACTAGCCACAATTGTATCTAAGTCCTCTTCCCAAGTTGTCCCACAAATGCTCTATAGGGTTAAGGTCTGGGCTTCTAGGAGGCCAAGCTAGTATCGAATATCAACATCTGTAAAGTATTGCATAGTTACACTGCCTATGTGCGGCCGAGCATAATCTTGCATTAGAAGAAAATTTTCACCTACAAAATGCATATAAGGTACCACATGTTCTTCCAGACATTCCCTAATGTACCTATCAGCATTAAGGCCAGCTTCCCCTAACATAACAAGATGTTCTTCCAAAGAAATGCCGCCCCATACCATTGCACCTCCACCATCAAACTGTACTCTAGGAGGGAAACAACATTGGGCATAGCGTTCTCCAGGCCTCCTCCATACTCTTTGGCGACCATCAGGTGAGTATCTCGTACAACGAGACTCATCTGTTTCATCAGGCGTTCCGCATGGCTCACACATTGGTCCAGTTCTCACTTTTTATTAACGACGTAACTTCCTGCTTTTTAAATAGTACTAGTCTTCTATATGCAGATGACTTGGAATTTTTCAGCACAGTCACACATAACACTACTACACTTCAAGGTGATCTAGAGACTAAACGAGTGGTGCAAGGTGAACCATCTCTCATTAAATACCAGTAAATGCAAGACCATCCAGTTCACTAGAGCGTTAACCCCTGTACTGTACTGCAAAATGTCACATATGTGAATGATCTAGGGGTGATATTTGATATGGAACTGTCCTTTCGAGAACATATTGATTCCATTATCTGTAAAGCTTTCCGGATGCTAGGCTTTATTAAAAGAAACACTCAACATATGTATGATACTAAAGCAATCTTAACATTATTTAACAGCCTTGTTAGAAGCATTCTTGAATATTGCTCTGTCGTATGGCATCCTAATTACACCTGCCACATAGAGAGGATAGAACGAGTTCAAGGTAACTTCACTAACCTATTTGCTGTTTAATCACCGCTTTCCCTACTAAAACGTTGGTTACGAAAGTAGACTGCTTTTATGTGGTATGCAAAGCCTAGAAATCAGAAGAAGACATGCACTAGTTCTATTTAAATTAATTAACGGTAAGATTGACTGTAGCACCCTTTTACAATTAATTAGCTATTTGGCACCTACTCGACGTACACGTCATACTTCATTGCTTTTCATCGGAAGACATAGAACATTTTCGTTGTACTTTCTCAATGTGATTAATGTAAATAACATAATTGGGGGACCAAACAGAGCAACAGTATTCTAAGTTAGACCTGACCAAAGTCGAGTACAGCAGTTTAAATATATTAATAGAAAATTGGCTACTGTTCCTCTGAATAAATCCTAACATTTTAAATGCCTTAGAGGTTATTTGACTAATGTGAGTGTTAAAGGAAAGCTTACTGTCCATAATAACTCCCAAATCGCGAACATTGTCGTTAGTTTGTAGCACACAATTATTAATTCTGTATAAATAGTGAACTGGAGAGGTAATTCTAAAAAAGGTAAACATTTAAGTACAACACATTTAGATCACACCAACAGGACAATATATTTAAATCCTCTTGTAGTAACAAAGCATCTGTTTTATTGGAAACTGATCTAAATATTTTTACATCATCAGCAAACATGAGATATTTACTGTTAGAGATGACACTAGAAAGATCATTAATAAATAAATTGAATAACAACGGATCCAAATGAGATCCCTGCGGTACACCTGAAGATACTGTAATTGCCTCCGATTTGCAGTTGCCATATTTAACATATTGAATCCCGTTACGCAAATAACTATCAATCCAATTTAATATATCAACAAACCCATATCTTAGTTTATCAATAAGTATGTCATGGTTGACTGTCAATTGCTTTTGAAAAATCCGTATAAACAGAGTCAACGTGACACCTCGATTCTAAGGATTGCACGATGAAATAGTTATAATTCACTAAATTTGTACAAGTAGACTTACCTTGACAAAACCCATGTTGTCGTTCTAAAATCAGATGTTTACAATCGAATTTTAAATACTCATTGATAAAATAATCTAACATTTTAGTAATTTCAGATTGTATACAAATTGCATGGTAGTTCTCGACTTTTTCTTTTGGTCCAGATTTGTAAATAGGTCTAAAAAAACTGCTCTTCCAATAATCAGGAAATTCACCACAAGAAAGAGACAAGTTAAAAAGAAAACAAAGAGGTTTTGTCAAAGTAAATACCCATTGTAAATTACAATGTTTTATTGCGTACTGAAATTCATTGTAGCCTCCCTTCACACTTTATACATGCTTGGGACTGGCTCAAGAAAATTTGAAAGTGTTTAAGGGCCAACGTGCCAACAACAAACATTTAGCAACCAAAATGAACTGGCAAAGAACAATAGGATTAAAACAATAACAAACCAAAACAGCAAATTTGTACCTATACCTATTTAAAAAATATATAAATAATAATAAAAGCACTTTATAAGTTATAAACTACAAACAAATGGCTATCGACCTAGGTCCTTCAGTACAATTTGTATAGTATATATGAAGATTTACAAGATCATATTTTAGCCTTATTAATTTACGCTAGAGTTCTCTATATACCTTTTAGGGACACCCTGTGTCAAAAATTCTCTCTCAAAACATTTTTAACAAGATATTTACCGATCCAAAAACTTCGCAGTAGGTACAATCGCATTTTTTTGGTTCCTTCTGGTGTTCACAAACTGCTCCGTGACCTTGGCAGATAACTGAATTAAAAAATAAGATAAAATTAAATCAGGTATGGGATAACAGACTAGTTCAGGCTCATAGATTTGAACACCAGCAAATTTATTTTAGAGTTAATATTAAAGGTAAGATGTTCAGATATCTCTGCGTTCGCCTATCACAAGTTTTTAAAATATTTAGATAACTTACTTGCAGGTTCTTCTTCATGTTTACATAGATGTTCACATGCACTCTTAGCTATTGTTGGTTTACAAGCTGGTGTTTGCGATCTGAAAGAAACGCGCACATTGAAATTTTTGTGATTTACTTTGTAAATTTCAAAATATTAACCAAAAGAAAGCTGACGAAGAGTTTTATAAAATATTGGGTCTGGAGAAAACACAGTAACTACTGGTCAAATATACTAAAACAAGAATAAGAAACCTTCATAGGAATACCATGTTAAAAAATAACAGAAAAGCAGAACTAGTGATGGATCTTTTCCGGAAAAGTAATTTTTGGACTATTCCCGTTTCTTTGTCTTTTAAACTTTTTTCCAGAAAATCCTGATTGATATAGGCCATAGAAGAAACAGATAAATATTTCTCCATTCTGGATCTATCTTCATAAAAACTTTGGAAACAATAGTTGCATTTTTATTCATCAAGGAGGTTGTCCTGATGACAATGACACGCCTCCGCACGGTTGGAATAGAACCTGATGTAGGATCTGGTGAGTCGAGATACCGCTTTTGGCAGGAGGCACTTTATACGCTTCCACTGCTTCAAGTGAACATGGGTTCCATCTCACCGAGATATATCTTCAATAAGCCATATAAAGTTATAACAGAACAAATAGAAGAGCCGGTAGTGGCAGGTACGATTCATATCCTCACCAACAAACGGTTCTAAAACAAAACAAGGCTCAGGATGTGGAATATATTCCAGATCCTTAAACCTAAACATAAAATGGGCTGTAAGCAATAGTGCCAGTGTAGTTCAAACCAAACTCACGGGATTCTCATAGCCGTGAAAGAAATCATCAGAAACAATATGACTAGGAGGAACATATTCATCTATACATGTAGCAGACAAGCACTACTCACCCTGAACAGGAAAACGAATTTACTCAGGGTTGGTACTAGAATGTCACGAAGCTTTGGCAAAAGTATCCATCAACAATGTAGTTACTTTAAGATGGACCAAAGGTTACGCCACGTCGAAAGGTCTTGCTTATTCACTGGCCAAGAAGGCAGCAAACTGAATGCTTTTTGTACTTCTATTGTACTGACAACATTGGTAGAGACAGGCTTGATTAAACAACATTTCCTTGTGAAATTCAAGGAAATATGGGATGAAACAAGAAACTGCAGAGTCGCCAGGGAGCTTTTAAGTTATCCTGACAACACTATTGCAAACAAATACTTGACTATGAGTAGACAGAATCTGCACAGGATAACAGGCATTCTGACTGGTCATTGCCAAGTACGGAAGCATCTCCATCATATCATGGATATTACAAGAGACAGGCGCACGTTCTGGACAACTAAAACTTGTTCCAAGGATATACTATAATCCACCACATCCAGTGTTAAAGACTAGAAAATTGTATGAGGTACAAAGATGTCCAAATGGGTACCATGAGATAAAATAATTACCATTAAGGAGTCCCATTTTAAATTTAGCGGCATTTTTGATCTGTTGAATAGCTGCCTGGAAGCTTTGGCATTTGTCAGTAAGAACTGTACGATTTAAGCAAATGGCACGATACCCGCTCCAACAACGTATTGAAAAAGTGTAAATTTATTATTTCGCAGAGTTCGTGATGTTTTTGATTAGTACGAATCACCTTCTTGCAAAGCCATTGTGAAGCTAATATCAAAATTTGGTCAAAATGACTAAGTTACTGATGTAAGATTGGCAGTTTGAACTTGAACCATCAGGTCAGCCCAAAACATTGCCGCTGTCGCTGAAAGTGTCGCAGAAAACCCACGTTTGTCTAGCCCAAACGTTCTTAGCAATTCATTATCTGACAGACCAGCCTTCAACGCATTCCGCATAAAGATCTTAGCATACATGCTTTTAAAGTGCAGCTGGGCCGACGCAGAAATTGGAGCCGGCTGATCATAAAGAACACTGTGGCAGTTATTAGAAAAATCATCTGTAGCGACGAAGCTCACTTGCATCTCAGTTGGTTCGTCAATAGACAGAATTGTTGCATCTGGGGTTCCAAAAATCCTAGAATAGTCGAGAAACCTCTTTATACCCAACGAATAACTGTTTGGCAGTGTCGTCAGTCCTTATTTTATTCGAGAACGAAGAAGGTGCTGCAATTACAGTCAATGTGGATCCCTACCGTAGAATACTGACTTTCTTTGGCCTATATTGGTCAATATGGACATAGACAATTTTTATTTGCAACGGGATGGCATTACGAGCTACACAAGCCGCGAAACAGATGCAGTGCCACGTCAGAAATTTCCTAGGAGCGTTATTTCGCTAAACTCGGATATAAATTGGCCCCCCAGATGGTGCGATTTACCTCCATTAGACTTTTTTCTTTGGGCCTACGTGAGGAAAGAGTCTACGCTAATGCCTCGCAAATAATTCCAGCCCTAAAAGACAATATTTAAGCTGTTATTTGCCAGACAGAGCCTCAGTGGTGCGAAAATGTCATGAAAAACTTTTTCAAAAGAATTACCATTAGCAGACAGAGTTAAGGTGGGCATATACTGTATATCACTTTCCACAAGTAATGGGAAAGTTTGTACTTTAAATTTAAAATAAATATTTATGTACTATTTGAGAATAAATGTTTCTTTTATCATTAAAATGGGACTTCTTATTAGATAACACTTTATATATATGATGGGAGACCTAATGAAACAAGGACAGCCACACTGTGCGACTGCAAATCCTTGGATTGCAAGAAAAATGCACTTTTTGGACAACTACAAGTTGGTTCAAGAACCTATAGTTCACACTCAGTGTCAAATATTTGTAAACTGTATACGAAATAAAATGTGGTAAAACAAAATGAGCCAATAGGCTGCATTGTTAGAGATATAATCAGATAGGCGCTGAAAAAAAAAAAAAAGAAGCGTCACATTATAAGATAAAATATACTAACTTGGAATTTTTTTGCAGATCCTTAACTGTAACAGTCTCAAATTCTTTCTCATTCTTTTTTACTTTCCTAAAAATATAACATTCAGTTAATAAAAGTCATAAAATCAGCAATTATTCAACTTACGCGGGTGGAGATTTCAAAATATTGTTAAAAACTACTTTCCCAGGCACGTTAGCACCGCCATTATTAAAAATATCTTTCTTAATTTTGATGAAATTTCTAACGTTCTTGTTCGAACTTTGCGCGTTCTTATCGGCCTCCCGCCTTAGCCTTAAGAACTCTTCGAACGCTAATTTGGTGCAATGCAGTTCGCTGGGATCGTGTTGGGGTTTGGAAAAATGAATATCACAAGTGTTTCGTAAGCTCTTAGGTCTGGCGTTCAGATGTTTGCTGTCGCCGTTTATAGAATTTTGGTCGTTTTGATCCTCGGCCGTTTCGCCATTGGCCAGTTCACCAGATCCATTACCTAACGTTACAAAATTAATTTTTTCCGATATAATCTCAGTTAAATTTTTCATACCATTCACTAATGGATTGTTCCCGTCTGTCATTGCGTGACCTGGAACAATATTTAGTTAACAAAAACCAGCAACCGTGCAAATATACAGACGGACGAAGGCCTAAAATCTGTCATGGACCCACTCTTGAAAACGTTAGGAAAAAATTTACCTCATTTTCTCTTGATTCTGTAGAATCGCCCAGTATTTTACAGAAATATTTTTTAATTAAAACAAAAACTATTTGGTTTCTTAAAAAGATAATGCCATTATTAACTGTGGTGTTGATTTTAGAAGTAACATCGCAGATTTTGTTTATATTACAATTTATAGACGCTGACAAGGACAAAAATAAAGCACAATAACATTAAAAATCATAATTATGTGATAATTACTAAATACACTACTCAAATACGGCTGACTAGGGTTCTCAATCATAGTCGGCGGTGCATCAAATTGGGGAACAAGCATTAACAGGTCACCTAGCGTACAGTTAGCCAAAACACAAACAAACGCAATCGTTCGAACCCGGTTTTTTAATAACTTTTCAGGGAAAACTGATATAATTAAATTCAAACACAACATTTATGAGCCATTGCCCGTACACTGTTTCACATGGGGTGATTTCAAAATCCTGTTCAAGATTCTTAGAACTAGGAAATCTTAAAAACAGACATAGAAGAAGTCGCCGAAGAGTTACTATAAAGCAGCATGACCAATTTTTAGCTCAAACAGCTAAAAGAAATCCAACGGTAACTCACCAGAACTTTAAAGACAACTTCTAGGAAGCGACGGTCATAAGTAGAGTCTGATTACAATAAGAAGAACACAGGTACGTCATCATTTGGCACAGTAATTCTATGGCTATCGCCGCCAACTGGGGGTTTAGTGGCGTGTTAATATTATAGGAATATAGGAAATATTTTGTTATATCCAACCACTTATTCTTTATTTATTGATAGTTATAGATACTATGTATTTGAAGTAATGGTTATGACGTAACGGTGTTCTTATTGTGATCGGATTCTATATCAGTGGAAACGATTAGAAAACCAATTCATGTCAGAGAATTGCTTAGCAGGAAACAATAATTAATCATTGCAGAGCTATCTAAACAAAACATTTTATTTTCGAACGGAACCAGGATCGGTCTTAGATCTGATGACCGACGAATCCGTGTTTTAAGAGGCCATGGAAGCCAGGCTTCAAGTTACCTGAACAGTTCCGAAATATAAAAGGGGAACAGTTATGTTTTGCGGCAGGACTGCCTTAATCCTCATGTAATAAACTTTAACTGCACAGAGGTATGTAGATTTGGTACTATATCCGATAATAAAACTTTGAGAGACTTTTATTTATGCAAGATAATGCCCTACCGCATAGTAGCAGGGTCGCCAAAAATGCCGTAGAGATGTAGAATGCGCGAGTATTAGACTGGCCTGCTTGTTCCCCCGACCATCACTGAACATTCATGGTAAAAAGAAGGACTACAGCTCGTCAAAACACCCCGGTAAACCCAGAACAACTGAAGAATGGAGTGACCTTCTTTAGGAAGAAATCGAAAATTTTATAGAAAATATGCCCCGACGAATTCGTGTTTGCATTGAGGCAAGAGGTGGAAATAATATAGATAATTAAAACTCCCAAGAAGTCCATATTTTACTTAGAATTTGCATTTATTTAAAAAGTTGCTTTCATAAAATTAGACATCTTACTTTATTTTTATGTAAGTTAATTTTTTGAAATTTTTACAATAAAACATGTTGAAATAAACTATATTCTTATATCCAATGACATTTTAATCAAGCATACATTTTTTCTATATAATACTGGCTTATTACATTTAAATTTGATTGTGTATTTCATAGAAAAAATTTTCTCAAAATTGTGAGAATTATTTCCTAATATCATTTGGTGGAGAAATTGAAAATTCTCACGAAAATTTGTCGTTTGTATATAACCTCCATAGTGTGTTCGAAAATACAATATCGTCCGTATAAAAGTATAGTCAGTTAACTTTATAGAACTAAAAGTTAACACTTTTTAGTTTAATTATATTTCAAATCACAATATGTTTTAAAATTAAATATGTATTAGCTATTTTTAAAAACTTTTTACAACCTTAAAAAAAATCTTTATTATAAACTAGTAAATTCTGATATTTCATTGGTTAAGGCCACATATCTAGAGTGTTAGGAGATAGGCGATGATTTTCTGCATTATATTTCAAATATGTTTATTATAGGGCGCCGCCACGTTGGTCAAAATTGGAATTGAGGAGTTTGCGCAATAAAACAAAGTCAATTTCATGTGTCAGTTGCGTCAGCTGTCATGATTATTTATTTTTCTGGTTTATTAATCAGTTTTTAATAACAAATTGAATTACTGATTGTTTTCTGGTAATATTTTTATTATTTTAATATGATTAAAACGTGTTTAGTCGTGAATTATAATATTAGAGGTAACATGACAGGAAATACATTTTACAGGTAAAATTTATTGACTTTAACAGAGTAGTACTCATGTCCTTCTATTGAATTTAAGATGCAGCAGTTTACTTCTCTGTATTAATCTATTGTGATATTTTCAATAATTTATGTTTGGTTTGCCTACTCTCAATGATTGCTTATTGAGAAAAATTTACCTTGCATTTTCTAGTCTTGGAAACAAACGGTATTCTGCCTAGTTTAGGGCTATTGGAAGTAGTACCAGCGAAAATATTAACCCTACAAATAGAATTTGCTCAAGACACTTTATGAATATAGTCCAAAGAAAAACATTGAGGTAATTTAATATAGTATTTTTTTGCCATACGTAAGTATATACATATACAGATTACTGAAAATTTAATATTTGGATGTTATTGGAGGATGGATGCTCCTCAATCTTTGTTCTCTATTATATTAGAACTTATTTTTAATCAAAACAATCTGAACTTGATATAAATAATAAAATTGGATCATTTTAGGGATATATGTTTAGATAATAATAATAATGTTGTTTATTCACATAAAACAAATACAATGTATAAAAAATGTCATTTAAAGATATTGCTGGTTGTAGCAGAAATAAAGATGACATTTCCACCCTCACAAAAAAAGATTGATTCAAACTCAACGATATTTTGTCAAAAATTAATTATGGTGTTTAAATATATTTTATGCTGTAAGGGTTATTATTTAATGAATATGCTGTATATAATTTATTTTAGTTTTAGAAATTTGTTTTATATAAAGCCTACAATAACTTAAAAAGTAAGGAAGTTTAATTTTTCTGTAAACTTATTTGACACATTCGTTTCTTTTTTAGATTACCTGATACAGCTTTATCTTACACTAGTTTAAGTTCCTTTAAGAACTAGGTCACATTAGTTTTATTTATCTGATTTATGTTATTCACAAATGTAATCTACATAACTTTTGTTGTATATATTTGTAAAATTTACTACCTTTTTCCCAAAATCATGAATATATATCAAAACATATATGTAAAAGTTAATTGTTTATTTCATCATTTTAAGTTCATCAGATAGTATTGATTTGAGGGGGGTTTCAAAATCGAAATCCATCCATTCACAATTATGCTTGAGTGCATTTGGATCCTTTTAATAATTTTGTTGTTTTCTACCATTAAGAATATATAAGTTGTTTTGTAAGAGGTTACAATAATTTTAGATTTATTTCAGCCGTATCTTAACATGGTTAATTTTGACTTGATACAAACATTTTATATGTAATGTGGTGAAATAAATATATACTTTTTACTTTTAATAAATTAAACACGCTTAATAGTTTTCATTGTTATTTATGTTCCTTTTTACTATAAAATTTTTATGTGATGTAGTGCAATATTTTTTTTCCACTTAAAGTTTTGCTTTTTATTTTTCTGCTCACTATAATTTGGTTGATATATTAGTAAAGAAAGGACTTAAAAAAACCACTCATATAATATAAACAAAATAGTTTTATTTTGTCCAATATTCTAAGTACGGACCTATTTATTCCCTTTCTGCGCATTCTCGCTAATTCCAAAAATAAAAAGATGGCGGCTCACTTTAATAAATTTTTATGGTTTATCGTTTATTACATAGCCCTTACATCTCCTAACACTCTAGATCTGTGGTTAAGGCCGTGAAATATCTGAATTTAGCTGCGACAAACATAACTTTTCCCTGTAATTTGAATGCCTACTTATTGAAAAATAGGACTAGCGGTTACCAAGAGAATTTTTTTGGAGAATCACTTCTCTGGAGAAATAATTCCTAAAATTTCAAGAGTGTGACCAAATGGGACCTTTATATTTTGATTAATTAAGCATTTTCAGATAGAATTAAAAATAACGACACTTTTAGTCGGTCGAAACAAAAAATTATGGCAAACAAATGAAAAAAATCGTAATTTATTAATCTTTGACGCGTACGCGTACGCCTTAATTTCTAAGACAGCTAGAAAAGCAGTTTTGATTTAATTTGAATTTTTAAGTTTTTTTTTAAGATAGTTCATTTTTTTTGTTACAAACTTTAAAGGAACCTTATTAATTCAGTAAAAGTGCATTTATTATTCAGAGATGATACCCACATGCGACACTTAGATGTAGTGCTACATTGTGCGACAAAGACGATGATTATATTCAACAAAATTGTATTGAAACTCTGAATTCCCTAATAGAATCGTGTAGCTCCAATTCTCTCGAAACAAACCCAAAAAAATGTAAATCATTAAAAATTGTGGTAGGTAATGAATGTAGAGGATACTAAATTTCTTAGGTTGGTTATGAATGAGAATATCAATTTGAAAAGTCGCTGTATCACAAAAAAAATAATTATTTGTGCTTTCTGTTTAGAAGTCTCAAAAGAATTTTAGAGGAATATCATTTATTAAAATGGTATTATGCCCAAGTATCTTCCAGACTTAGATACGATATAGGTTTGTGGGGTAATTCTTCCATAGTACGTTTTCTTAGTTCAAAAACGAATAATAAGAATTCATGTAGAAAGCATCTTTGCAAAATTCAATGTTCTAACATTATCTTGCTATATATTCAAGAAATTGATGATTTTGGCTATTTCTATAATTATTTCTAAATTATGTGGGAAATTAAAGCTTATTATTATGTTTATTACAGAGAGAACAAAGCGCAGTCGCATTTGAGTATTATATCTGAATTTACAAGTAAATAAACACTTACTATTGATATGCCGATGGAAATTCTCCAAGTCGACAAGCCTTTGACACCTTCTGCAATACGTCAAACGGTTAATATTTTTCAATATTCTGTCATTGACTTGTTCTTCACTTGAATCTAATATAAATTCGTATTTAGCTATTAGACATTCCTCGCATATACATTGTCCGTTGCGATCCAATATGGGACCAGCTGGGTGAAAAAATGGATCACCCAGCAATCGAAAAAAGTGATGGTCTAAACGCCTTAAATCTAAATCGTTTTTTCTGAAATTAAATATATACAGTGTTAGAAATAAACTGTATCTGTGTCGGTAGTTCAGCCACTCACTCTTGTTGTGACCGCTCCATCCAAAAATTACTAGTTAAAACTTTTTTGTGATTACCAATCATTGCTTCTTCTATAAAATATGATACTGTTCCTTCTACTAGACTATGATCGTCGCTGAAATTAGAGAAATTTGTACTCATTTTGAGGTTCAGAAAGACCTGTGACAATTTAAAACACTTCTAAACTAATTATAGTTAATAATTCCAGCAGCCGAATAATTCACTGATTGGCAAGAACAACAGTATGACGATTTTAAATTTATTCATAAATGTTTTATTGCATATTTCAAAATGTAGTTATTTTAATCTTTATTAATTAAATTATAATACATAATAGTAATACTAAATACTAATAGTAATATTATGTTATGTTACCAGCATACAAAGTATGCAGTTTTAGTTATCTATTAAGCAACCTAACTCAATTTTGAAAAAAAATGAGATACGACCAATAGTCATAACAACGACGATATGTATAGATTAATCATGTAGTACATACTTTATTTTTCTTATCCTTTTTTGTTCTTTAATCCACAAATTTTTTAAATCTTCTAATAAGCCAAACATGGCCGGAGTATCACCAGGACTGATTTTTGTCTATAACAATAAAAAACTTGAAGTCTAACATATGCATTAGACATGATTATAGTCTATTTTTATGTATGAGAGAGTATTAAAATAATAAAGCGTTCGTAATCCATAGTCGTAACACTTTTTTTAGTAGACAGTTAAAATATTTTTTGAAGTTATTCCTCGAGTATACACTTATAATATTTTCACCTAATTAACCTACTTATAACTTCTAAACAGCTGAAGGTAAAAAAGTGCAATTTTTTCTAAAATGTTTTATTTTTCCACAAGGTATGTTAAGAACATTGTGTCAAACGGGTTATGTAGGTTAAGGGTTTAAACTTTGACTTTTAAACAACGTTACGTTCATAAATAATAATTTTAATATAAAAACTATTTCTTACCTACAAATCAAAATCAGAATCGAAATCAGAAGATGAAGTGTCGCAACCAATATTTACAATGAGTGGCTCGATCATTTCATCAGTAATATTGTCCAACTTCCACATTTTCTCTTCTTCTTTAATCGTATGATTTACTGCCTTTTCCCAGTTTTCAGGCTTCACATTATTTACAGCCTCCAAAAACAACTGTTTAACATCACTCATTTTAAAAGAATTATTTTTTCTTGAAACTTCTCCCTTTATCTATGCCCATATCAGTTCAATCGGGTTTACTTCGCAATGATATGGTGGTGATCTAACCACCGTCATCTCACGATTTTTTGCAATTTCATCAATTTCATATTTTTTGAATTTCTCTTTATGAAGGGAACACAAATGATACAGTTCTTTTCTCACAGAACCGGGATGGAACTTAATATTCTTTGAATTTAGCCAATTCTGTAAATCTTTTTTTAACCACTTGGTTGTGGGCATTTTTTCTATAAATCTCGAGTGATAACTTGCATTATCCATTACTATTATACAGTTCTGAGGAAGATCTATAATTTGTTCGAACCACTCTTTAAAGACGCATTCATGTCCTCATGGTAGTCACCGGTACGAGTAGATTCAAAAGTCAATAAACCACCTTTAACAAAACCGTTTGAACTACCGATGTGTACTATTATTAGTCTGCGCCCCTTTCCTGATGGTGGATTTAAACCAGTAGATAAATTATTTAAAAAAGCCTGTCTTCGACTTGTAACAGTTTCATCTTGCCAAAATTTATTTGGTGTATGTCCCTCGTTGATCCATGTTTCATCTAAATAAAATATATTTCTTCTTTGGTTTCTCATTTCTTTTATAGTCCTTAGGTAATTTCTTCTCCATACTACAATATCACTTCTTTCTATTAAAATAGACTTTCTGGAATGCTTTTTCCATAGAAAACCTATTTCTTTTAAAAGTTTCCATAGTGTGCTTCGACTCATTTCAGGGTAATCCTTATCATCTCGAACCGTGGCAAGAACTTTGTCTACTGTCAGAAATTCTTTTCTAAAGAAGAACGCATGCACTTTCCTTCGAAGTCTTTCTTCCAAAAGATTTTCTAATTGAAATTTTGGTTTTCCTGGAGCTTTACGTGCTGTTTGAAACTCGCCACATTTCTCTTCTTTAACAACTCTGTAAATCGTAGATTTCCCAACACCAAGCGTACTACTAACTAATTTCACTGTGTCATCAACACTTTTATATAAATGTTTGTTTGTAAATGATTTAAAATAATTAAATATATTAATGTTTTTTCATTAACTGTTAAAGGACCGATTTTTTGTCGTTTACGCGGCCCTTCGAAATTTTCCATGATCACACTAGAATTCACACTGCACCTTGCAAGTTGCAACTAAACGACATTTAGTAAACTGTCAAGAATACACAACTTGGACCTCCTTACTAAATGGAAAACCTATAATCGCATTTTCGGTGAAATTTGTTGGGAAGGTATTTATCTACTCATAATTCGATTACTGTAAGAAATTCTTGAAATTAAAATAAAACAAAATTGGCAAATAGGTACTTATTGAAAATAATCTTAAGATACGGCTATGTAATCTTTAATACACAGGGCTTTTGGCCTGTCCAAACCTTTTTCTATTGTTCTGTACAGCTTATATTTATAAAGGACCAATAAAAGACCCAAAACGTGTAACATCTCAGGTACATTTATTACAATTTTAGGAAATATTTAGATTATTCTGTAAAAATATTTAAAATGACCGTATTTTGCATTAGAAATGCTGTTTTATTACTCTCTCATACATAAAAATAGACTATAGTATAGTGTCACGATTTTGGCATTATCCCCAACCCAAAATTATTCTAGGTAGTTGTATTTTAAAGGGTTTTTATATAGCTTATAAACCCTATTAAGTGGCAAACTTTCTGTTTGCAAAGTGCAATCACAAATGAATTAGGACAAAAACTAGCACATTACACGTCTTAAAATATTTAATTATCAATGGAAATACTATGACTAGAGACTAATTTGGTATATTCGATGATCATAAACACAATTTAAACCTAACTTAAGTATGTAATATTAAGTATTTGTAAAATAAAGCACTAAGTATTTTAAGCTATTATATTAAGGGTTTGAAAAATATATAAACCATTTATTTAACCATTAAGAAAGAAAACAAAACCCTATTAAAAATATAAATATATTTTACTTTCCATAAAAACAAAAAGCTTACCTCCAAACACTGGTAAATCTTATTCTGAACATAGTCAGTTTCAAAGAAATACCTGATGAACACACATGTATTGAAATCTATCCAACATACTGAATAATTCCTATAAATGATTACTTCAAATTCAGAAAATACTGAACTTAAATTTTTGGCAGCTGATAACATCGCTTCATAATAATAAAACAATTCTAAAAAAAAAATTGAATATGATTGTCGTTCATTGCATATCTATTTAAATTTTTGAGATATTAAAATGCAACTGTCTTTAACTTACTGGTAATAAGGTGGTCTCCTCCTTCAGCTTTACTATAATTCCACTGTGCAAAAATACAGTATTCTCTAAGTAAAGCTAATATTCTTAAATAAAGTTGACTTTCATCTTCTTCCAGTAAACTAACAAAAATCAAATAATTACTTTATATTATCTATTCAAATAAGGTTAACGAGATAAAAGACACACCTTTTAACTAATTCTCTCATTTCTGAAACGAAAAATGGTGATAATACTTCTGCAGCAGGATCAGGACTCACGCTGGCAAAATTCCTATAAACGTAGTGCATGCAATGGTGTAGATCTATCCACTTTTTCGATTTAGAGGGAGACATGTCTTTTACTTTATGTAGAAACTCTAGTAATTTTTTTCTTTCGCTGACAGAAAATTCTTTGTTGTTGTTTAACCAGTTGAGGCTGTTCGGACCTTTAACGCTATCAGTATCGTTGGGATCCGTCGTCTAAAAAGGGTTATTTTCACGTTTTTTTTTTATTAGAAATTTAACCTGTTCAGGACCATACCAAAAATGACAATCTTAACAGCGTTTCTTGCGAGACAGCTGGCCCCATGGGCGTCGTTACACAATTCTATAGGGAGGGGCAAAATTTTGAAAAAATTTAGAATGATTATTTGTTGAAAAACAAAGAAAATGTAAAATAAAGGAGTAATACAAATTAACAAAAGTTTCTAATAAATAAAATAAAAAGACAAAAACTAAAATAAAAAAAACAAGAAACACATTTTTAAAAAACAGAAGGTGTGATATAAAAGAAAAATATGAAGACAGAGCCATACATAATAAAAAAAAATTTTTCGGTGTACGCTCATCTTGCAAAGCCCAGTCAGTCTATTTTTATTCATTATTCGCTCTGTGAGTGACAGCAGCACCAACAAATTTATGAACTAACGGAAGATATTTGCGTATACTGACAATATAATTTTTAATAGAATTCGTATTTAAAAAATATATATGTTGATTTTAATAAAAGTATATGGATTTGTAAACAAGTGAAAAAATTAATTATTATTATATATTTTTATTACTTTAGCTAAAAAAGTAGTATAATCAATAAAACAGACAGGCAACAATATTTATGACAAAATGTATATTTTGCCTAAACTTAATAAGTTGTCATTGAAGAATAGGTTATAATGTGAAAATAAAAACAATACTATTACATAATAACGTAGTATCAAAACGTATTAACAAAAATAATTGGTATATTTGCGATTGTAATTTATATTTCTTCATTTTTAGTTCGAAAGAACCCATAGAAATTGATAATTAAAATTGGTTCCCTATCAATAAGTCACAAAATATTTATTTCTTTGATTTCATTTCCATTTTGCTACTGAAAATTCCTTAAACAATTCAATCAATTTAAAGGCTATCTAACATATTGTGTTTATTATTATGCGTGCATAAGGATAATCGTCAATATGAGCCAGTGCTAGTTGTGTAATTGTGTTATAGTGGATTTTTTATGCACTAATCGCATTTGATTTGTTCAGTGTAGCTTCAAATATTTGACTGTAGCGCACATGTAGCATATACTGCAGACAAGTATGACAGTTTGAATACAGTGTCGAGTGTAACACTAGTGCAACAAATAAAATTCAATATTAGTTACGTAGTTTAACCGTATACAGCTTCGGAAAACTTTGGCACATAGTACCTACCTAAAGACATATTAGTAATGCATATATTAAGGCTGTATGTTACGATACTAAATTTAGAACTAGATTAATGCATTAATTTGCATTAATGCAAATTTAGTACAAAAAAATTAATTAAATAATTTGAACTTGTTCTATTTTCTACTAAATTTAGTACTAAAAATGCGTTGAAATGTTGCGCAGAAGTTTTTCTTAAAAAAGTTCACACAACGGTCTTTTCTGTACCATTTTTTAGCTACAACTTTGCATTATCTTTTGGATAAATTTTGCTTGTGTTTGATTTTGTAGGTTTTATTGGTTTTTCGTGGGTTTTAGTAGCATTGCTGTGTTTGGTTGTTGTCAAATCAACTAGTGTCAAAGTCATAATAAAAAAATCTTTAAATTCACTTGTCTCTTTTACATAGAATATTTAATTTCTGTGCTAATTTCACGTAATAATACGTCAATGCGCGTGCGCCTATACTTAATTTAGTACTAAAAATTGGTATCGTTGCAAAAGGAAAAAAATATTTTAAGTTCTAAATTTAGTACTAAATTCATTACTTAATTTAGGGCTAAATTTTAGTACTTAATTTAGTATTGTGACATACAGCCATTACGTGTTGTAAAGTCGTAAAAGCCAGGTGGGGGCAACTGCCCCCCCCCCCCTTGCCCCCCTGAACGACGCCCATGGCTGGCCCAGTGCCGAATATATCCGCCCATAAAACCCTGACGTATATAAACGACAGTGGTCCTGAGGTGAATTTAATTTTGGACGAATATATACGTGTTTGGTCCCAAAAAGGTTAAAACTTCGAATTCGCGGGTGTGCAACGGGTTATAAATTTATTATTCAAAACGTGTTGATTTGTTTGTATTGCCGACATTTTCGCGATATTTTCTAAAATGGGTGGAATATTAAACGGGATGATTTAAATTGTTTATGGTGATAATGAAGCCATTGGCATTTAAAAAACCTAAGATTTTTTTGTAGTACTATCAAAACAACATTGCTAGAACGATACGAGAAACAAAATAATTGATTCTAAACGTTATTGGTGCATGCATCACATTGTTATGTACTTAGTTTCAGATCAGTGGCGGCTTGTGGGGGTACATGATGGGGTTTCAAATGGGAATTTTTTATTATTTAGTTTACCCAAATTTAGAAATCATACACAACTTTTGCTTCAAAAATAATAAAAAATTACGTTGATATTTTTTTCTGTAGATCTGTCAAATTTGACATATTTTCAAAATTATACAGTAGGTTAGGTTATTTCTCAAAATTTCGAAAACTGTTAAGTGAAAAAGTTGTTTCTTTTTCGATTTTGTACCCAACTACCAATTTGAACAATTCTGATTCTCTTCTTGTTTTCTTAACATAACATTTTTTTGGCCGATTCGAAGTACGAAAAGACCTGTTTAGATGTAATTAAGTATTTTGCGCTATTAGTACCAATGTCGTAGCGTGGGGACAATGCTTTTTTGGGGCGACCAAATCTCGATGAATTGTTTGTAAGGACAGAGAATAGAATTTTAGATCGAATTTAGGGAAATTGAACAGAAAAATCGGTTTTTGTTAAATATCTCCGCAAACATTTGAGCTATGAAGATGCGGTTGAATTTCTTTCTAAGAACACTACATGGCATATGTTAATTTGAATAATCAGTGATTTTCAAAATTTTTGAAGTAGTTTGGAAGCGCTACCGTTAGAGATAGGCCCATACATATGGACATTTTCAGAATCTATCCTCATTTAAACAAAATAAAATTTTGGAATTTGAGACCTGGTGTGTGTAGAGGGAGTGAAATATATATTTTTAAAACTGCTAAGCCTGAAAACTGATGGCATTTATCCTCTAATAGGTGCACCTCACTCTGAATTACTACAAAAGCATAACTTTTTCAGTATCGAAAGAAGGCGTGATTATTATAGTGTAGTAGTAACTTATAAAATTATTAAAAGTATTATTGACTGCCCAACCTTATTAGGAAAGTTTAATATTTGCATTCCCAGAATTTCTTCCAGACACCCGAATACTTTTTATATAAATACATCTCGCACAAATGGTCTGGAAAATTCTCCGCTCCATACCATGTGTACAGTGACAAATTCTATTGTCAATGAACTTGATAGATTTAGCTGCAATTTGTCAGACATAAAATTCCACTTTTTATCTTAGTTAATTTGTTACCTATTACGAAATACAAGTTCTTTTTATGTGCTTAACATTCATATAAAAAATCTGTGATTTATTAATAATTATATTCTGTCAATTCCTGCTCTGTAATTGGGTTTATGACCTGTAGGGTATTGTATTATAAATAAATAAATTTCTTACAATTCAAACATTGTAACTTACAGTAATAAACAACCCTTGTTTAGTTTCTTCGTTTGCCGCCGTCTTCGGATAATCTTAAGAGTAGAGAGGATATAATAAATTAAAACGATTTTAATACTTTTTTAACACTTAGGGCTATCCGGGGTAGGCGACTGGCGAACAAAACCATAACCGTGGGCGTCCACTTTGTATCAGTTTTAACTGTCTGGACGTTTTCTTTTTGTATTTGCGTAATTATTTTTATTGCTGTAATTCTATTGTACACCATAAATGCAAAATAAACTATTATTATTATATGAAAATCAGACACTTAATTAAATGTTCAACGCCGATTTTGAGCAATTTCCCGTAAAGATGGACAAAAAAGCAACACATATTTGGAAAGTACGCATCAAAAACTATATCATGAAAAAAACATCCTAAATTTTGACAGTTTTCCTAAAAAATCAGGAGGAGACCTATCGATATGCATTTTGCGCTATCAGACGAATTAGTATGCATCTGTATAAGATTTATTTATTGTCATACTTCATGCAAAGTGGCTCTAGTTCCAACATTTCATAGGAAATTTCGTTTTATTTACCTTTATTACAGTACAATACTGCATTTTAATTAAATAGTACAATACATCTGAATTTTAAAATCTATCTGCCAATTAATTTTTTTAATGTCAAATTTGACAGGTATGGGCTATCAACAGAAAGAAATCGTCGGTAATTATTTATTATTCTTTGAACCTAAAACTGTTCATAAACTCTAAACTTGCGTAAAATAAATAATAAAATAAAATCCCATATGCGGACATTGCATGTATTTAATTAAATAAATTATTATACTTTTTTAATTTGACTAATTATATCAATATAATTATCGTATCTTTCTTTGGCGATACTATATCAATATGCACAGTGTATTCAATTCAATATTATTTGAGAAAACATGAAGTAAAAAACGAAATTGGTCCACTATTTTTGGAAATAACAAGACCCATGCTTACCTATAGTGCAGTTTGGTGGCCAAGTTAACCAGAAAACACCATCCATTGTATTACATGGGCAGTGCGAAGTACACAGACAGCACCTATTAAAATTATTCTAAACCTCCCGCCTTTTCATCTAGTTATAAAGACAAAGGCCAGAATAAGCACATAAAGACGGAACATTTTCAACAAATGAAATCCTCTGGAATATATCATATAATATCACACCTATCTTTTAATAGGCTCTTCCAGGTCAGCTACAACTGGGAAAAAGTAACTTGGTATCATTAATGAACCAGTAACCCATAATAAGGTAAAACTAGCATGAAGGTATTCAAGGGAGTGAAAAGGCTGTTAAACTCAACAAAAAGGGGCCATGGCCTGAACCTATGTTCACAAGTAAAATCACAGGAAATAGACAAGAGGATGCCATGTTAAATTTAAGCAAATCTGCTTATAACTGACCCATCCATGTGCGTTTTGGAGACTCAGGTGTTTAAGGCAACCACCATATGTACCTATGTTAAAGTATCAGTTTTATTATTTGGGTGGTAAATAGTTTTCTATATCTCAAAATTATAAATTTTAACTACCACTCAATACTGAATATCTAATAATTTTTTATTTTGAATTCATAGCTTCTCCATGCATATGCTAATTTAGGAATAAAAACCTTATTATGACATATTTATAAATACTGAAGACAAAAGTAAATATTTTATTACATTTTTGATATTATAATTATTAATAAAATATAGATTAGGTTTTCTGATGTAGAAATTGTTTTTTTTTATTTGTCGTTTTAGAATTCCCTCTTTTTGCTATAATATGCTTATCCTGTATTAGCATGGAGTGTAAGATATACTAGATCTATTGTGCCCCTTCTGTGACTAAGGCAGCAGAATATGTCTGAAAGAAATATGGTTTGTTTTGATATAGAACAAATTGGAAAATGAATTGTTTTACACATAAATGTCAAAACTTTTAATTATTATCAGGGAGTTTAAGACTTTATATAGTTTATTTTATTTATAAATATTTTTTAATACAAATTCAAATTATCCTTTCCTGGTAATACCATCCCTTACCAGCCAGGAGTCTTCTATGGGTTCACATTGGTACTTGCTAGATTCTTGCCTATTAAAAAGTAAAAATTCTTGCAACAAAGTATATAAATTCTTAATGTAATATTTTTAGACTTATTATTAACATTAATGCCCTTCCTCCTGCCTCATCATATTGAAAAGTTACGAGCCGCCACTGTTTCAGATTCAATCTGTAAGATATTTTACTTATGATTGAGAAAATATTAATCTAAAAAGTTGACACACAATGAGCTGTAAAATTGACTACAAGCAAAAAAAATTACAAGTACATATTTTCAAATTAATTTACTCAGAGTCAAATTAAAAAAAAAAAAAAATGATTTATAATAATGAGAATATTGGAAGAAATTATACCTACAGTATATTTGAAAAGTGAACAAAAAATAATGAAGGTGTGGGATGCAAAGATACTAAAAAGTAACAGGAAAATAATAACAATTGTACAAAATATTATTGGTTATTAATGGAAAAAATTGAGAAGGTTGGGTCATTAGTTGAATTCAAAAGATAAGGTAGAAAAAAAAAGCAATCAAAATTATAGAGCAATCAGTAAAACAAGTCAAAAATATAGATTAGGATGACCATGATCCTTATGAAAATAATGAAAAATGATACAAAGCTATATATAAGAAAATTGGAAAGAAAAAATGTCAAATAACGTCCTTCAGAACATTTTTTACTCTTTAAAACTATCAAAAAATCATTTTACCTCAGATATTTTCAGTAAACCAGATCTACTTTGATAAAAAAATAGATCTGTATTTAGCTTACTTGTTAATGTTAATCAGAAACTATTTACAATAGATTGTAAATAATTATAAACTATATTAAACTAATCAAGTTGGTATCTCTGGGATAGTAAAAAGTGACAATCCATATATAGATATCCAAATTTCTCACTAGTTATCTTTAATTACTTGCTTCAAAAAGATTAGACCTAAACAAAACATTTGTATCTAACTAATGGTGGATAGTTTACGATTAAGGTCTGATAACAATTGGATAAACCAACAATTCCCTAGTTAAATTGACATTAAAATGTTTATATTAAATAGTCTCCCCTAACTGCACAAACATAAAAGTAGTCAATGATTGTTGTTAGGTATTTAACTCTGGGTAAGTGCATGGGTGTGAAAAGGATACACCAAAGTACCTTCAACAGTTTAAAAATGTTGTCTCTAGGTTTGTCGTGTAAAGATTTAAGGAATTCTAAAGAATATATTCCAGTGGCATCCCGTTCTCCGGTAACCGGTGGTGGTGCCGATGAATGTTTTGAACCCATTTCAAATTCATGCGAAGCTCGGCGACACGTTTGTTTAACTAGAAGTTCAATAAATGATGAAAATTTACTCATGATGTACCTACAAATGTTAAATTGTCAAATTATATTAATAGATTACACTATTTAATCACTGCAAAAGTATTTTAACACATAATTTTCAGTCTACAACACCACTAATTTAAAGGATCTGTAAAATACATTCCACTAGTTTCGCGTTGAGCTTGAGTCTTTATGTTAACTGTCAAATGTACGTCAACCGTCAATGGAATAACAGTGAACACTGTAGCCAACGTTTTAAAATGACATGGACTTTAAGAAAAAAGCACTAAACCCAGCATGAGTTTTTAAGTTGTAAGTTGTAAAGGTATTTTAATTTTAATAATGTCACGAGCGTCACGTTTAAAAGTGTCACTGCTCGAAGGCTCTGAATCTGAATACACACATGCAAAGGGAAAGGGAACTTGAATATTATGAATGTTCCAACTTTGCTATTATTATTATTATTATTATTATTATTATTATTATTATTATTAAATGTTGCCTAGGCTTTATTTATAAGTTAGGTATATAAAAGTGATAAGCTGTTGCATGCAAGTAAATGTATTGTCAGATATAAATTATTTTCTAAACCAAAATATTCCTGCATTTTATGTATTTGAATCATAATCAAATTGCAAGGGAGATAGTGCTGCCTGATGCGGTAATTACTTGTCAATACTTTGCATTAAAATTATCAAACGACCATTTATAATATTTTGTAATTCCAAATTTTAGTAATTCCCCTAAATTTTTTGAATTAAACAAGAATGCTAGGCGCTGGTCAACAACTGGCAACATTGGAATTTTCCAAATTGTTTAAATGTCAAGATTGAATGTCAACCAAGCGGTGATATAAAATTCTGCAAAAAAACAGTCAAATCAAAACTTTAACAAAATATTTGTTTATATTATTTTTGTTTAAATCACCCATACAAAAAATCAATATTTACTAAGTAAATTATTTAGAATGTCGGACAACGAGGACGATTTTATGTGTGATGATGAGGAAGATTATGGTTTGGTAAGTGCGATTTCATACATAACCTAAATCTAAAGTTTATAAATATATTTAAATTTTTAAAGACCTTTTGTTCAAATTGTATTCAAATTTATATGCACACCGGGCTTTTTCCTTTGAGCTATATGCTAAATTATTAAAGCCAAACGTACAAGACTATGGTCAATCTTAGAAGATGAAAAAATCTCTATTTTGGTTAAAATATTATAGGTGTATCAAAAATTAATGTATTACACGAACTGTGGATTACAGGTCTGTTGTAGGCATGTCGAAGAATTTGTAACATCAAATAGACATTGTCTGTTAGATTCTTTTAGAAGAAACCAGTGTATGTACAGCAATCCTAGTTTTAGCTGCATATTATACATGAAATAAGAATACGGCTCTAACGAATATGAATGGAACAGGTGAAAAAGACCTTTAAAATGATGCAGATGTAAGTAATTTTTTTTTATTTTTTTAGGAGAACTCTCTGACATTCAACATAGATAAAAGTCAACTTTATTTGTATCTTATTTCGAATACAAAATATTAAATTTAAATTTGGTTACTTACACCTGTATGCATTTTGATTTTTAATATGCATTTAAAGTCAAATTATAAACTACTGAGAATTGGATAAGCACATAAAATGTATAATATTTGAAATATATGAAGATCATTTAATGATCTGCACTTTATATCAGTTGTTAATATTTTTGTTTGGTTTAGGTTTGTTCAATATATTATTATTGTAAGAATATAGGTGATCTCTCTAATGCTGTATAAGCAAATAATTATAAGAAAACATAGAAAGTGTACAATCTTAAACATATAGCTGAATAATGATTAATATCACTTTAATAAAATTATCTTTTATTAGATTCAAATCTAAAGTTGAGATTAAGTTTATTTATACAGTTTTACATATTCCTTTCGTAACACTTTGCCTGTCATGTGTATCATGGTGCTACACAATTACTTATTACTACCATGTGTTATTTTCATATATATTTTTTTAATTTTGTTACTTTAATTTCCTATAGATTTCCGCGGGACAACCAAACGCAGACAATTTCTTTTATTCTTTTAACTTTTGTTTTAGGAATATTCAGAAGATAGTAACTCAGAGCCCGATGTCGATTTGGAAAACCAATACTACAATAGTAAAGCCCTCAAAGAAGACGAACCAGCTGCTGCTCTTGCATCATTTCAAAAAGTGCTAGATTTGGAAAGTGGGGAAAAGGGTGAATGGGGCTTCAAAGCTTTAAAACAGATGATTAAAATAAATTTCAAACTGGTAAATCATCTAACAGTTTCTTTAATAAATCTATATTATAAGATATAAATGCAAATAAAAGCTTATTATTTTAGGGTAACTTTGAAGAAATGATGGCCAGATACAAGCAACTTTTGACCTACATTAAAAGTGCTGTTACCAGAAATCATAGTGAAAAGTCTATAAATTCCATCTTGGATTATATTTCTACTTCTCGGAATGTAAGTACCTAGTTATATAATGATTTTATGTTCTACAATTACTTTTACTAAGGTGTGTGTGTGTATATATATAAAGCACACTCAGAAGCAAATTCAGTCACTTGTTCTTGCAAAATTTGTATGAATGATCCTATTGAAGTTAAAACCAGCATTTATTAGAAAAATGGTTAAACTCATAAAATAAAACTGAATACAAAAAAAATTTATGGTTATATTCAAGGGTAGAAATTGACGAGGACATCAAATATCATCTGCATCTGTAAGAGGGTGGAGAGTGAGTTGCCTCCACAGCACATAAGCCTTAGTAGGATCATTGTGCATCCTCCTGAATCTATTTGGGATTTATAGATAGCAATGAACCTTGGAAATAATATATATAAAACTACTATGCAATTATACACCTTGTTAGTACAACAAGAACTAAGGATAATTTTAGAACTACAGCCATAAAAACATCACTATTTACACCTCCAGAACGTATTAAATTAATAGAAATTAAAAACTCATAAATGATATCTCAAAGTTTACATTGTAGCATTCATTATAGCTATTTTATATTTATTTATTACTGTAGATCTTTTTTACAAGATTAAATTAAAAATATATTACCTTATGATCTGCTTAGCTCAGAGTTTTTGATTACTATATTTGTATTTGTGTTAATTTATAAATAAAAAAACCATTAATATTTCATACATAAAAAAATAACCATAATTTCAACATTTTGATGTTTAACTGGAACTAATTGCCCTCTTCTGTGGCCTCTACAGTTCTAGCATTTAATATTCTTATAGAGTACCATAGAAAGCACAAATCACCCCAAAAATTGGGTAGAGAAGAGAATTGTAGGAAGAGGGCAGCTGGAGACAGTGTGGGGAAGTAGTAAATTATCTACTTACAACTAAATATCCAAAAAAGCAATTAGGCAGAAATTATAAATAATTTCATAGGTCATTTCATTGAAGGCCATTTAAATGTTACCAAATTATTATTTAATATTGGGATCTGAAATTAATTTAGTTTAAATGCTTATACACACCATTCATTGTAAAAACCTAATTTGTAACCACAAAACACCCTTTTTTTGACTTAAGTAAACTGCGTTGGCTGTATGCCCTGTCACAAGAGGCCAATATATTAAAAAAGGAAGATAGTTTTTCATCTGCAGTGTTGCCAACATGTTGCAACTTTCCCATAATATGTAACATTGGGCGTCTGTGTAAACTTAGCTCTCTTTGTGAAACCCTGTGAAGTTTGTAGACCAAACTTAGTAGACCGTTTTCCGAATATAACCGAGCAACCAGTGGCGTTGATTCAATGAACATAATTTTTTTAAGCTTTTAAGAAAACTAATATGAAATTTTCTGGAAAATATACTATAAAAAGTCTTCTTCCATTAATATCAAAAATATTCGAACATGCTGCCTATATTCAAGTGTATGAATACCTTACAAAGAATAGCATAATTCCACTTCACCAATCTGGCTTTCAGACGTGGTTTAGCACTACAACAGCTTTGGCTTATCTATCTGATGACATTTTGAACAGCATTGACAAGAAAAAGGCAGGTTTATTAGTTCTCTTAGACTTCAGTAATGCATTTGATAGGATAAATCACAAACTTCTCTCTGCTAAATGTTCTTACTATGATTTGATGCAACATCACTAGGCTTCATAAAATCGTAATTACATAATCGTTACCAACAAGTCATTGTTAATAGTCAAATGTCAACTTCAATTCAAATAAAATCCGGTGTTCCTCAGGGTTCGGTCTTGGGAGCACTTTTGTTTTTACTGTATACATCAGACTTATATACTCGCATCAATAACTGTGCTGTTCAATTTTTTGCTGACGAAACACAATTATTTTCAGACTTTTATGTAAATGATTGTGAAAATGCAGTTAACTTAATAAATAAAGACCTGAGTCAAATTAATTCTTATTCTTTAAATCATAACTTACATATTAATGCCAGCAAGTCTAAATTGTTAATATTTTGCAATAATAATTATAAGGATTTTGTTAAATCTAAAGCAATTTTAAGTATATCAGGTGAAATAATTCCACATGAATGTGAAGCAAAAAACTAGGGACTTTACTTTGATTGAGATTTGATAAACATGTAAACTATGGGTCCTATGATTGAACGTTTACGTTATCCGTAACGTACATGTTAGGCCGAGTTTTAACAGCAACGTGCCAAATTCGTATGATGTAAAGTTTTTCATAACACGTTACTGTTATTTTCCACCTGTTATGTTCTAATTTAACGTATCGCCTCAACAGCCTCGAATAACATGCCGTTAAGTGTCCAACGTCTATATGTTACCACTTTATTTGTTTATTATTTAATTATCTAATACCTATATTGCTAATTATCTGAATTCTTAGTATATTTGAATTTGTTTTTAAATTATATGATTTGCAAATACTAGCCAAAGGTTTGATTTTTTTTTATCTAATATATTTGTTTTCCCCGTGAGAATAATTTTGTTTTTTCTAACAAAATTATGTAGTTCCTCATACTATTACAAAGTTGTTTTAGCTAATCTTTTCGCCATAAAAAATTAAATAAAACTGAAAAATGAACTACAAAAAATTATAACCTAATTGTTGTTTTTTTTTTTCATTCATAAAAACATGAAAAACCTCATTTTAGTCATTTTTAGAAATGAAGTGAAGTTAGGTACATTTTGTACGCACGCGCAATAACGCAAATAAATACTTTCTTCCATTCATAACAGCCAGCTCAACATCTTCTGTTATCGTCTACTTCAATCATACGTATATGACACCTACTGTTATTTCATACGTTATCTATTCCCTGTTAGCATAACATAACAGATTCGTGTTAAACTTAACGTAAACGTTCAATCATAGGACCCAATATATTACAGCAATGCTATGGTGCGCTTCAATTGCTTTATTCCAATAAACACATTCTTCGTGACAAATCCATTATATCTAATTTATGTCAAAGCTTAGTTTTATCTAAAATACTATACGGTATCACTGTATACAATTCTTGCTTAACTTTAATAAACCGAAGTCGGCTCCAAATCATGCAAAATACATGTTGTAGGTTCGTATATGATCTAAGAAAATTCGACCATATTTCTCTGGTATTTTCACAAAGTAAATGGTTGAATATTGGAAACCTATTTAAGTATCTCTTTCTCAGCTACTTAAGATAATCAACACTTCACAACCACCATATCTTAGGAACAAATTAATTTATCGAACATCAATGCATAACGTAAATATAAGAAATAACGTAAGGTTAGCTATGCCTCGCCGCTCAATAGCTACTTTCACACGCAGCTTATAATGCGGTTGCTCTGTACAACAACCTTAGTTTTGCTATTAAGGAATCTATTTATCTTCTTTCATTTAAAAAAAAAAAAAGATCGCTGATTTCTCAATCAAAATAATGTTATATATATATTATTCTTTTTAGTTTTGTAATTTTATTTCTACTTTCTTTTTCTTTTTATTTTGTAAACTTTTATAATATTAAGTATCGTTTTTGTTAATTCAATATATTTTATTTTCTATTTTTATTAAAATAAATCCTGCATTGCCGTTATATGTAAGAATAGCCTGGCTAAATCTCGCCGAAATGAAATGTACACTTTAATTTTGTACAAATAAAGGCCTTTTATTATTATAAATAATAAATATTTGTATCATGTTTATAAACACCTTTCAAAATAATATTAATGGTACAATTTTAGTATGTAAAATGACGTACTAAAGCGTCCATAATTTAGAATGTTTCAGAGGGGGTAGGAACCGTCCTCCGAGTTAAAAACTTTTTGTTATAGGGAAACCAAAAAATCGTACCAAAATTAACGGGTGAAGTACAGTTTAAGTATGTAAAACCGCTATGATTTCGAAACAAAGGGGTAGAAACTGCCCTCTAAATTAGAAAATATTTGTTATGGAGAACCGGAAAAACATATCAAATTAAACTTTACAGAGGAAGTGCAGTTTAAATAGGTACAATCACGTTCTAAAGCCGCTATGATTTCGAGAGACCTAAAGGGGTTGAAACCGCCCCCTAAATTAGAAAATATTTTTTTTACGTTTTTTCTGGTTCTCTCGAAATCGTAGCGGCTTTTGAAAGTGATTACATATACTAAAACTGTACTTTCACCGTAAATTTTAACTTTATACTTTTTTCTGGTTCCTGTAACAAATATTCCAATTTAGAGGGCGGTTCCTACCCCTTTGGATCTTTTGAAATCTCCCGTTTTTCTGCTTCTTTATAAAAAATATTTTACAATTTAGGTTTCTACCCCTTTGGAGCTCTCGAAATTATAGCGGCTTTGGAACATGATTAATAATAATAATAATAATAATAATACTCTCCCTAATTCACCCCCTTACGAGTGAATTTCAACCCCTGAAGTCGACTGAACGACTTGTGTAGGGGAAGGGACGGCTATTATTATTATTTGCCGTGGCGCTCCGGGGCAACTTAAGGATGATTGATGGTGCCATTTGACTTACAGGTGAGGAAAACCCGGAAAACCTCACCCACCATCATTGTACGAGTATATACTAAAACAGTACTTCCCCCATAAATTTTAATTACGTTTTTTCTGGTTCCCTATAAAAAATATTTTCTTTTGAAATAATAGCGGCTTTAGAACGTGATTAAAAATACTAATTTTACTGCCCGTAAATTTTAGCTTGATACTTTTTATTTCGTTTACTTATAAAAAAATATTTTCTAATTTATAGGGCGGTTTGTACCCCTTTGGATTTTTTAAAATCATAGCAGCTTTAGAACGTTATTATATATACTAAAACTGTTTCTCCTATCCTCCCCTCCGAAACATTCGAAATTATAGGCGCTCATTAATTTGATTTTGATTGATTTTTATAAACCTGATGATATTTATTGTATTATTTAAGGGCAAAGCCAAAATGTTTTTAGGATTTTCTGATATAAAATTGTATTTATAAGCGCGCCACTGGGAATACTTCGCGATATTATGTTTCTGGAGAATATAATTTGTATAACGATAAAGCAGCACTCTACAGAGACGTTTAAGGAAAAAGGCGAGAAATCCACCCATTTAAAAACTACTAGATATTTATTAAAACGGAAAGCAGCAAATCTTCATAGATTTAATACAGAATGGGTAAATGTTTTTTTTTAAATTCCTTTCAAACATTTTCAAAATAAATACTTTTCCAAGGTTTACAAAAAATTCTCCATCCCAAGTTATGTTATTATTGGTATTTCCTGAAAATTTAACAAAAATCAGACTAAAAATAAAGGCCCAGAAAGAATTATAAATTTTCAAGGTGTTTGGTTTGCTCTTAATATTAAATGGTAAGTTCTATCCCTTTAGGAGTGTTAAAAGACTGCACTTTTAAGATATAGCTATAGAATACCTATATAGTATACTTTTCCAGTAAATTTCATATTAATTTTTCTTAAACTAGCTTGAATACATTATTTTCATTGAACCAACGCCACTGATTGTTCGGCTATATCAACTTCACACCACTTCTTAAAAGGTTTCTTTGTAGTTGTCCCACCTAATACACATAAGAAAGATGTGTACTCCTCTCTACCTACACCTATAAGTGCCCCTTTCAAGTAGCGAGTGAAGTCTAGGTACTTTTGGTTGTACAATTATCATAAAAAAGTTCGAAAGGTACAATCATGGGTACCGCTACACGAGGGCAAGGGTTCCCCCTTTTTGCCGTGGCTTTCGGCTATAGCCTGCAGCGTTTTGACCCTGTCTATGACTTGCCCCCTCCCTGTAGATTTTTTGAACGGCGCCCATGGGTACCATCATTTATGTGGTTAGTGGCTGAACATACACTTCTAATCAGGGTGTTAAACCCTTTCAAATGGTATATCACATGACCTATGTTACTATTTTAAAAAATCAAGATGGCGGCCATGCTTAAAATTTTATAATTATAAAAAAAATAATTTTTGGGCTAAAATATGCGCAAATATATTTAGTTGAAATTTTGGGTTTTGTATGTTGAACCGTTTAAGCACTATAGGTTTGGTTCCATCTTTAACAGCTACCCTGTATATTAGAAGCATGTACTTTCATTCATAAGAACAGATCAATATATGTTGCCGAGCGTGCTTCTCATGAGTATAACACTCGATACAAAAGCCAATTATTAATACCTAGACACCGTACGGCACTTTTTGAAAAGAATCTACAGTATATGGGTTGTAAATTTTATAATATCCTTCCAGAGGGCATAAAGAACAACAGTAATCTCTTCACTTTTAAGTCTAATGTAAAAAAACTTTTATTGGAGAAAAACTGCTATTCCACAGAAGAATATTTTATATAATAATTCATGTTTTTGTTAGATATGTTTTTTTTTCTTTAGGTATATAATTTTATGTATTTTTATAATTACCATGACATGTTTCACGATAAACGTTGTATAATTTTTTTGTACAATTTTCTTATGAGGTGAAATAAATAAATAAAAATAAAATAAATATTGTTAATGGGGTAAATTTACTCATCTTGCACTCAATTTCAGGTAGATTCTCGCGTGTCCAAATATTTGAGACAGGTATAGTAGATTTTATTTCACTAATACTATTAACAAAATGTAAATTAAAACATTTCAGCTATTTTAGTGTCTGATTTGGCAATTTGATTTCTATAATTTATTTGAAAAATAATTTTTCCTGAAACCCATTCTGTGTTAGAATTAATTAAATACTTAATAAAACAAAAGCTTTGTACTGTGTACTGCCTTTTATATTTTTAAAATCCATTACTTTTAGAATTTTTCATTGCGGATTCATTGCGGATATGCATAATTATTATATTCCTATCGAACTAGTAAGCCCTAATTTTTTTTACAGATGGAGCTTCTCCAGAATTTCTACGAAACCACCCTAGAAGCTTTAAAAGACGCCAAAAACGATCGTTTGTGGTTCAAAACCAACACGAAACTGGGTAAACTCTATTATGACAGAGGAGACTTCAATAAATTAGCCAAAATTTTGAAACAGCTTCATCAGTCTTGTCAAACAGACGACGGCGAAGATGATCTCAAAAAGGGTACCCAGCTGCTTGAAATCTACGCCTTGGAAATTCAGATGTATACAGCTCAGAAAAACAATAAAAAACTGAAGACGTTGTACGAACAATCATTGCATATTAAGTCAGCGATACCGCATCCTTTGATTATGGGCGTTATTAGAGGTAATTTTTTGCGGGTGCTTTTAAATGCATGATTCTTTCAAATGGTCATAGTAATTTATCCAATTCTTAGGGTTCAAAACATTTTATAGCGAAAAAATTGAATAACTACACTAGTGGAAAAAACTAAGGGATATTCATCAGGATTTTGTGTTAATTGGTTGAAAAATTTGTTTATAGCAAGATCCAAAAACTAGACACTTCAAGCTTTTTTTTTCATTCACTCGAAAAATCGCAAAAATCGAGATTTTTTTTTGATCCCTTAATTTTTCCACTAGTGTATTCTGATTTAGCAAACTTGCATCTCTGCAGATTTTTAGTAATTTTTATATGGTTATTAATACGAGGGTCGGCCACTTTGCGCCGCCCCTGGCCCATTATAAATATGGCGATAGTTCCAAATATACCTTATTAAAATATTGCTTTGGAATAATATATAGGGCGTTAAAGTTGAACACTAGACCATATTCTCACAGAAAAATAATACATTGACAAGAAATTACATTATCTGACAGTCCAAAGCACACTTTTTGTACATTTAATATGTTTGAAATCCCCTTCTGAGTCTGAACTGTTCAATTGCGTTTTTCTCAAAACAAAAGTACCAATATTACGTAAATATTGTATTTACGTCATATTTTCTAATCAAAAACAATAAAAAGTTGCGTCAAAAAAGCTACCACTTAATTTCATCACTGGGAATCATTCACGTGGAGCCCTCTGTAACAAAATGTGAAATAATACATAAAATAATATTCCTTGTCCAAAGCTATGCCTTTGTGCCGATTTTGATAATAATTCATAAATATACAGTTACATCAGAAAAAAAAAAACGAAAAAATACTTTAACTTAACGTCCTGTATCTAAATTCCACTGTAATATTTTATTGTGTATTTGGTCCTATCGCCATATTTTGATCCTATCGCCATATTTTGGTCCAAATAATCTGCTCTTAGCCTATATCCCAATAGTTATGAATCACCCTGTATAAGTTTAACCCAGTTTGTATATCGTTTTATTAGACAGTGTTTAATATTTGTGATGTTTGAATTTTCAGAGTGCGGTGGAAAAATGCATCTAAGAGAAGGCGAATTCGAAAAAGCTCACACAGATTTTTTTGAGGCCTTTAAAAATTACGACGAGTCTGGCAGTCCTAGACGTACTACGTGCCTGAAATATTTGGTTTTGGCGAATATGTAAGTTTTTATTTATTTACTTTTATTTATTTAAAGAAAATTGAATACATACGGGACAAACCCAAAATATATGTTTATCTATATTAATAACAAGTTTAACAAAAATTTCAATGGTAAACTAATTTTAAAATGTACAAAGTGTGCCAAATACAGAAAACTAAAGAATAGTTGTTAACTGTTTATTAGACAGACGTGTTTTTAACTTAGTACCTATCAAAAGGCATTTACAGGAAAATGTAGGTAATAATTAGTGTTCGATGAATTTAAATAAAACGTATTTTTACTTTCCTGTCTGTATTCGCTCAGTGCGAAGTCATGGTAGGGGAAGCAAAAGCGATACTAGCGCAAGCTGCGGATAATTTGAGTTTAAGGCGATATTTTGTAATTTTGGCGTATCAAATACACATATAATTTTTTTTTTTTCAAAAAGTAGGTAACAGGGGTGTACAAAGTAACCGGAAAAAGCCTGTAATAACTGGACAGGAAAATCATGTGTTGGGACACATCAGATTTTTAATTCTATTATATTTTGATACAGTATATTGTAAATGATAGAATTTAGTTGACTACTTTAAAAATAAATTTAGTATCTGATAACATTCTCCGAACAAGTGACATCAATTTTAGTTTTCGGGAAATGTATTTATGTATGGGCAAGCCAATCCCATTTAAGTTACAATAAATTGTTAAAAACTTTAACAAAAAACATTCGTGTATTTTGAATGTTGTGCTTAAATCTATTTACAGAAGAATCAAATATAATATTATTCAGAGTTTGCCAGTCGAAGAATCCGAGGCATAAAACTGTTAAAAGTACTATCAAGTCTATAAAAAGATATATTAAATATTTGTGTTTGCCTGGTATTACAAGTAGGAACAAAAAGATTAATTTTCGATAGAATTTCTTTCATTAACAATATTAAAAAGTAAGATCAAGTCTCCGTGTTCTATTCCTTTGTTGTATAATCATAAAATGTAATTACATTTAGAACAATTAAATAGACCTATCTCATAATAATAATAATAATAATAATAATAATAGTTTTTTGATTATATTTTAAATAGTTTTCTCTTTTTTTAGGTTGATGAAATCTGGTATTAATCCCTTCGATTCGCAAGAGGCGAAGCCTTACAAGAATGATCCAGAAATTCTGGCCATGACCAATTTAGTCAATGCTTACCAAAATAATGATATCAATGAATTTGAACATATATTGAAGCAAAATAGGCAAAATATTATGGACGATCCATTTATTAGAGAACATATTGAAGGTGATAATTTATTTTTTTATAATTTTTCTATTTAAGCGATTTGTATCACTCCTACAAATTTCAAAAAGTTTTGGTAGGATCGATAATGTAACCTTGGGCCTGTAATTCTATATCACATCTATTGCCGGTTTCAAACACAGGAACATTATTTAATAATTATGTCTTACCACTACAAATCTGTAAGGCTTGGTTAACGAGTTATATAAACGTTCTAAAATGAAAATATAAAGATTAACTAAATATATGATGGGGAGACTAAATTTAAATTTATTTTGCCTCCCTCTCATGAAGGTAAGGCTTGGTTAACAAGTTATATAGAAGTTGTAAAATGAAAATATAAAGATTGACTAAGTTATATCAATATATAAGAGGGGGGGAATAAATTTAAATTTATTTTGCCTCCTTCTCATGAAGGTGACGTAAATTGAAAGACTGCGTTCTCCTCCTTTCTTCTTAATCTACCTACTACCACTTTGGGACATGGATAATTGGAATTTTATCATATATTTTTTATGTCTAATTTCCAGTCCTAAATAAATATTTTCTTTTTTCAGATTTATTACGCAATATCAGAACTCAGGTACTAATTAAGTTAATAAAACCCTACACGAGGATACAAATACCGTTTATTTCTACGGAGCTGAATATCGACGTTTCGGAAGTAGAAAGCCTCTTAGTCTCATGTATATTAGATAAGTAAGTATAAAAATTGACATTTTAATATTTTACACTGCAATTATTTTATGTATACCTTTATGGTAAGATCGTACATCAAACAAATACCATAACCGCATAATCATGGTTCTATCAAATCTTAAAGAGTCCCTTAAGGAGTGGTTTAAGGCCAGTATTGTATTTGATATACGGATATAATAAAAATTCTTAGGAATAATTAGTGTACATTTTTACTCCTTTTGATTTAATAAAACAAGAAAGGAAACAATTATGTTGTTAAAATATGCATCTGAGACAAGTAAAAGTAAAGTACTTAAATTATGCTTCACATCCTTGTTAGTGGAAATAAAGATAACCATATAGTATACCTGACCCGCTGCATCTTGGAAGTTGTATGAGGACGGAGTGTCAAAATAGTAACACTGGATGATTTGGCCAAGTCAAGAGTTTCTATAGACAGATGTGCCTCATGGTTGTCCATGATAAGCAAACTTGGATTATCCATGCTACTGTGGGTACAACGTATAAAGTGTGCCATGACGTCGACAAATATTTGGGAATTCATCCAACCAGAGGCAGCTGCTAATCCTAGAGATCCTGGTGGGGCACCCTTCATCATGTGTTGCTTAAAACTTTTTCACGGAAATACAATAGCAGGAGACATTGCTTGTCCGGCAGCACTGACAATACAACAAGTGGTTATTAGTACTCCTCTCTCACCGCTGGTAACGTTGGACAAATTCTTTAAGTTTTTGGGTGCTAAAACTTTCTGGGCCTTTTGTACCGTGGTCGTTGCTGTCTCGTCTAAATTAAAGATACGAGTTCCATTTCCAAATGTTTCATGTCGTTTAAGGACATTTTCAAGATTTGAAAAAAATGTTTGTACTGTTTTTTTTATTAAAAGAAGTGGCTCTTGCCAAACTACATGCTTCTGGCTTTTTTAATGAAATATTTGGATGTCGCTGGCGAAAACCTCTTAGCCAATCTAGACCTGCCATTGCATTTAATTCCCATTGATCTGGCATGGGTATCTTGTTTATTGTGGCCATTTCAAAAGCCAGTTTGCGACAATCAATTGCTGTAATCCCATAGAATAATTTAGCACAATATTCTATGTAATTTTTGAGCGAGTCCTCCTGTTCCAAAGAAAACACTCGCCGATTCTCATATTTCGGCACTAAACGAAGAATTCCGGCATTACCTCGGCGTTTACTACGGTCACAATATCTCCTAACAGTAGGATAGGAAATCTTGCATGTTTCTGCTGCTTTACATATTGATGTGCCATTTTGAATTAAATTTAAAGCTTTACTCATTTGTTCAGGTGTGTGGCAGTCTCGTTTGCGTTGAGTAACTCGTTTACGAGCCATCCTGAAATAAATAAAGTTTTTCTTAAATAAAATATGCGATCTAATATCTCAGGGTACACATTGAACCATGGGTCAATCAGTACCCAGTTGCTGTGGTTCATTGTGCACCATAGGTATATTTCGTTTTTCGGTTTAATTATTTTAATTACTAGTCTTAGTACAGCAGTATTTTTCATCTGTTGCGATTGGAAATTATAGCCAAAAATTTATTTATATAAAAAAAAAATAACACTCACCTCTTTTGTACAAAATGACTCACAAAATGAAAACTCTCGACGCACAAACTACACATTAACGCTGATGCAACTCGACTGACGGAAATGAGATTCGAGTAGTAAGATGCAAATAATCGACAGGGAAGAACCGACGTATCGATTATAGTTTTAGAGAAATATGAATGGTTAAATGTGTACCACCAGTTCATTGTTCTGTAATTCTAAATTGATAAAAAAGTGAAAATAAAAACTTAATATGAAAACATAAATTACGACTCTACAAATGAAGTAAAAGTTTATAATTAATTTCTTTTTTCTTACAAAAACATTATCTCAGCAATATGTCATAAGTTGCATACCCACAATATGTCTATGTAAGTTGACAGCATATAGAAAACTTTTGTATTATTCATTTTATGAAAAAAAGTTATTTTTTATAAAAATTTATCAGAAAGTAAAGTAACTTTTTTTCTAAAATGAATAGACCATTCAATTGTTTATGAAAAATAAGATTTTTTCTTAAAATTCTTAAAAAGTTTTCCGTATGTCGCCAACTTACGTAAACACACTGTACATATAAATGAGATTAAATTTGTTGAAAATAATTTTTACTGATGCAGATCTAAATAAAGTATTGTAGGTAAATAAGGTAATAAAAACACTTTTTCATTACATTTTTCATTTTTTTTATTTGGTTCTTTGGCTGCAAGACCTTTCGGTATATACAGGGTATTCCATTAAGAGTGGAAGCAACTGAAAATTAACTGATTAGAAATAAGCAGATTAAACGAAACATCCGTAGGTAAAACATTACTCGTTTCCGAAAAATAGGGTTTTAAAGTTGAAAATCAAAAAATGAATAGCTACAATTTTTTTATTATTCAGTTTAATTTTACTAAATTCGGCAAACGTTATTGGTGTAATAAAATACACCCATCAGCAAAAAAATAAGTTAAATAAGCTTTGCCAGTGACGTACTTCATGGGCAAGTAACACTTTTTTCCCTTCTAAATTTTAGTCCACTGTCCAAAAACTTTGGATGTTTTTCAAATTTGGAAATTCTGAAATTTTTAAATTTCGATTTTTTTGTTTTATTAAATTTCTAAAAAGAGTAAATTATTTATTTAAAAAACATCAAAAATTTAAAATTTTATGTCCAAATAACTTTTTGGATAGTGACGTAAAATTTAGGACGGATGCGGTATTACGTACCAATGCTGTACGCCTCTGTAAAAGTTAATTAAGATAACTAATTTTTTTTGCTGATAGGTGGATATTATAACACCAAAAACGTTTGCGAAATTTTTATCTAAACATGATTTGTTTAGTTGTCTTATTTTTATTCAGAGAATCGTCAGTTTTTCTACTCGTATGTCCCATTCTTAACGAAACACCATGTATAGTAATGATAACGAATACCTTTATCCTTTGTTGACTGGACACAGAAATGAACTACTAAAACCAATTTTTGGCGTGCTCCCGTTGATAAACAGTGACACAGAAACCGTGACATGTCAAATTCCCCCACTATCATGTCTCGGTTTCTAAAAAATTATTCGCAAAAATTAACCGGTTAACGTCAATCGTTAACGTTTGAGATAAACGAGGTCATGTTATGTGTATTTAAAAGGTATTTAACAATAAACAAACTGTGAAAAATCTAAAATTGATGAAGACAGATAATTTTTCTTTTAAATAACAAATTCAGATAGAATTTAGAGACAGTTCAACGTAAAATAAAAATATGAACGCACAAAATAAAATGCAACTCTGGCAGCTACCAAAAATTCCAAAACAAAATGGTATTACAGTATGCTATGAACGTCAACTGTCACTATCAACCGTTTGTTCACCACCTCAAGAGGCCGGGAACAGATTCATCACGGCGGTAGCAAACAATGACGTCAGTGAATGACGTCATTACACTTCCCCTTGAGCGGTTCACGTCGCGAAAATGACGCGCGTAATACCGTTTGATCACCGGGAGTTCGCCAAAAATTGGTATAAGTAAATATACCGATATTCGGAATCTAATCCAAAACTTTTATTTTTATACCTGCTACATCGAACATATTTGTCAAGGTCAAGAACTCGTTTACTTATCATCGCGTAGTGGCTAGGGGTGATGAATATGTTATTTTATAACAGTTACCGTTTAGAATTAATAAAATTATTATGCCATCTGTTGAACAAAAAAACTATTAAATATGGAATATTGCTCCATCTGTTGAACAAAAGGATTCTTAATTTATGACACATAAATAACATCTATCAAAATTAGTTCATGTTACGAATATTGGGGGTGGTAATGTGGCCTTAATGTGTTTGATTATTGATAAATTAGTTACTGGCAATTACATTTTTGATTCGATTCGTTTATTTTCAGCACGATTCAAGGTCGGATAGATCAAGTCAATCAGGTGCTGTTCTTGGAAAGAGCAACAATAAATCAAGCGAGATACAGCGCACTGGACCGCTGGGCCAATCAACTGAACTCGCTCCATTCATCCATTATCAACAAAATGGCGTAAATCGAGAATAATATAGAAACAGATATATTATGTTGAAGTGATAGCGCTTTGCGCCTTTTTAAAGATTTTTAAAAGTAAAAATTTTTGTTGTGTTGAATGAATTTTATAAAGTAACATCGATTATTAAATTTTCATTTGTCTGAAATTTTCTGTTTTGAGAACAAAGAGTGTCGATTTTGGTCAGTTTCTTTTTATTTTTATTTTATTTTCATGATGCGCTTTTTCAAGCTATGAACATACAGCCTGTCTCAAATACTTTCAAGAATGCAGATAACGGAAATTATTATTTAGAAACATGAAAAGTATCAACTTCTATATCCTACTTCTCTTTTCTAATGTCATTGTCAGTTTCTTTATTTTTCAGTGATCGAGCCATTGTACTCTTTGTTTTAACTATATCTATTTTCACTATTTTGTAAATATAAATTTCCCAATTGTTCTTCTATTATTCTTTAGTTCTGTTTTATTTCCTACAATGGTTTTTCGAACTATTTTAATATTTGTTTTAACTATATATATTTTCACTATTTTGTAAATATACATTTCGCGATGGTTCTTGTATCATGCTTTTGTTTTGTTTTCTTTCCTTTCAACGGTATTTATTATCTCCCTGCTAAGCCAGGTAGGAGATAAATACAAGAATCATTGCATTATACATTTTTTAGTCTGTAGTTACACATACACTGTGACCCATTTAAGATGGATCACACAAATCTTCAATAATTAAGCTTCATTTTCAAGGCATGCAAAAATAACTACACTAGATTCCCCGTGGTCTTAAAATGGTTTCATACTAAATTTCGGTAAAAAGTTAAAAGAAAATGAAGTCCACACTGGAAAAACGATGAAGGTCCAAAAACAAAAAATGGTCAGAAATGAGGTTTTTCTTTGAAACCTTAACGTACTATTATTTTTTGAGCAAATAGTAAATTTCGGAACAAGATGTTTAGATACATGTCTTTATTTATGTTTTGTGGATTTTTTTTGGTGTGTGACCTTCCGGTTTAGAAATACCACTCTAAAAGTGAGTCAACGATCTGCTATTTCAGGGAGAAACGTTGAAAGTCCAAACATTAAAGAGGTTCTCAACTTTAAAATAGTCATGTTCATCTGAGATAATAAACAAGGAGTCAATTTTTGTTAAAGGTTATTTATTGTTACTAAAAACGACATTAAGAAACAATAATTAAGCTTTTTTTCTTATGTGGTAGACGGAGCAGAACATTTTTCCAGTCATCTATGTTTTTTCCTTAGATAAAGCTGGTGTTAAACTTTAAAAAAATATAGAATTTAAATATGTACGAACAGCCTTTTTCTCATTTATTTACCTTTGAGTTTATTTTTCAGTTCCACTCATTTTTTACGAGGTAGACCAACCAGCCAATTTTTCGACTCTTCACTACAGTACTTGGACAGCTTCTGGGTGTCTTTGTATTTTTATTAGAGAAAAATATGCAAATTTAAAATGTGTATGATGAAACTTTTTCCAATTTTTACCTTTATATAAATTATCCGGAAGCTTGAATTCACCGGTGTTGTTTGGCTTGAATGGTTTCCCCACGATATCTGCCGACTCCCATGCGCCATTGTATGTATTGCGATAAAATGCCAGTCTGGGATGCTCAGCAGAGAACTATATCTCTCTTAATGGTCTGATAGGAAAAGTACATTTCTTCAAATACAGTGGTTGAAGATGCTTAGTCCAAGAACGGAAGTAGTTTTGTTGTACGTCTAAAACAAACGATGTTGGCTTCGCTCTTGATGAATATATCACTGCATTCATCGCTCTCCATATGTCCGCGAATTAGAAACGTAACTTTGACGTCTTCTAGCTTTTTTTCATAATGAATAATATGGTGCAATAATCTAAAAACTGTAGTTTTTATGCTGTCCACCACAAAAATCGCAGAATATCTCAAGACGTTTGATATTGACTGGCAAAAAGTTGTAAATGAAGTGATGTAAGAGGGAGCACACATTGTCGTTTCCTTTTTTCCCACTGTAGGAATAGAAAATACTTTGTTGGTTTGAAAGTACATGAACATTGAACAAGTATAATGACAGCTGTCGGCTGTAATAAACGTCATTCGTTGAAATATTTGGAATAGGCAGATTTTTGGAGTAGTCCATACAAATGGCTTTCACGTTGTCGTGAAGCCTGGCTGATCTTTTAGAAGCACGTTTTCTATTGTAAAATGTATTAGCTCTTGATAGATGTACTTTCTTTTCTGTCTCAAACTTTTTTATTTCTGTTAAGAGTTTTGCTTTTTCATGTTCTTGTGCTTTAGCTTCTTTAGACTCCAAGGTTTTCAGGGCAACAGCAGTTTCGTCCGATCTTGGGTAGCCAAAACCAATATTGAATTTTTCATTGAAAATTTCTCTGTACCTATTATACGATATTTTCACCTGCGGAAACTTAATCTTGAATAAATCGTAAATTTTTGCCACGTTTAGTTCTTCAGAAAAATAAGTTCTAGAAGACTTTCCCAAACTATAATGGCTTGATCTATAACGGAATGATGAAATGTGTTGACAAACTTTATTGACTGTTTCATTTGTGACCTTGTGTGGTCTATTTCTGTGCCTGCCTCTGCCATCTTTCTTAACACTTCCGGAATCTTTCAAACTTGTTTGTATACTTTGTATTCTACGTGACGTTATTCCATGCAGAGATAAAAAGCTTTGTAGCATACCTGCGTATCTACGATATTCTCTAAGTTGCATCGCACTCTATAGGCATATGAAGCATCGTTAAATCTTGAAACTTCACTCTCTGCACATCTAGGCCTTCGCTTTTTTACAGGCACAACATTTATGAGGCCAGCAAGGTAAGAATTCTGTTCATCCAATGTCTCCAGTTGATTGAAATATCTAAGTATGTTCCTTCTTTCTGTTTCCCTGATTTTCGAGAAGCACTTAAATCGTTTACATTGACAATCTACACCAATTTCATGGCTTTGAACTCTTAAGTTTCTTTGCCAACGTCTGTTATTCTCCCGAAGCTTTTACGTTTTCTTGTTTTTCCCTCCATGTTGCACACAATATGACGAAAAACACCGAATAAACGTATGGAAACGTTCATTTGCAACCGCTTTAATTCACAGATGATTGTAAACTGCGTCGGAGGCCGAAGAGCGTCCTAATAATTTCAACCGGTGCTCTTCGTAGGAACTGGACTATCTTCGTTCTTTCCCGTTTTTTGCTAGTGCATAGACACTTTAAACGCTGATTCTCTGCGACTGCTATCATTATTTCCGTTTCTAATAGTGGCAAATGATAAAGCTGCCCAAGATGTATAATAATCCGTAAAAATCTTATTTTGAGAAAAAATGAACCTTCATCGTTTTTCCCGTGTGGTCTTCATTTTTTTTTTTTTTTTAATTTAATTCAGTTCCCAGAATCGACACAAATGGTCGAATATCCTCCCTTGGCAAGTTTAAATCCAAATATGCCACCCTTCAGTTGGTGGTAGTTAGGTTGTTTTTAAAATAATCTACCACACTGTGGCCGTTGGCAATTCTTGTTAATGCATTATTTTTAAAACATATTTTTCTACTGCTCCAGTTTTATTAAATGCTTCGTTAATATTGTAAGTTGTCGATTCGAATGTCTGCTATTTCTCTTTCACTTCAATCATGTCTCCAGAAATGAGTATAATTTCAAATTTTTCCTGTAATTCAGCAGGCATTGTCTTTTCTCAAAACTAAATACACCTAAATAATTACAAGTCTAATTCATTGCCTATTTGATTCATTAATTTAATTTGTGGCATCATTTACAAAGTATCCAGCGGTGTTGAAATTTTTTTGGCTTAAATTAAAAAACTATTATAATTTTTTTAATTATTACGAAATTTAGTATCGTTCCATTTTAAGACTATGCGAATCCAGTGGTGTAGATTTTTAATAAAATAATTTCTTTGTTTTCGACGGTGGAAAATGATCAAAGCATGCCTTGAAAATGCTGATTAATTTATGAGGTAGTAGATTTTTTGATCCTTTACGATCCTTAAAAAAATTGGTCACAATGTATGTGTGTATATTTGAGACACGCTGTATACGAATAGAGATGCTCTTTATTCTTTGGCTGACTGTTTAAAAACAGGATGTAAAAAACACCATTTACACAAAATAAATACCTTTTTACATAATATAGAATGTAATCCTTACCGAAGGAATACATTCTAGTCCTTTATTTTTGCGTTGTGACATTTTTTTTTGTATTTTTTATGGTTTCTTTTAAATTCTCTTTAGCAATACCAGAAGAAAAGTTTTGTAAACGTTTTTGGTGAAAATTTTTTCCCAAAATTTTTAAACAAAACTATACAGCATGTCACAAACTTCAAGAGATTGGCTACAGATCACCGTACAAGTTTTCTACAAAATTTTGTGAATTTATCAAATGCGAAGGGATAATTAGTGCAAATGTGGTAAAATTGATTATTTGGAACATATTGTTTTTGCTTCTATTGACCACAAACGGGTTTGTGCTGATGGTTCACATTTTAAGGCTCATTTAAAGTTATCACATTGAATATTTATCTTTGGGAAATCATCCTAAGTGATAAGCGTAAAGTTTATTTCATCCAAATAGTACATTAAAGATGGATGATAAAACATTGATCCCAACGAACTTTAGATAAAAGAGTCGTTGATTCCTTTAGTGTGAAGGCGCAGTGAAGACTGTAAACATTTCAATTTTATTCACTATTTACTTTTTCAAAAAAATGACAGTTGGTCCTCGTTCATTCTTAAATAATTCTTGTACTCCTCAGGATTTTCTTCTGCTTATTCTCTTAGCAGAGTTACAAAGCTCCCAAATTTTCTCTTCTTGAAACCCATGGTTTCCCCACAAACTTCTATGGTTATGGGCAGTTGATATATTTAATTCAGTTCATATGTCATGAAATTAAGTCTATGTCTCCAATAAGCCTCGAATTCTTTCTCGAACGAGACATCCTGGCACCACAAATTGTCCTAACCACACACAGCAATAGATACAAATGAACAGCGACAGTGTGGGTGAAGGATGAATCCACAGAACCGGATGAAAATATATTTCTTTAAATTTGTTTATTTACGAATCAAATTTTATTTTGGAACAATACATGTTGATTTATTGTAGAAATGCTCTGATTAGCATCTGGCTAACATTAAGATTTCAAGAGCGACTGATTTGGAAATATTCCTTAATCAAATACCGGAAAAAAGTTTTCTAAACCTTATTGATATAGTACGACCCAAACTTTGAAAGACGTCGAAATACAAGTTTTCTACAAAATATTGTTGAAACATTATCTACTAATAACTGTGTTAAGTGATAACTGGTGATCGATTGCATTTAATTTTAAATCTATTTATTAAGACCAATTTATAATTTGGAATACTAAATGTTGATTTCTTTGGGAAGAGGGAGGGCATCTTGATTATTGAAATATTTTTACCAGTGTAGAAATACTCGTTCATCTGGCCGACATTAGACTTCAAGAGCGACCGATTGAGAGCTTCATAGACTTCAGCTACAGCAACACCATAGAAGTTTCCTAAAATTACAATGTTTTCCTTGCCCAAAGAATACTGTAGTCCTTAATTTTAAATACATTTTTTTAATTATTTAGGCAACCAGGAAAAAAGTTTCCCAAACCTTGTTGATGAAAAATATTTCTCCCAAAATTTTCATATCCAACTTTGTATATGGAGTACGGCCGAAACTTTGAAAGACGTCGGAATACAACAAATTTTCTAAAAAATATTGTTGGAATATTTATCATCTACTAGAAACTGGGTTAAAGTGACAATTGGTGATCGGTTGTATTTAATTTTAAATCTATTTAAATTTGCGTATTGAGAACAATTTATAATTTGGAACACTACATGGCGATTTCTTTGAGAATGGGGGGCATCTTATGTATGGAAATATTTTTACCAGTGTAGAAATACTCGTTCATCTGGCCGACATTAGACTTCAAGAGCGACCGATTGAGAGCTTCGTAAACTTCAGTTACAGCAACAAAATAGAAGTTTCCTAAAATTACAATGTTTTCCTTGCCCAAAGAATACTGTAGTCCTTGATTTTTGCGTTGCGACTGTTTTATTTTTGTATTTGTTCAGCCGGTTCCTTGGGAAAAGAAAGTTTACATAATTGTTAAAAAATATTTCTCCAAAAATTTTTATATCCAACTTATATGGGTTATGTCCCGAACTTCGAAATATTGTCTTACACGTCGGGATACAACAAGTTTTCTACAAAATATTGTTGAAGTATATCCATCATCTACTAGAAAATGGGTCAGTGACAATTGGTGTATCGATAGCATTTAATTTTAAATACATTTCTTTAAATTTATTTATTTAGGCAACCAATTTTATTTTGGAACACTACATGTTCATTTCTTTGAGGGGGGCATCTTGATTCTGTATTGAAATATTTTTACCAGTGTAGAAATACTCTGATTGACATCTGCCTAATATTAGACTTCAAGAGCGACTGATAGAAGATATTATCAAATATTACAAGACTATTTTTACTGATGGTACTTTAGCAAAAAAAAGGGGAAAGCTGAAATTAAAGGATGAGATACCATGTACATTCCCAAATGTTCCTTTATACTTGTATTACAACAATAAAAAATCTGTTCACTGTGTTTTATTTTACTCTTAAAACTATATATTAGTTCAATTCAAAAAAAAATTTGCTACAAAATTGTACTTTTTTCATCATTTAAGATCCTTTTCAAATTTGGTCATACGTACCTAATTTGTATTTTATATAGATAAAATTAAATAATTTGCCAATTAAAACATGCAAGACTTATTTAGAAATAAATACAACAGTATGTTCTGTGCTTTATTTAGCTATAAACAAGTTTATTTTGACAAAATTGTGTATACTTCACATAAGAAGCCATGCATTTTGAACAGCGTATGCAGTACCAGCGCACATGCGGTTAATTATAGAAGCTCAATGATCATGCGTTTTTTGGGACCGTATTTTGAGTATGCCGATTCGTCTCCTTATCTCTAGTCTTCATACTCCCCTCAATGATAATAATTGACTGTTCTGCCGCAGAACAGTCAATTATTATCGTTCTGCCTACTGAGAGGCGTTGGTAATTTAATAATTTTTAAATATTCATTCCTTTCCAGTTGTTAAAAATCTTTTTAACATTTTACGCCAATGGAACGTATTTATCGGCTTTAAAATTTCCAAGAAATTACTGCACACACTACTTACATACCAAATTATCGCAGGAGCCCAGCGTGAGTTATAATAACTCGTTATTAAAACTCGCGCTAATTGTTTATTGTTCAAAAGCAGTTGAATAATTAATATATAAATTAATAGGAGTAGATAAAGTATAGTATTCAACTTGCGGTAATGGTCATAACTCACTTGATGAATCACAATATTCGCCTAGGCTCGCGCTGCAAATTTCATCTGCGTGAGTGCCGTGAGTTATGATTTGCATTACCGCTCGTTAAATAATATACTATTATAAGTTCAGTGGAAATAACAGGAAACGATTTTATTTGATTTACCAGATACGAGAACAGATGTGCGCAACCAATAAGGCATCTCTGTATATCTGGTTGTCTATAACGTATAAACTAATCGTTTCTCGCACCAAACAAGAAGTTCAAATATATGTGTTTGAATAGCCAGGGTGGTAGAAGACCTCCAAATGGCCACTTCTGCACACTTTTATTTCTAAAAAGTCTCCAAGAGCTAATGACTTAAAAAATTTAATTACTTAAAGCTGAATATACAAAAACCACTTTATAGGTATTTTGGGAAAGAATTGCAAGACAAAGCTGCTTTGTTGGATTGTGTGTGTGATTTGATTATGACATAATAGAAAGTGCTACCAGTCAATTAATCGTAACCACTAATATATAGCCAAAGTTAAACAAGAAATTGTCTATATAAAAGATGAATCACAAGAAGAAATTATCGAATAGGTTTTAATTGATGGAAATAGCAATTTTATAAGATATATAATAATAATACTCTCCCTAATTCACCCCCTTACGAGCGAATTTCAAACCCTGAAGCCGATTTAGAGACGGCTATTATTATTTGCCGTGGCGCTGCGGGGCGACTTAAAGATGATTCATGGCGCTATTTGACTTACAGGTGAGGAAATACACCCCACTCACCATCATCAAAACGGTAACGCATAGTGATTTTTATAATCTGGATGTCATAAATCAACATAAATTTCTGCTAATACGGCATCCATCAAATACTATTAGAGAACCATGCAAATAAAATCACATGGTTTTCTGTAGTATTCGAAGCTCGCAAATGAATGCGAGCGTTGCAGACACCTATGCTACCGTAGTCTTATAGAAGAAACATGATTAAATGGAGAATCTGAAAAAAATATATTTAGGATAGCAGTGCTCAACATATATATTACCTTAGTCTGAACTAGACATTAAATTTAAAGAAATTCGTTCAAGATGATAGAGATTCAGGGCCGATGAAAGGGGGGGAGGTAGCCGGGACAAATTCCCGGGCAGTTGTCCCGGGGCCTGACCTGCCTCTCGGCGGCCCTGTAGAGATTATATAAATTTTCAGAATTGACACCCGGTGTAACCGCCTTAGGGCCGATTTCACCGTTGTGTTAAACGGAGATTAAAATGACATTGTTAATGCAAAAATGTCATTTTAAACTTCGTTTAACACAACGGTGGAATCGGTCCTTAGTCAATTATAGTTTAGAGAATAAAAAACACGTTATTTGTGTTATAATTATTTTAAAATATCCGAATCGACAAGGTCAAATATTTCTGAACAAGATTCTCGTTATCAGCGATGGTACTTCAATATAAAATTGTATTTTTTTTAACGAAA